TGATATAAGGAGACGCAATTGAATTTGTATTTTGCAAGGGGCAAGGAGGCGTGGCCAAGTTCCCTCCCGGAGGATAACAAAAAACGTCAGAACCCAGTCATACTGAACATAAGGCCAAGAGGTACTTGAATGTTCGGACGAGATTAAGCCCATCTACCAGAAACAAAAACATCGAAGAGGAGACGGTTCGGAGCCTGAGGTGATGGGCTGCTGAGAACATAAGACAGCCCTGGATAAGCGTAAGCCTTCTTTTATGTTTTTCTTACGATAAATATTTATAAAGTATGTTATTGCTATTAAACCTCTAAGACATGAAAATGAAAGCATTTTGCCGCAAAAAAGGTTGATTGTGCAGAACTCTATCGATAAAATCATGCAAAAATATTCCTACCAGTACCTATCATATTTTGGATTCTCGCGACCGTTTCGTTTTTCGTCATTCTTTTACCAAAGTGAGAATTACGAGTCACACTATGGACTTGCTAAAAGTTAATCTAAGCTCAGCGTGCCTTCATAAACTCCACTCCTGAACAAGACCCGTTTGAATTTTAAACCTTAGAATAGTGAAGAACATATCGACCACAAAAGAATAGCTGAACGCTGAACAAGATGCAAATCGCGCGCCCTGCAAATTTGCAAGGCTTTTTTTAGCCGGAGAAACCAATGAAAATGAAGACTTTTCGAAGTTGAGAATATGGCATGATAATGGTGGTAAAACGTTAGGGTTCTAACTTGCGTAGACGCTAGAAACCATAACAATATTCTTATAGATTCGTACCAAACGATAAAAAAAATTATAATGATAATTTGCAAGACTTCTCTTGTACATAGGAATGAGAGCAGACGTAATCTCCATTACAAACATTTTGTATATTTAACTGGGAGCTGCTTCTGATGATTAGCGGAAATCTTAACACATATCCTGCTTAGCTACCACCAGTGGGGTGATAATTACTACTACAAGCACACGAATCACGCAAAACAATAAGCCATCAATAATTTATTAAAACGCCTTGAAATATTCGCTAAACGCTCCAAGATGCATAGTTTATTTTATTCGCTACGAAAGCAGAGTGTTGTTCTCATGCTCAAATGTTCAGTGGATCTTGCATGTGTTAGTACGTGATTGCCCGTAATCTTCAGTGCTACGTTTCCGTTTTCAAGCTAAATATCTGTGAAAAATTACTTATTTACGCTTGTGTATCTGCTGACAAATCTTTTAAGCTTAAATGTACGATCTAACTCGCCCACCTTTCACGAGACAACTGGTGTGAGGAAAAGCTGCCATTGACATATCCTAGCTAAGACCAGCGACAGATTTCGTCAGTTTGCGGATTTCTACCCAGATATAAGGACGCTGGTGAGTCTTGCGATTGCTTTTAGTGAAAATTTATGAAACTGCTGTTCGAGAGGTTCGCTTGCATTGACGCATAGATTTATCAGCTCTTATCAAATTTGAGTTTACTAGCTGAGTTTATCGCACTCGGAGTTAGAAGAACAAGCAAATCCATGAATTTACGTTCAGATGATCGTTGCAGACCAAAGTACATGTTCCGCGTAGTTTAACGTTGCAAATCTCTCTCAAATGGTTTGATTACTAGTTCAGCTTAGTAAACCAAAGTGAATTCCGTGTTTTGGTGATTTAAAACTCAACCCCAAACTTTAATATGATGAAAAATGAGTTGTGCGACTATTTAAAAGGTAGTCTTCTAAAACTATTTTCAGTTGGGTCGTGACGAAATATTTACTGACTCATACTGTGCAAAGTGTGGTATGCTTCTCTATAGCAAAAAAGGTCCGTTTGGTATGGGCAACGAAAAATGCACTAAATGATCATGTTTTCCTTAAATATCGTGAAAAACATTGCAAAGTGTTGATGCTCAGTGGTAAACCATGCTCAAAAAGTCCTTAGCTTGTAGAGTAGGTACATATGTTCTTGTTATATACCTAGATTTTCACTCAACAAGACGAGCACTGTGAATGGTTGATTTTTGGTCACGTACCCTTGATCAAATTCAAATTTATCCCGACCAGGATACAATTGCGCAGTTGCCCGCGCGCCGAATACAACAGCACATGATTGTGTAAGGGAAAGTCTAAATATGTAACAAAGCACTTAATGTATGGTCCCACGGTAAACTAGTTAGTTTCTCTCGACTTTGTCTAGGGAAACATTAGGACTCCAGGGAAAACAAAACTAACTGTTTCCCTCGGGACAATACATTGAGTGTATAATATCCTTACTGTCCAGGTGCATGTTAAAAATCTAAAAGGACAACCATTAACGACAACCTGGTTACCTTTCGGTTTGGCGCGCTGGTTAAAAAGTGTACAATTCTACAGCAGGTAATCAATGGTATGTGTGTTTGCTTCCCCAAAACCAAAAAAGGTACCATCGATGGTAAATGATACCACGACGCGTGTTTCAGGATTAAAAAAAGATAAAAAATACTCAAAGTCTAGGCCGGAATGATGCATCAAAAGCAACAGATTTTGTGGTTGCTTAAATGAGAAAACAATGGCCGTAACACTCTTTCAAAGCCGCAAAATTCCCACTTCAGCGAAGACTCAGTCCTCGTGGTATCGAGGGGGTTTGACAGACTATTGGTCAATGCGTAATTTGATTAGTTATGCAGGAGGACCCACTCTTATCCATGAAGAAACGACGGAAGCGGTTGCTGTGGGAAGAGCCGCTTTCTTCAACCCAACTTGACCTGATTCCATTTTTTCGTCCCTTGAGGTAACAAATACGCTGAAAGGACAAAGCTAAGTTTGGGCTGTGCGTACATTATTATTCTAAAAGTTTCCTTTGGTCATTGAAATAGAATAGGAACTCAAATACAACGGCTTTGCTATTTTAATACGTAAATAATTTTAGTGAATTGTTTATTTTGGGATTTTATAAAACTTGAAAAACACGATTAATCAACTGGAGCTGCAAACCCAGCGAATTCTCCTACTTAAATCACTTGAGAAAGCTAAGATAAATAAATTAGCAATTTCCTTTTGTGTCGTTTCAGCGGGAGTCCTTGTTGAACGTGTTTGGGATCACAATTAAATTACACTAGATGTAATTTAAAAATTAAGGTTCAATGGTCGAGAGTTCTTTGGCCAATTTTAATTAAGAATTGTAAGAGGTTCAACTATGAATCTTCTCTACTAAAAATAGAGATTCAGGCGATGGAATTTGACTTCAACCAGCTTAAAAAAAGAAATTGCGAAAAATCATGTGCACAAGAACATACAACGAATGTTTTTGGATATGTTTGGAATCTCAGTGATATAACGTGTAAAAGAAGTATAACATGCGCTTTTTCGTCTGGCAATATAATTCTTGAAATATGAGTTTATCCAAAAAAACCCAGTGAGAGAAGTTATTTCTCGAAAAAACTTCAAAGTCTACCGCCTGCATGTCATTTCCTGAAGCAGCCGTTTTCTATCAAGTAATTAAAAAGGGGAATTTCTATCTAACGTACATTAACTTCGGCATCCAAAAGTTTAAACCATTTTCTCTAATCTTAAGCTCTATGGAGCTTACGTTGACTGTGGTGACTTTCCGCCTAATAGAGCTAAATAAGCCAGCTTCAAAGCAGCTTAGCTAAGAAAGAGCTGTGGTTTTTTAATTAGCTTAACAAGTGTGTATCTTGTAGTTTTGTGTCGATTTGAGCAGGAAATCCTTGTGATTATTGAAGAGCGTAAGTCTGTAATCCATTAAAAGAATTTAAATGTTTACATTCAAATTCGATTGTTTTTGTGGACTTCCTGAAACCTTATCCTGGATTTCAGGGAAACAAAAACAAAATTAGGTCGGCGTATATTTAAGTAGTTGTAGAATGAACAATAAGGCGATTTACTATCACCTCAACTCGTGCTTGGTTTTGGACAGTGCTCAAGCGTTGACAACTTTATTCACGGTGTATCATATTCTCTTGGTCGGAATGCGCTGTCGAAAAACTTGTTGAAATACTATCTTACTTTTCCTGCTTCGGCCTGGATGGCAATTTCGTAGCATATAGAAGAGTAGCCTGCATAAAAGGCGAAATTCAGACGGGCCGAGGCGAATGCGAAACGAACGCGAAGGGGGAGTGACGTAAGCCTCGCGCTTGCCGGTGATGCTACGCAAAAAAATAAAGAAAAAAAGAAAGAAAGAAAAGTAGAACGGACTTCTTTCCTTCAAAAATTTAATTATCCGATTGTGGGTTTAAAGTACGCCCGCACTGCACCCAATCAAATGAACAGCACAAGAAAGCCCTCGCTTTCAATCTCATCTGAGATCAAATCCCGAAAGGAAGATTATGAGGAAGATGAAATCTCTTTAGAAGTAAGTTGCCTCTAAACACTCTTAAATCAAGTTCATATTTCGCAACGACAATGAGTCAGCTTTCAGCTTTGATTCCATTTTTAACTTCCAGCCGTTTTAGATTTACAAGAGCTTAAAATATATCAACTGTCTTATCTTCAGGCACAAGTTTTGCTCAGTTTCAGCTCAGAACACTAACAAACGCTTCAGGAGAGATCGGTTTCTCCGCTGAGATTTCTCAAGAAGAAAAAATTAGAGGCCAGAGTAAGCCCAGAACTACCAATCTGTAAAAGCAAACAATAGACCGTTTGTTAGGAGTGAAAATTTTCCACAGGAAATGAAAGCAATATTCTGTTATCCTAAAACTGCTTCACACTGATCAATACCTTAATTGGCACAATTGAGTGCCATCAATTGCAAATAAAATCACTTGGTGGTCCGAAATCATCTCTAAAAAGTACGTGAAATTTGAAATCCAACCCGTTTCGTTTCATCTTCATATCCTTACTGTTACATAAAAAAAGTAATCCAAGGTCTACTAAGATAAAAAAAATCAACAACACAAAACAAAACAAAAAAAAGAACGTGGCAGAAAGTGTCACTAGTGTTTTTTTTTTTACAGACCAGCCATTAGGATCAAAAAACGTCTAATTTAAGGTTAACATTTGCAGAAAGACTGAAAGGAAACACAGAAATCAAGAGTGCCTGAGGGTAAAAATAGAGAAGATTAAGACTAAATTTCATTCGTGTAAACTTTGCTCTCTTTGTTCGAACGTCTAAGTCTTCTTTATTGTTAATGCCCGAAATGAGAATCGTACTTTGAGACTTTGAGAATCGTATCCCTGCCATCACACACTTAAGACTCCCGCTCACAACGTATGAGGATGAACAGAAATATTTAGGACAGTCTCATAGCCTTTCCTTTTCCTGATTTATTCAATTCATTAGTTTGATGAGGAAGGCCAGGGAGTAAGATAAGTTGTGCGCCAGGTTCTTGTCACTAAACTGAATTTCTTCCGTTTCTCGTTGACAATAAAATCCATTAGAGAGCTTTTCCACTTGAGAGTACCCGCCTGCTTTCATTACGACAACGTAATCTCTTCCCGTCGATAATTAAGCTGATCTGATTGCACTGTTACCTTTATCAATCGCGTACACGACAAGCTTAAGTTTACTGAGCCGTTCTGAATCGGGACAGAACGCTGTGATATCAGCAGATATCAAAACCAGCCGTTTACTTGAACTGATGGTTATGAACGCATAAAACGCCTACAAGCCGAGCTAAAGGCTGTGATGTACTGGCCCAGCAGGTTCCCAAGTACGCGATCCATTACAAAATACTTTCAACGTTTTTCAAGAAAATCAGGTGTAAAACTGAAAGCCGATTTCTCGGTCGTGCACTGTGACTGATATCATCTATGTCAGAATTAACCCATTTGGGCAAGATAACAGACTTTTGAAATTAGCCAAGACGGTAAGCAGACGGCTAAAATAGAAACATGACTTTGTTGTTTACGACTACAAGTGGTCGATCCCTTGAAGCCTTGGTTTGTATATATGACCGATGGTATTTAACCTGCAGGTTGTTCAGATCACGCCAATACGTAGGACGGACGCAACCGAGGAGTCATCTCTGGTGTCCCACAACCTTTATGTAAGCTGTTTGAGCATCTAAAATAGAAAGGCCTTGTCAAACGCAAGTAAGTTGAGAGATCTAAACCATCCCAGCACCAAGGAATGAGCTTCTAACAAAGATAACTTCCTTCCTGATAAAACATTAAGGTTCCGCCATCTGGCGCCAGACCGCACGATATCTGGTCGTACTTCTGGCTACAGCGTGCCAACTCTAATACAAACAAGCTGCACAACACCCTTAAAACACAAACGCCTTACACAACGAGGGATAAAGATACACCGCTAATTTACGACCAAGGTGAGAGGTTGAAAATGAGGAAAAGGGAGGTTTGGAGAGTTATTTTCGCCGCATGGACATTCGCAATGCAAATTGCAATGGATGAAGCAGGTATGAAGGAAAGATATAACTTAAATTCCAATGAATTACATTTCTTTGGATAATGCATCACAGTAGCCAACAAGTAATATTATTTAGACACCCTCCCTCGGGCGATGATTCTCAGTGTGACGCGGATGTCCCTAATCTTCGTCCATATTACGCCAGGGAGGTGCGAGCGATTCATCTGCCAAAGGGTGAAAAACTTCTATTACTTTTAATGTGTCGTAAACGAACAAATAAATGTTCTGTGGAAAGAACTGCGGGTGTGCACACCTTTTTTTTGGCAATTGCACAGTGTTAGAATCAGCCCAGTTCGGATGGCGTGGGCGATAGATCAGTACCAATGCTGTATAAACCAATGATTTGGCTTCCATCGTCTGTTCTGTTCACCGTTTTTCTGATAAGAGCATGCTGTTCTTTTACAGTCAAAATATTTTCATCATTAAGGAAGAAAACATTCCACATTTCCGACAAATCAGCAGGTACATCAAAAACAATTGACTGTGTTTCGAGGCCTTCCAAAGGCCAACAAAGACCATTATCACCTTAAAAAAAAAGAGCATTTTGAAAACCATCAAATAGGTTTCTCAAACAGAGGATACTGTAAAACACAATGTTCTTCCTATAACGTTTCATGGCGTTCAACAAAAACAACTCATTTATTTACTGTTTAGGGAATGAACGAATGATCTAGAACAACATTAATAACGTCAAAAACAATGGTCCATGATAATCAGCAGGGGAACATATGACAAGGGACGACCAGTTTTTCCCAATAAAAATACATAACAGCTTCTAAAGCAGGACCACAGCCTGTTTCACAGTTTTACATCTTGGGTATTCTTAAGCATGCAAGCAGCTGGTTGAGAAACAGTCCGCATTTCAATGCAAAGTGAAGTGCTTGCCCCTATCTCAATTTGTAAAGATCTTTTGCCGCGCAATTTCCGTAAAGGATACTTTATCCCGGATAGTTTTGCTTCTCCTGTCAACATTATCTATCTAATGCCATGAGGTCTGTCTTCGACTAAAAAAATGATGGTTCGATCAACATGATTAACAACAATGCCCTCGGAAGGGTCTGTTCGTAACAACCATCCCGCTCGGAGGCTTTCAACAAGTGAATATCCATCTCATAGGTCAAGGATTCTCGTGTTCCTCGTTTCGGTAACATGTAAAGAAGGGTATCATTCCCAATTTCTCATGCGTCTATGACATCAAATTAATCATGTTAGATTTAAAAATCTGTTAGCACGCGACTCGTCATCCTGCAATTAGAAGGTTCTGAAGGAGGAGGTTTGATTATTGTCATAATTTCTACTTTTACGACATAAAAAAAAGACATTTAATTTTTTCCTGAAACAACCCTCTGCCAAGACCAAACTGTAGTAACATTCCATACCAATAATTCAGGGTTGTTTAGAGATAAAGCGGTAATAAGTAACCATCCAAAAAGATAGCCACCGATCTCCTTACCGTCTGCTGCCAGTTTCTCTCGATACCTAATGGACAAAACATGAAGTCCTTAAAAAAATATATATGGGCTATAAATCATTTCTACAACTGCGATCTGCTTCCTTGTAGATTGTATTTTAACTGCACACCGTTTAAAAGGTGTCAGGATCTACCTTTTAAGCGTCAAGATGTTGCATTATCACTGATAAAATGTGTCCTTATCTTGCGTTGTTTCAGACTTGAAACACTTGCATCCAATTAGTTTCTCGAAATAACTCACCGCATGAAAATATGCATTGTTCTTGTTTCTATTCTTCCTCTTGGAACAAAATCAGATGTACTGGAGAGTGATTCTCTTCTCCTGCGAGACGCAGGGCTTAACTGCGCGTCAGTTCTAAAGGATCTACATCAGGAAAATCTGTAACCATTCTTTAGACCTTGATCGTTGAATATTACTTATTTTTGTCCAAGATACCCGGAGCTGACTCGGCACATGATACGATGACTCCGACGGAACATAAATCGAGCTTTGCAGTTCAGAAAACTTAGATGAAATCATTTTCGTTTGGCAAGGTTATCTATGACATGATCGCAATCATATTTTTACACAAATAGAATAACGTTTGAGCAACCGATGCATAATTCGGCCAGGTATTTATGTGACACGACACAAGAGAGCGTGTTATCAAACCAAACACTCAAACACGTTCATTAATTTCTAGTCCCTTTTCAATAGTTCCTTTGTACCGAGCGCTAAACGCCCAATTACAGCAAGAATAATGTGTACTCCCTATGTCTTTCCGTCACCTATAATTGAACGTCGTTTTAATAACGGGTCAAAGACAACATAGAAAGTGCGCAGTCTGTCATCCTGGATTGAAAGACTTAGACAAAAAACAGAGCATGAACTTAGTTGTTATTGCATTAAATAATGGTCATATCGGTAAATTCACTCATTGACAGTTGTACATCCGCCTGGGTTGTAACCTTTCATTCCGGCCTGGGAAATTCTAGAAGTGTATGTCGCATCATGTGAATGATTCTAGTATTTTTCACCTCCTACTGAAGAGTGAGTTGACCTTTGTCGTGTAAATAATGGCAGTCATTCTTCGAATGAGGCTTTAGTCGCACGAACTCTGAAAGAGTTGTTCAAATGAACAGAAATGAGCCGATTGACTGGTCTTAAATCTCCTCGTTCAGATGACTCTTAAATCGTGGCTTTCTTTCCTCGGTCTTCAGAAAACGACCATTCGATCAGTAATGCACTGTCATCGTCTTCATCAGGTAAAAATTCTAAAGTAAATTGTTAGTTTGTTCGTGGTTTCATTGAAAGTTTTTCATGTTCACGATCAACTCTGACTACAAATTTGCACGGCCAGAGGCCCGCTACTAAAACTTATTTTGACGAAATATTTACGTCGACGATGTTTACATTAAATGAGCTTTCTCTGTTTTGGCCAGTATGAGACTCGTGCAACACTTTTTTATAGGGACATTTCTACCGAACAAGACCACTGTGCTTCAACAGGTTTGGAGTACCTACGAAAAATCTATTGTAACACGAAGATGTCAACAATCCACTGACTGCTTGTTCCTATTGCAATTCGTTCTGATATAAAAAATGTTTCACAAGAGATCTTGTGAAAGTTCAACGCAGCTGATCTTCGCACAAAATTTACCTATTTAAAAGTAACCTATTTTGAAGCAAGCACTGTTCGATCAGACAAACAGACTCTCTTCTCCCCGCTCTCTTTCACAATAAGCACAATACACGTTTTTCTTGTTCCTCTTTAGGGAGCAATGGCTTGATTTACAAAGGACAACCAACATCGTCACCTTCATCAGGTAAGGAAACTAGGCTCTGTTACACTTAGTCAACTTAAAAGCAACATAAACCACTTCTCGAAAAAAGTTCGATAAATCTTCTTTTTTTCCGTTCAAGTCTGGTTTGTCAATTATCGTACTTGGTTAATACATTTTTATTGTCACCATTCTTAGAAGGCAAACTCCTTATAAAAAATTAAGGAAAGGTGATGTAAGCTTTTAGTTCCCTCCAAAAAAGGAAAATTATAAGCCGGCCCTTTAAATATTGATGAAAACAATTTCCTACTGTTATCTTTTGTCATTGAAAAAAGCTCTCAGTGAATCCAAGAGGTCAGAGTTTGGGAGTCTTTGGTAGATTCATTAGAAAAGCAAGGTTGCCGGAATACACAATAGATGCAGTTACTCACAATTGTCAATGGCCATGGTTAAGGAGGAAAAAAACTCCAAAGTCGCTGAAAACTTTTAAAACTTATCAAGATAACGGTATTGACTTTGGCCTTGTGAGATTGCAATGATTTACGTATCCAAATATACCTCTACAATCATTCGGTTTCACACCATACTTCTGGTAAACACGTTTTTTAATTTAGCACCATTAACGTGTCCTCAATTCCGACAAGATATGCTTACATCCATTGACTCAAACTAAGCAGTTAGGAAGTTACAAAGCAAGTAACCCTTCATTTGCGTGAAGTTATTTGGATCTTCAGTTAAAGGCATCCTAACTGAGATGAACAAACAAGCGACTTAAAAAGGCTTTTAAACAAATCCCTTTGTGAGCAAGCGTACAAACCCTATGTCATCAGGCAATGCCTAATTTGCTGAATGTTTTATTATGATAACCACCCATCTAAGTTGTTTCTCAGTTTGTTTCCTACAAGAACTCAAATTCACAGTTATGACAAAACACAAGAATACCCAATTATTGTCGACCACATCATCGTCATACTAATCTTACTAATTTTATAACTCCACGGTTATAAGATTTGCAATTCTCGCCCAATATCGATCACCGGTTCGACTACCTTTACTGCATTAAAAAAAAAAAGTTATGGAGTTTTTAATAAAATGAATCTGATGTGGCACATCCACAACCAAACTACAAACGTATTGACAATCGAAAGGGCTTCCCTTGTGAGCTCGGTGGCTTCACGGAGGTGTCCTCGCACACCATGCCGTGGAATTTGTAAATATATTACTTCTCAACTGGCTGAAAAAAGATGATGATGATGTACCCTGCAACCTATAATGCTTTCTTTAGTGGAAACATTCCACAGAGGTGAAATGCACCTAGTTGCTTCCTAGGTCTTTACCGATTTACTTTGGTTCTTCCATGCTAGCGTCTCCAAGATTTGTGGACTCCATCAGGATGCAACAGACTTTTATTGCATGGCCCGCACGCCACAGCGTCCGACTTAAATGCAAAGCCAGTGGCTCAAGTCCGTTAAGATTCCAGTGGCTAAAGGATGGTGATCCATCCATTCATCGAAGATTACAACCGAGACTCAAAACAAACATGTGGTACCTGAAGCTTAAAGACTTGGTGCCATTAGACTCTGGGAAATATACTTGTATAGTTTCCAACACATATGGCTCCATCAATCATACCTATACCCTACGAGTTGTAGGTAATAAGCAGAGTAATGAGTTATAATTGACACTGTGAAAGACCTTAAGATTTGCAAAAGAAAACTGCATAAATAATTTCACCTCCTGACTAAATTATGAGTAAGTGCGCAATCACCGAAATTTTTAGTTTTTGTACAGAAATGTCGAATGTAACAGCAGCAAAGAGAATCTAAGCAGACATTTTTGGGGAACGTGCTACCTTAAACCATTTCCTGACATAAAAAGACTCTTAAAAACTGCTATGAAGATGTGTTGGAAGCAAAGATAAAACGCTGAATATAGAGCTGAAGCGAGGATTATGATCATAGCTGCCTGAAAACCCAAATCGTTATGTTACGTCGCAAAACAATTTCACATGGATAGTTTGCTTTCATTCCAATCTTGGGTTTTAGAATGTCTATTTATTCTTAGAGGGCATAACGAGATTTTAAATGAACGAAACGCTTTTCCGCCAAACGCCTTCCGCCATTAAAAGCCAGGTTATCATCAAGTTTGCATTCTGAAAATTAGAGAAATTTCGTCGTTTTAATTATCATTGTATTACTTTTGCAGAAAATCTTGAAGAAAGCTTGTTCTGAAATGCAGATAACTTCCATCTTTTATTGATCAAGCTTCTACTCTTTTTACAGAAAAATCTCGCACCAAGCCTATTCTGAAGTGTGGCTTTCCTAGAAACACCAGCGCAGAGCTTGGACAGAACGCTTCAATGACTTGCATCGTTCTTATCAGTGGAACACTACCAGATTTTAGATGGCTTAGGTGGAACACTATTCCAAGCACTTTCCCCGACTCGCTTGATTTTGAGAACGGATCGTACACCCTTGTCAACCCTCGGCAATATCAGACGGTTCACGTTGGAGGAAAGTATGGCGTGAAAGTGAATATTTGGAACGTCCAACCCAACGATTTGGGCCTGTATACGTGTTACGTTAGCAATCACCTTGGTTCTGACTATATGAGTGCGTTTTTAACCGAGGAAAAGGACAGGAGAAAAGAATCTGAAGGTAAGCTAAGGACTAAACGAACTCTGCGGTGTTTTGTCGAAATGGTATACGTAAAATCGTTCAATTACATGATGGGATGTGAAGAAACGATACAGCATCGCAAAATCGCACCAGGTTAACTCGAACATTCTGCTAATTTGAACTCACAGCCATTTGAGTGATATTTTGGAATCATTTACGAATAGCTGGCTCGAACCCACTGTTTTATCGAATTGTTTCAAGTTTTGCAATACGAGAGCGAAGTTGCACTCTACATGTACGGTGTTTAATGGAAATGACTTTTATCTCCGTTATTGCTTGAAGTAATGCAAAGAGCAAAGTGCCAATCTGCCGGACTAATAAGGCAAACATTGTTTAATTGATTGTGGACACAAATCATTGAAATAAATGAAGTAGTAACGATGGCTTGAGGCCATAACCCTCTAATCAGGTTCTTTTGCCGGAAAGAGACGGCTTAGATTCAAAGGATGTTATTTCCGTTTCCTGTTATGATAAAAAGTTGCTCACTGAGTTAATCATATTTGAGATAAGACAACATTAACTGGGAATTTTTTTCCTTCATTTTGGAAATATGTTTTGATCTCCCTTTTGGTATGAAACTCTAAAGCAAATGTCTATCAATAATTAGTTACAATGAATCCATAGCTGGTCATCTTTTTGCATCATAAAGAATTTTAAGCTTTTTTTTCTACTTCTATGGTCGTCTTATGAAAATGTGATCGTGAGAAAGTATGTGAGCGTCATTCACTGCAGGCAGATGATAAGGAGCCAAAGAAAAGTAATGGAACTACTTCTATCGAGTGTGTTCCATACATTATACACAGCAACAATATCATCAACAGTACTAGAAACTTTTAAAAATTTATGTGGATTAAAATAAGTACATGCTCTGTAAAGCGCTAAAACAAAAACCTTTTGCCATTTTTGTTCAACGACTAAACTAAAAATTTACCATCTTTCTTAATCTATTTACGCTAAAATCTGATTTCCTTTCGCCCTGCATGATAGTCTGGACAACCCATTCTAAAATGAATAAAGTTCCCGCAGTCTTCCTCTGCATAAATAGGTTGAAAATGGCGGACTCCGCTGAGATGTATTCGAGCAACTCAGCAGGTTGGGTAGTTGATGAGATTTTCCAATATCCGCCTGTAGTTAGCTTTTCAGATTTGGCAAAGATGAACAACTCATACGGAAGGAATATTCATTTACAATAGGTCAAGATATCACTTTTAATATTTGTTCAACCAATTAGCTCGTCAGGAGGGCACTTAACACTGATTTCCATGGGATAATTCACTAGGATTATGTCTATAACCAAACAATGACGCAGCCTGTTTGTCTTGCAAGCTAGATGACCCTAGATGCTTTTAGCTTTAACGTCATCTCCATTTCTCTCTACCTTAGCCATTCTGAATTAGTCCACTACAACTTGGAAACTACTTTAAGACTAAGCTTTATATAATACTTTGTAAAAGTTATCCTATAATGCTATTCGCGATCTTGCCTTTGTTACAAAAACGACCCCACAAGCAATTACTTATTGTCACTCATATCGTGCATCTATAAAAGATCAGTGTCGTTGTATTTCGACCTCAATCTTTTAAGTTTAAAGGAAATGCAATTGTTGCCTTTTTGTCATATCGAAGGGTCGCAAAGTACATTTTTGTGCCATATGAGTTTGAGACACGGATCAATAGGTTTGGGTTTGAGCCATAATTTTGTGAATTTGTTATTTCTCTGGTAAGAAGCTTTACTCTTACAGCGCCCCTCTCCACCCAGTTGTATAAACAAACTGTCAAAAAAACCTAACGAAGGGCTGAAGGGTAACCTTGCGATGGACAGGCATTCCGTCTAAGGGGAAATAACAATTCTCTAAGTCGCTTCATGCTATGAAACAGGGATAAGCTTGAACGCAATGATCCTTAAGTGATCACAAGTTGTCTTTTCTGTTATTTATCGCTAGTATGACTTTGAGAGCACAACACCACTAAATAGGAGTACGCTTTCATAAACAAAAGCTTCATGAACATTAATTTCAATACGATCCTTGCCTTTACTAGGAAAACAGGCCTAAAAAAAATCTGAAAATTAAAATCTAATTTTATAACGTGGGTTCTAAAAGTGTTACTCGTATCACTGACCTGCGGATGTCTTTTCAGTTACGACAGAGAAGCCTGAGGAAAAGGACTTCGCAAATCACGAGAATACAGGATCTCCGCCATTAAGGGGTATGCCAGTGGCTTCCTTCCTTCTTTCTTTCTTCAGTTTTTCATACCTTGATGCTTGATTTCTCAGTATTTCTCCAACTCCCTGACCGATAGTTTGTCAAAACGTTGCAAACGTAGAACCTTTGTAAAACAACGAATGTTTATATCAACAAAATGTCTGGAAAATTGGTGTTAAAGTTGTTTTTAGTTTACCAAAATGCGCTCCGGGTAATACTGCAATATCACAAACTTAGTCAATTCGTAACGCAACCAAAAAGGCAAATTCTACAACACCAGCTAGTTATAGAGTGCTGTGATGTCTTCACACTGGTGCAATAAAAAGGAAGAGAACTTTTAAAAGATAAATGTATTTTAGGAGACACTGAAGAAATCTTGCTACGAAAATCTTTCCGCCGTTAGGAACCAACGCAACAGAGGAGATCCCCCCAGCGAAACAGGCGGTAACACGATCCCGGGAGGCAAAGATACCTTTGAGTGTGTTCATAGGCGTCCTTAGCACCTGGGCGGTCATCACAACTATCGCACTCCTCTGGTGTCACTTGTACCACAAGAAAATAAGAGCAGCAAAAACAGGGGTAGAGTTCTAATGAACGAGGAAGGAATTTTCCGCTCTGATGTTACCATGAGAACCATGAGAACTGAAGCTGGATTAGAGCTATGGGTCATTATTTGCACTCGCACCTCTGACTTGTTGGTTTACGTTCATGTCGTCCAGTATTAGACATTGCCGTTGTTGTTGTTGTTGTTGGTGTTGTTGTTTTAGTTGTTTTTTTGCTGTTTTTAACCAATATTATCACTTCACATTTAATCTTATGTCCTATGGATAGCTTCTTAGATGCACATCGAGGTTTTGATGAAAATGAGGATTGATAGCTGGGACAAGTATGCATAAATAGGAGCGGCATTTTTCTCAGTTCATTAGTCACACAAGAAAAACGGGAAAGCCGCTCGTTCATTGTATTTGTTTTCTTTAAAATCAGCGCTAAGCCGGGCAAGGTTCTTAACAGAGAACTTCAGTGTTCTGACAATCACTCCGCCCTAATGACAAAACAGGGAAAAATTTGAGATCTAATCGTGTAGTATTTTAACTTTTTCATTTTGTCTCGCGGAAGTACGAACATTTTACCGTTCATCTAATGAAAACTTTTTAAATATGGTACAATTAACCAGGGTTGATAGTTTTCTTTTTGTCGTTAATGTGGTGATTATTTCTTTTTCAATTTTTTCATTTCAGTCTATTTAATACATTGTACAGTCAAGATGTAAATCAACGTGTAAATTGTAACGTTTACAAACCGTGATTATAGAGCTCGAAAATCAAACTTTCTATGAGGTAAGCTCAATTTTGACTCATAACACAATACTTGGGAGACTGGCGCAGTAGACTTCACTTTCAACACAGATGTAAACATTTATCGGCAAGCTAAAAAGCCGCTTATTCACGAAGAACAGTAAAGGACGACACATCATCAACGAGGGATAAAAACTGCCCAATGACTTCTCTACGAAGGCTGGTTATTATGCTTCCTTAACCAAAATTACAGGGCCGCTTATTTAAACGAGATCTAACCCAAACCGCGGTTTTCTGAAAGCAGTAGGCCTCGGTGATTCTCCATAAGAGGGTTGATTTCATTGATGTCCGTCTACTTTTAGGTTTCGGCTAGTTGACACTGTTCACAAAAAATTGATTCTTAGATAAAGTTCGGCTAAATTGAAGAAGGCTTAAAACGCGGTTTTGTTAAACGACGGCTAAACTAAACTTAAAACCCTGATGAAGGCACTAGACAGGATTGTCGAAACGTTGGGTCTATGAATTGTAACTTCTTCGGTTACATTTATTAAATCTGCAAACCAGTGTAGCATCAAACTATGTCTAACCGACCTATTGTATCATAGTGACAAAAATATATATTCTTCAACCTGCTGAACGTTATCGAAATGTAAGTCACCCTACACTCTTTACCAAGAAGATAAAACTAGACGGGGAAGTTATAAAGTGCAAACTATCACATATCGTTACGCTATAAATCGAAGTTTATAATGGAACTGAACTGTGGCTCTACACATCTACTACAGGCGTTACGTAGGGAAGGGAATATATGACAGTACTATATGTCAACTGAGGTGAATAATCATTCAAGCCAGACTCACTTCTGAAGTATTAGTGAAAATAGATCCTAAAGGACCCTGAAGAAAAAAATGAGATTTCCTCCCTCAACAATCTCACCACACGAGTATCTTTTACGTAATCATAGCAACATAAACCATTACAGATTCTTTATGACGAGTTTAACTACATCCTCTTATAAATCCAAAAATTCTACATGACAAATCTCCATTGAAGACCACCGTAAATGGAAAATAATAATTTACACAATGATCAAATCAAATTTCCAATAATTCAAGAGCTAATTTGCTCTTGACTGAATGATGACATGTCTATGCTGGCTTCAATGACCTCCTGCATGTTGGCACCTCGCCCAACACAGATTACATGACGCCCAAACAACCTACAAGAGGGCGTACGAATGTCATCCCCAATACAGATTTACCTCATGCATGCCTCAAGCCGAAAATGTACACTTTTTCCATAAGTTTTTCCTCTTCGACAGCATATTCATGTAAATATCACGATTTTATTGAAAAGCGTTCGTGTGTAAAGAGGTGAAGGCTTATGGATAGGATTCCACTACACGTAATATGATTCCTGGAGCGTAAGACCATGGCCACTTCATGGCTTCACTAGAGTGAGAAAACCACGTAACTGAAAACCGATATTGGCAAATGATGAGTTGGTTATGGCTGAATCATTTTAAAATGGAAAAAGGAAATACGTGACATGGCAGAAGGCTGATTGACCATTGAGCTCAGTTAAGTGTTCCTCGATTTTCTTAAGATCATAATAATCACTGTTTCGAGTGTCCTCGTTGTGCTACGAATTGTTGGTTTTTATTGACTTACAGTTCACATTAATGAGTTTTGTCCGGTTAGCAACGCTTATCTTTCAGTTAAGCCCCAGGCAAGCCCCACATCCGGTTTTTTACTTCTTAGTTGGTGGTGTGCTAATATTTCAAGTCTGGCACAGGTTAAGTTAACTTTCCTCTTTAAGGTTAACGATTTGTCTCCCTTGTAAATTGTAAGATTTCGTCTGCAGTTGTTATATCATACCTGGAGTTTAATCAGTTATTCCTTTACGTTGCATTCGTCCAACCCCTGCATGTTTCTTCGCGGAAATAAAATGATCTTTGAACAGAGCGCAGCTTTTGAAGTGACCCTGTAAAATGCAGGAAACTTATGAAAAAAAGCCGTAGCTAAGTATATTTTTAGAGCATAAGGAGGAAAAGGCAATGGTATTCTAAAAAAGCGGTTGCATAACTTTCCGACAAGCACGAAAGCACAAAGAAATTGGATTTCTGTGCCCCTTAAGCAAAGCGGATGTCTGGTTAAATTTAAAAGGGAAGTGTAATTATATAGTGCAGATCAAATGGAGTTTATGTAGTGCTATTCCAATGTTAACTTCTCAGTGCTTTGCATTCTGTTTCACTCTTCTTTTCAGATCTTTTGGTCGGATATGCCCGAAAAAGATTTCCACTCTCAAGTTTGGTCATTTCAATTCATTCAGTTTTAACTATGAAAGGTTTGTTGATGATGTCCCATGATTCCCCTCACGCGCAGCTCGTTGTAGGGGTCGTAGGATGACTGTCCCCTCAAGTAATGACAATCGGTAACATAAAGTTTAAAGCAACTTTTTGAAACCTCCTTACTCCGTACCCTAGCTAATACAAATGCACTAAAAGATCATTTTGGGAAGAATGTTGCTTAAATAAAATGCAACGTGAAGCCACTGGAGTAATAATGCTCAGTTATTGATGGCAGGAGCCCATTGCTTCTCTCAAACTTCAGTCAGAAAGTCAATCTGCCAAACATTAGTGTTCCTTGCACTTGTCGCTTTAGGTAAATGTTAAGATGGCTGAAGGAGGTATCTCTGGCAGTTTGGTTCTATTTCATAGGATCATTCTCAAAACTTCTTTTTTTTTTCAAACTACTTTCATAACCTCTTCTTCATCATAAATGGTTCAACACCTTGTAACATACTCCTCAGGACGACGACGGTAGCGTTCACCACCACCTTACCAGTCTTATGAACAACGTATGCGTGACATCAACATAATCAAAGCATTGGAAATGAAAATCAAACAATACCTAATCATCAAATCTAACAAACCGCATGTGGTGCAAAGCTTCTTGAATACAAAGAAAAAAAAAACGTTTCGGCAAAACTGATAAATCATATTCAATGAATTAGATCATGCTTTCTCAACCAGACTCAAAAATCTCTGATGAACAAAGACTCTTCACTGGAATCTATTGAAGATTCAGTATCTCAAAAAGTAGGTCCCCTTTAACGATTGCACTCACAATAAAGGGGGTAAGTTTCTTAAGAAATACAATAGCCTTGTTCAGACTGCCCAGCCTTTTTCATTCGGAAGATCACACGATACGATTCAGCAGTGCCGAACACTAACAAATAAACTACTTTCATTTGGTTTTCCCGCAAGGTCGATAGCAAATCACAGCTGTGTTCTGAAGCTTAAAACATACAACGAATTACGCAGTTTTCTGAATTCAGAAGGATCTCGAGAGGTTTTGTGGTGTCGATTCTCTATCAGAAGTAACACTTATCCTGCTTTGCTGAAAATCCTCTCGGTAAAGTCAATTTGACAATAGAGCTAAAGGTGCGTCATAATGACAATCTGGCAACGACTGAATCGTTATCAGCGTCTCAAAAGACGACCATTGAAAAGCAGACTATAAAGTAGTTTGCTGTCACTACTTTGTAGTGACTTTCACTTTAAAAAATTAAATTTGCAGTTACACTTTTGGCAACTTAATGTCAACTTAATGGTAACTTAATTAACTCAAGCGACGCGATAAACGTCTTCTTATACGGTGGGTACCACAGGTAATCGATAGTCTCTTCCAGGCTTTTACTTGTTCATCAAGTGCAATAGATACTAAGCAAAAATTCTCTACGAGATATTCGCTCTCGAAAACGGTCAACTTTCTAGATGGCAAAAATCCCGATGAACCCATACATTCCAAGCAAAAGAATGTCAAGTTATTTCTTAACATCGTGTCGCCGAGGGTAAATATGTATTATATTATATTGTATATTATATATTATACTATAGTATATATATTATACTATATTTCGATTATTCAGTGTGAACACTTTTGTGGCTTAATGGGAGAATAAAGGCTTATGTCAAGGAGCGAAGAATGAAAAAAATATTTGTGACAATCATGTAAGCATAAATCGCGTTCTAGTCGGTTTTTCTCATACAAACAGCTTAATTAGTTATGCCTTATTGTTATGGGTTGTTCTAATTTTTATTTTCTTTTTGAACAATTTTCTTTAGAGTGATTAACTTTTAACTTAAATAGTACAGTACAATACCAACATTACGTAATGCACTCAGAGTAATTACGATACTAACAATGCATACGTTACTTACAATACAACCCCTATTTCTATCAATACTTATCAATACTCACTTTGAAGACTACTCACAAAGAAGTTTTCTCTTAAATTAGCTTGCACTTCAAATTATATGATGCTTACACTACGTTCCATAATTAGCTTTCTTTGCATACTAAACATTACTCACACTAGGTGAGGAAATTACAATTTATAATAGGGAAGGGAAAATTCAACAAACAGATATGAGGCGCTTTTAGACAAATAAGTAAAATAAAGCATTTTATCAAGTGGTCTTGCACATTTATAAACCTAGCAGCGATAATCTACTTTCTTAAGAGCTTACCACAATATTCATTCATTTTAATCAAAATGTTTTCTTTTTCGTTTTAGTAGCAGTACAATTTTCAAAACGCATAAAACAGATTTAAGAATCATGAATGTTATGTCGGAAAAGGGCCTGGCATCCACAGTATGAAATATATATCTACTTGCTACTTTGCCTAAGACAGGTCAATAATATCTGTATTTTTGGCTGTACTTTAGCAGGAACACCAGTATTTACTGACCAAAACTTGCTTAACAGATCATTCAGGGCATGACCTGCATCACACTCCATAAGACTGAAATATCGAGCAATTTGTGCACCACCGCTTTGCGTAGTCGCTGTATAGCATACTTCTTAGAAAACGTTCTTACTTAATCAAACCTAATGATTTAACTCGTTATCTCCAAATTCTCCTGACCGTTTGCGACACATTTCTTCTATTGTAGTTCTGAGAATGTGGTCTCAAATTAAATAATATAAAAAATAATTATGGTGTTGAGGTAAATATTGTGAATGTGACTGAGGATGATTTTGGACCCTACACTTGCTTTGTGAGCAATCATCTCGGCAACGATTTCTGGAGTGCATTCCTAACTAAATAATTGATCGCTACTTTGGTTCATTTGTATGCAATTCTCGCCTTGACGTACAATAATTAATCGACAAGCATTATCGTCAGTCATGGTATATTACTCGTTCCTTTTACTGATATTTATTCAACCTTTTTCGACCTTGAAACTTAGTTATGCTCAACTGCATTTTGGTACAACGTCAGACAAAAGGATCTGAACACGTCCAAAACAGACTTGGTCGACTTCGCTTTGCCAGCCTCGAGCCAAACATGGACGACACACTTTCAATTTTTTTAGAGTTACTTTTTTGTGTGGCCTTGGTTCCTTTCCCTGCATGTTCAGGTATGTATCGCGGAGAAATCTTTTAAGGGGCAAATGAAAATGCGCGCAATGGAAATATTATAATGCGTATAAGCGTCACTATATGACAGAGCGATAGATTGTCTTTCAGAAATAATATTTCCCTTACTAGTGATTCTTCTTCGGGTCAGTACAAGAATACGAATATGTCCACTCCAACGGAGAAGATATAACGATGAAAAACCCTGTAATGAGGTTATCGACCTTTTTCGACCTCGAAACGTGCTCAGGTTTAATTGCATTATGGCACAACGCCAGGCAAAAGGATCTGAACACGTCCAAAACAGATTTGGTCGACTTCGCTTTGCCAGCCTCGAGCCTCGAAATAATATTTCCCTTACTAGTGATTCTTCTTCGGGTCAGTGCAACTGAAAGTCATAGTGTTCATTGTTAGGAAGAAGAATTAGCACAATGGTGAATAAATGTTTCAAATGAGGACATTGTACAAGTACAAGAACAAGTACAATCGTGTCATTTGATCAAAACTTACAGAAGACCAAATAGTTGATCGTTACTTTTGATCAATTGTATGCAATTCTCGCTTTAACCTACAATAATCAATCGACAAGCATTGTCGTCTGTCATGGGTACATTGATTCTTCCTTTTCCTGATATTTATTCGTTGACACAGGATATTTCTTCACGGAATAAGCATGCCCCTATTTACTTCCTGTGTTGTTGCTTGGAAACAGCGGACGATATACTTTTTGTGGTTGTCAGGAACGTGTAATTAATGCCCATGATCAATCCAGTCTGAAATTCTTTTTGAGATCTCATTCTTTAGCTACGCCTGTTCAAGTACCAGAAAGTAGAAAACTTTTCTAACTTGACAGAGAGAGGCATAGATTTTCTATCAGAAATAATATTTCCCTAACTGATGATTCTTTTTCGGGTCAGTATCAAAGTCATCGTGTTCATCGTCTGGAAGAAGCTTAAAGCACAATGGTGAATAAATGTTTGAAATGAGTATATCGTACAAATAGTATCGTGTTCCAATGTTCTATAAAATCGCGTCATTTGAGATCAAAACTTACAGAAGACCAAATAGTTGATCGCTGCCTTCGTTCATTTGTATGCAGTTCTCGCTTTAACCTACAATAATCAATCGACAACCATCGTCGTCTGTCATGTTTACATTGATTCTTCCTTTTACTTATATTTATTCCTTTACACAGGATATTCCTTCACGGAATAAGCATACCCCTATTTACTTCCTGTGTTGTTGCTTGGAAACAGCGAACGATATAGTTTTCGCGGTTGTCAGGAACATGTAATAGATGCCCATGATTAATCCAGTTTGAAATTCTTTCTGAGATCTCATTCTTTAGCTACGCCTGTTCAAGTACCAGAAAGTAAAAAACTTTTGTCTTTGATCAGAAAAGTGTTTATGTTTCCGATTGCCTTTAGTTACAGGTCTTAGGTCGGTCCGGTATCCTCGCTATTTCAAAAGTTTCATAGGTCAATTTATTACCAAGAGTGTTACTCCGGGTAATGCTTGTTCTCGAAAATTGAACACTTTGGATTTGGATTGTTTCTCGTTTTAGAAAATTTTGCACTCCGCATTCAAGGCACTCCAAAACGTAGTTATATTGCTGAAGTTGGAGACATAAAACGGTTATGATGTGCGGTAACAGGGCTTCCACCACCGTCTATCACATGGATCAAGGACGAAAAACCTTTAAAGCTCTCGGAAAGGGTAAGTAAGCTGAACAACGACAAAGCCATAAAGATCAATGGAGTCAGACTCGACGACCAAGGCAAATACTTCTGCTTTGCTGAAAATCCTCTCGGAAGAGTCTACTTGACATTCGAGCTAAAGGTTCATAATGACACTCTGGTAACGACTGAATCGCTATCAGCGTCTCAAAAGCCGACCACTGAAAAGCAGATTAAAGGTGAGCAGTCATATCAGAGTTACAGAGTTCTTCTCGATGAAATTGCTTCTTATGGTTGTTCTTTCTAAGTCTGACGATGAAACCCTAACGTTCTTAAGGTCATTTTATAGTTGTTTGGTGTCACTATTCCATAGTGAATTTCGTTTTAAAAGACTGAGAAACACTTTTGGTTTGTCGCATCATACGTTCATGAGTGTGTTCAATGTTCTAGTGACAGTGCTAAACGTCTTCTTACACAATTAAGTCAATCAGTATTCTATTCCTTAACCTTCTTCATCAAGGTGCAATAGTGGCCTGCGTGAAGGCTCGCACTGCGAACTTGCGCTCGATCAAATCGCTCTCTCGGTGGTTTGAAACTGCTTCGCCGCTCGTGTAGCAGCGTTAATGAGAGGCTGTGCGCAAGCTAACACAATTGGAACATTTTTTTCTTTTTTTAATACTAGATCCTAAATAATTTTTAAGGATTTTCTCAATAAGTAGTTTTTCTTGTACTTTTGTTTTCGGGAGTTTTTTTTTTTCCTTTTGAAGACGTTGTTTGAATTCACTTTTTAGCTAGCGCTCTCAACAGGAGAGTCTGCCGCCATCGTTCATATTTTTCTTCATTAGCATACATGTTTTCATGGAAATGAGGCCGACTTGAGAAAAAAATTACTTCAACAATTAAAAGAGCGTCCCAGAGTTTGAAATTTATGAAATTTAGAGCTTCTTGTGAGTGACGCTAACTGAACTACTCTCCATCACAAACGGTTAAATTTCTTAATAGCAAAGTGCCGATGAACCCATACATTCTATTTAAAATTTCTAGGAGATGAACGCTATTCGTTTGTCTCACGATGGAGTCACTTTTCCTATCTTACACCACGATGAACAATAACCACATATTTTATTACGTAAAATTTCTAATTCTCAACATCTTGTGGATGAGAGAATCTCCGATGTGTTGGGCTTAAATTTTGAGAGACTGTAGATATGTCCTATGTTCCGATCATCTAGTGCCTACACTTTTATAGCTCGATAGGAAAATGAAGAGCCTATGTTAACGAGCATTAGATGTAAACAAAGATTTTGTAACAATCATGCAAGCATAAATTGCCTCCTTGAATGTAGCTTCGGTTATAAGAATTAACAATAAATCGCTTTCTTGTGGACAGTTAATTGCACACTGAAACAAAAGCGTGGATATTAGGAAAGAAAAAGTTAACATAAGATATGAAGCGCTCTCGGAGAACTGAGCAAAATTGAAGCATTTTATCGAGTAGTCTTACATATTTATAACAATCGCAGTGTTAGTCTACTTTCTTCAAAGCTTACCACAGTATTCATTCATTTTTAATCAAATTTTTTTTGTTCACATTTTAGCAGCTGTACAATTTTCCAAACGCATAAACCAGATTTTAAAGAACATGCATATAAGTTACATTAATTCAGGATATACTGTATTACGGAAAAAAAAGGTCTAGCGTGCACAGTATAAATCATAAACTCAAGCTTCTTTGTGCTTCGCTTAAAATAGGTAAAAATATCTGTATTTTTGGCTGTACTTAAGCAGGAGCACCAGTATTTACTGATCCAAACTTGCGAAAGAGATCATTCAGTGCATGGCCTGCATCACACTCCATAAGACTGAAATGTCAAGCAATTGGTGCACCACCTCTCAAATACAAATGGCTTAAGGACGGAAAGGACTTAAAAAAGCCACCTATGGACGCAACTGTTAATACTCCACTTTGGTACCTGCAACTACAAGATCTTGTACCCACTGATTCTGGGAGATACACTTGTATAGTGTCCAATTCATATGGATCAATAAATCACACCTTTACACTTCAAGTTGTTGGTAAGTATAGTTAAATGTACCGTAGACGATTCATCAAGAAGCAAACTTCAGCATTCAAAGCCAATGAAGAACTTACTGCGAGACTCTGAAAGCCGTGAACACAACTTTTATGGAAAATTTTTAATGAAAATAAAAATTAAATGGCGATAATGATGATGCTGATACTGCTACTAACAAATCTACCAACAATTATGCTATTAGAGGACGTTTGCCATGTCTTCATAGCCTCATCTTGACTCGCTGTTGGTTTGGACAATTTGAGAAAGTTATGCAAACCCTTAACTGCGGTTCGGGTCTGCAGAATAGTCGAAAATTCTCCTTATCCCCCGAGTGTTTAGATGAGGCTATGTAAAACGGGAAAAAGTCCTCAGCTGCTTCAATGAAATATTTCTCAAAAATAATGATAATAAACGGGACGCAATCGCGTTTACATACTTATCAACCAAAACCTATCGACCAAAGAAGGCATGCATACTATCCTAAATATTTCATAACAACCAGTTCAATTTTAAATAATAATAAGCCAAGCCAAGGTGGAACACCTGAAGAAATGTAAACCATCTGAGTGGTGGAAAGAAGTGAAAAAGCTTAGCGGGCGTTCGCTTGCCTCCACGGCGCAAAGTGACACTTTGAAATCGCTACAACATCTACATGAAGATACTGACCAAATTTGCCTAGCTAACATCATCAATGAGGCTTTCTTATTGCCAATGCACTGCTTCACATCGCTCCCTGCTGCTTTTCCGAGCACTACTTTCAGAAAACTCCCTTGTTGTGTCGGTTGAGTCAGTCCGCAAGAAACTATCAAAGTTGAACCCGTGCAAAGTCAACGGTCCAGACAACATCCCAGGATGGTTGTGAAAGGAACACGCAGACATTTTAGCTGGTCCGGTATCTGACATCTTGAACTACTCGTACCGTGAAGGACGCATGCCATCGTCATGGAAGCACGCATATGTAGCCCCCGTGCCGAAGCAAAAGCCCATCCGTGAAGTAAATAAACACTTACGCCCTATTTCACTAACCCCCATTTTGTCAAAGATGTCTGAAGCTTATGTGGTTGACACCTACGTCAAACCTGCTGTGCTGGAGAGGATTGATCCTCAACAATTTGGGGTCGTACCTAAATCTTCTACTACGCGTGCGCTTATCAGCATGTTGCACTCCTGGTTGGAATCGACTGACGGAAATGAGGCTACTATGAGAGCCGTACTGTTTGACTTTCGCAAAGCCTTTGACTAAATTGATCACCATGTCCTAGCCCAAAAGCTCTCCTTGTATGACTTTCCGGAATCGATCATGCGCTGGATCTTGGATTTCCTAACGAATAGAAGGCAAAGGGTGAAATCGAGTTTTGGTTGTGTATCGGAATGGCGTGCTGTATCAGCAGGAGTTCCTCAGGGGACTAAACTTGGCCCCTGGTTATTTCTAATAATGATTGATGACCTAAGTGTGGCGAATACGAACATCTGGAAGTATGTAGGTGATACTACCCTCGCTGAGTGTGTGGAAAAGAACGGAACCAGTTTGATGCAGTCACGCGTTGATGAATTTGTTACAGTCTCGTGCTGATGGTTTCCAGTTGAATGAATCGAAGTACAAGGAACTTAGAATATCATTCACAAAGTCAGAGAATACTTTAGAGCCTGTTACTATCAACAATACGAACACTGAGGTTGTTCCATCCGCTAAATTACTTAAGTGGAATGTGCACGTAGAAATGATATGTTAGAAAGTCGCAGCGCGTCTCTACTTTCTTAGGCAATTTAAAGCGCGCCAGCTAGTGACCTTCCAAGTTTCTACACCACTTGCATACGCCCAGTTGCAGAGTATGCATGTCCAGTCTTTCATACCACTCTACCACAATATCTGTCCGATCAGTTAGAACGCCTGCAGAAGCGAGCACTACGCATAATAAGCACTAGTGATTTATCTTATAAACAGGCTTTAGAAGTTTTTAACATACGTACCTTGTATGACAGGAGAGAGACGATTGGTAACTCAATGTTTCAAGAGATAAGTAATGACAACAATCACAAGCTTTATTCACTACTTCCGCCACCTTACCTTGGCACGTTGCGAACACGGAAAAATCGCAAGTTCTAAGTCCCGCGTTTTAAAACCAATCGTTTTAGAGACAGTTTTATTGTAAACCATTGCCGATAGTACGTCCTTGTACAATTCATATATATTAATTGATCTGATTTCAAATAATTTTAGTTGTATCTTAATTAATTTAGTGTTTACACAATGATAAGTTTTATTATTGTTAAATTCTTATGAATTAACTTTCTTAATTTATCATTATATAATTTATAGTTATAATTAATTTACGTTTTACATTTGGAGAAATTATCGTAATTCAGCCCTCGGGCTGCGAGGGTAATTTTAATAAAACTATTTATCCTAAACCATCTATCTATCTATCTATCCGAGCCTTCTTGCCGACACCCTTTCGACTTTTTTTCACGGATTGTGGGTCCTACTCCTTTCGTAAATTAGTAAAGCCGACTTTTCTTGTCAGTAAAGGCCTGTTATACTTATAAAAATGATAAAAAAATTAATAAATGGCTGCAAGAGAATGTAGTATAGAAGTTTATAATCTCTTGATGGTTGCTTGTAAATATGGAATTTCTCTTCTCGTGTTCAACTCCAAATCTCGTTCGTTCGCTGGCTCTCTCGTGAGATAGCGAGTTGAACACTAGGAATTAATTTCCATATCTCCGCGTGCCCATGAATTGTTCTCTAAATAATAAACGAAAAGTGACGCGTCATATGTGCAAGTAAACAATTTTATGGAAAAAGGGTGATTTGGTGAAACATTAAAAAGACAAGATGGCATCCACCGTACATCAACAATTTTTCCCGTGCAATTTACTACACATAAGGACGCGTAATTTTCCAGATCTTGAAATTCTTTAGCGTTTCAAAATTTGTTTTCTGGCCTCCGATTTGAACATCATGTGGTAATCATTTCATAGCTTCAAGTATCTTCAGTTCAAAGTTATCTTCCCTTTTCTCAACAGCTAGACCGCGGTCAGCTCCGATCCTAAAGACAGCTCTGCCAAAGAACAAAACAGTGCAGGTTGGAGATAATGCAACATTTACCTGTATTGTTCTTGTTAGTGGAACTCTCCCGGATTTCAGATGGCTTAAATGGAACAAATCCGTCAATTCTATTCCGAAAACTTACAATGAAATTTTAAATGGATCATATCGCCTTATAGACCCATACTATTACAAGACCGTTCAAGTAAAAAGTAATTATGGTGTTGAGGTGAATATTGTAAATGTGACTGAGGACGATTTTGGACTCTACACTTGCTTTGTGAGCAATCATATCGGCAACGACTCCAGTAGTGCATTCCTCATCAAAAATGTGAAACCCACGGTTCCTGTGACAGGTCAGTATCTGTTAAAAACAAGGCGCAGCAAATTTTTTCCCATCCGCACCTAGTCGAGCGACTGCCCTTTTAAAAGTAATGCGTTTTGAATACTCGCTGTATGGTATACTTCTATGGTATAGAGAATATTCTTACTCGATCAAACTTAAAGATTTAAAGCGTTAACTCAGAATTCTCCAAACAGAATTCTACTAACTCACACTTGCTTTGTGAGCAATCACCTCGACAACAATTTCAGGAGTGCATCAAATAATTGACCGCTACTTTGGTTCATTTGCATGCAATTCTCCCTTTAACGTACAATAATTAATCGACAAGCACTGTCCTCAGTCAATGGGTACATTGATTTTTCCTTTTTACTGATATTTATTCGTTTACACAGGATATTTAAACTGTAGCTTCAGTTATAACTATTCACAGTAAACCGCTGTTTTGTTGACAGTTTATTGCACACTGAAACAAAAGCGTGGATATTAGGGAAAGGAAAACTTCACAAAAGATATAAGCGCTTTTACATAACTAAGCAAAATAGAAGCATTCTATCGAGTAATCTCACATATTTAGAGCCCTCGCAGTGTTAATCTACATTCTTCTAAGCTTACCACAGTATTCGTTCATTTTTATAAAATTTCTTTGTTCACGTTTTAGCAGCTGTACATTTTTCCAAACGCATAAATGAGATTAAGAAACATGCATATTAGTTATATTAATTCAGAATATACTGTATTACGAAAAAAAAGGTCTAGCGTGCACAGTATAAATCATAAACTTAAGCTACTTTGTGCTTCGCTTAAAATAGGTCAGTAATATCTGTATTTTTGGTTTTACTTTAACAGGAGCACCAGTATTTACTGATCCAAACTTGCGAAAGAGATCATTCAGGGCATGGCCGGCATTACACTCCATAAGACTGAAATGTCAAGCCATTGGTGCACCACCGCTCAAATACAAATGGCTAAAGGACGGAAAGGACTTTAAAAAATATATTATGGATGCAACTGTTAATACTTCACTTTGGTACCTGAAACTGCGAGATCTTATACCCGCTGATTCTGGGAGATACACTTGTATAGTGTCCAATTCATATGGATCAATAAATCACACCTTTACACTTCGAGTTGTTGGTAAGTATAGTTAAATATACCGTAGACGATTCATCAAGAAGCAAACCTAAACATTCAAACTCAGTGAAGAACTTTTTACAAGACTCTGAAATCCGTGAACAATACTTTTCTGGAAATGTTTTAATTAAAATATAAAAATTAAATGGCAATAATGATAGTACTGATACTAGTACTTCTGAGTCTTACCACAATCATGCTAATGGAGGACGTTTGCCATGTCTTCATAGCCTCATCTTGACTCGCTGTTGGTTTGGACAATTTGAGAAAGTTATGCAAACCCTTAACTGCGTTTCGGGTCTGCAGAACAGTCGAAAATTCTCCTTATCCCCCGAGTGTTTAGATGAGGCTATGTAAAACGGGAAAAAGTCCTCAGCTGCTTCTATAAAATATTTCTCAAATAACAATAAACGGGACGCAGTTATGTTTACTTTGTGTTTACGTACCTATCAACCAAAACCTATCGACCAAAGAGAGCATGCTTACTATCCTGAATATTCCATAACAATTCAATTTTTTAATAATACAAACAATAAGTTCTTATTATACATACTGCAGTGTTTTATAAGGATTCCAACTATGAGAAAAGCCGTATTATGCCTGCTAAAAACACTGAAAAATTCGTATCGCTTATGGAAAGTGGCGTTCAAAAATTTGCTACACGGGCGGAAGAGAACCAAAATACGAAAAGAACAACCGAAGGTTTCGTTCCTGGCTTTGGTAATTATATTTCTCGCGGCTGAGAACGAAAATTGACAACTGGAAATTTGTCACAAGCCGATTTTGGCCGTGTACCTGAAAATATTTTGTCTGGCGGTGAGGATAAAGTCAATAGCTGAGAACTCTGTGTATTGAAAGTTAAGTCCATTGTTTGTTTTTGTAACTGGGATTCCAAATTTTTTTTTCATCTTAATCCTTATTGCCGACGCACTTTCTAATCTCTTGATGGTTGCTTGTAGATATGGAATTTCTCTTCTCGTGTTCAACTCCAAATCTCGAACATAAATTCCATATACACACGCGCCCATGGATTATTCTCCAAATAACAAACGAACAGCGATGCGTCATATGTGCAAGTACACAATTACATGACAACAGCATAATTTAGCGAAACATTAGTGAAAAAAAGAAAGCATCCACCGTAATATCAACAATTTTACCCGTGCAATTTACCACACATAAGGACGCGTAATTTTCCAGATCTCGAAATTTTTTAGCGTTTCAAAATTTGTTTTCTGGCTTCTGATTTGTACATCATGTAGCGATCTTTTCATAACTTCAAGTATCTTCAGTTCAAAGTTATCTTCCCTTTTCTCAACAGCTATACCTCAGTCAGCTCCGATCCTACAGACAGCTCTGCCAAAGAACAAAACTGTGCAAGTTGGAGATAATGCAACATTTACTTGTATTAATCTTGTTAGTGGATCTCTCCCGGATTTCAGATGGCTTAAATGGAACAAATCCGTCAATTCTATTCCGAAAACTTACAATGAAATTTTAAATGGATCATATCGCCTTATAGACCCATACTATTACAAGATCGTTCGAGTAAAAAATAATTATGGTGTTGAGGTGAATATTGTAAATGTGACTGAGGACGATTTTGGACTCTACACTTGCTTTGTGAGCAATTATATCGGCAACGACTCCAGTAGTGCATTCCTCATCAAAAATGTGAAACCCACGGTTCCTGTGACAGGTCAGTATCTGTTTAAAACAAGGCGCAGCAAATTTTTTCCCATCCGCACCTAGTCGAGCGACTGCCCTTTTAAGAGTAATGCATTTTGCAGAAATGTTACGTCCATTGTTTGTTTTTTTAACTGGGATTCAACACATTTTTTTCATCTTGAGCCCTATTGCCGATGCACTTTACGACCCTTTTTTCGCGGATGGTGGACCTTACATTTTCGTTCATTAGTAAAGTCGACTTTTCTTGTCAGCAAAGGCCTATTGTGTCCATAAGAATGATAAACAAATAATAAATGACTGCAAGAGAATGTAGTATAGAAGTTTATAATCTCTTGAAGGTTGCTTGTCGATATGGAATTTCTCTTCTCGTTTTCAACTCCAAATCTCATTCGTTCGCTGCGCTCTCTCCTGAGATAGCGAGTTGAACTCCATATCTACGCGTGCCCATGTATTATTCTCTGAATAGCGAACGAAAAGCGATGCGTCATATGTGCAAGTACACAATTACATGACAACAGCATAAATTAGCGAAACATTATAGAGACAAGATGGCATCCACAGTAATATCAACAATTTTCCACAAGCAATTTAGGCTTAAGGACACGTAATTTTTCAGATCTTGAAAATTTTTTAGCGTTTCAAAATTTGGCTTCTGATATAGATATCATGTAGTAGTCATTTTATAGCTTCAAGTGTCTTCAGTTCAAAATTATCTTCTCTTTTCTCAACAGCTAAACATCGGTCAGCTTTGATCCTACAGACAGGTTTGCCAAAGAACAAAACAGTGCAAGTTGGGGATGATGCAACATTTACCTGTTTAGTTCCTGTTAGTGGAACTCTCCCGAATTTCAGATGGCTTAAATGGAACACACCCGTCAATTCTATTCCAAAAACTTACAATGAAATTTTAAAAGGATCATATCGCGTTATGGACCCATACTATTACAAGACCGTTCGAGTGAAAAATAATTATGGTGTCGAGTTGAATATTGTAAATGTGACTGAGGACGATTTTGGACTCTACACTTGCTTTGTGAGCAATCATATCGGCAACGACTTCAGTAGTGCATTCCTCATCAAATATGTGAAACCCACGGTTCCTGTGACAGGTCAGTATCTGTTAAAAACACGACGCAGCAAACTTTCTCGTATGCACACCTAGCAGAGCGACTGCCTCTTTAAGTGAAGCCTTTTTGCATATTCGTTGTATGGTATACCTCTCAGAAAACGTTCTTACTTCATCAAACTTAATGATTTAGCTCGTTAATGCAGAATTGTCCTAACCGTTTGCGACACATTTCTTCTAATTGTAGTTCTGAGAATGCCAGTGGTCTTAAATCAAACAATATCCCTATTATATCTTCTATCACAAGAATTTAACGTTTCAGTGAATCTAACTGTGATATACATGAGGTGATCCTTAAACTTCTGGGGGAAAAACGCATGCATGGCGAGTAACTAAATGAAAAGAGTCGATTTTCTACTTCTCTAGTCCCTGAACATTTCCAAATAGCTAACTATTATTGAAACTACACGATTAAACATTAAGTGCTTCTATGAAATGTTTAGTGACTCGCTACAATTACATACAGACCAACGCTCTTAGTTTCTCGCATATAAAAATGTTATTGTACTTGTGGATATTGCTCTTATTCTTGAAAGATGAACAAACTCACACAATGGAGAATTTAGGTGCTGTGGCGATCAAAAGTAATAATTTCTTCTGGTGGACGCTTTAACATCTTTTGTGCCATGTCGAGGGAGGTGTCATATGATTGTAACCATGTCTTTCAATGCAGCGAAGTCGAAGTCAAAATGGGAAATAGGCGCATAATGCGCATGACTAGGAGTGAGGAATCCTTAGTGTGCCCATCTCCTACCACTTTTACTAAGAAAACACCAACATATATATGAAACTCATGTTTTTCGAGTTTGACTTCGATTTTTTCGTCAGATTTGTCCTAACTTCTATTGTTCATACTGTCTATGATGATAAGATATGATAACTTTGTAACGTATTGTCATTCATCAGATCAGAAGACTCATAATGCTCTTGTTCCTGGAATCATCGCAGCATGCGTGCTAATTACTGTGGGTATTTTAATCGTTATCTGTTGGCGTCTTCCATCGAACCGAATAAAAAAATCCTTGAAACCTTCAGTTTCATTGTCAAGTAAGTCTAAATTAAATTTGAAGGTTGGCAGCTTTATTTAAGAGGTTTGACAATATTTTTGTTCATCTTACTTTATGCACGTATTAGACTGAAAGCCGAAAGCTTGAACCAGAGAACGTCCTTTCTGGTCATTATAAACCAGCCAGTTAGCCCTCATGTTCGCATTGCTTTCAACGGGCTTGATTAAAAGTTTTACTGTACCAATTTTTGAACATAAACCCCTTAGCTAATATCATATTCTTATTTTCTTCTTTCAGAACCTACATTTGAATACGATGCGTTCGTTATTTTCAGCTCCCGAGATTCGGATTGGGTGGTTAAAACTCTTATTCCAACTCTTGAGGAAAAACACCATTTAAAATGCTGTGTACATTACAGAGATTTCGCTCTTGGAGTACCTTTCCGCGAAAATATGGTCAACAGTGTTTACAAGTCTAGAAAAACAATAGCTGTCGTGTCTAAGAACTTTTTTAATAGCAATTATTGTGGTTCTGAATTGGATTATGCCCTCCATCGACTTATGGAAAGGAGAGATGATAGTTTAGTCGTAATCAAAATTGATGACGTTGATAGAGCAAAACTTCCTAAGGAGCTGCGAAAAAGAAGCTACATAGACCTTCAAAGGTCTGTTGAAAAGGATCACTGGGACAGAAAACTGGTTAAGTGTTTAACGCTTCCCAGCGATCCGCCACAGAAACAAATTCTGTAATAAGCTATCTTTGTCTGAACGGTCACATGCTCGCACGTTGGTGTAGTAAAAAGGTGACATTTTCAACTTGCGCGGAATAGGTTACTCTCTACTTACCTTCCAATTCCTTGTGCTTTCAAATGAGACATCTACTTACATTCGCTTGGGCTTCCCAAGAACGTTCAATTTTAGTATCATGAAAATTTGTAACATTTCAACATTTTTAGTCATCTATAGAGCAGTTTTGTTGGAAATTGAAGAGTTTCGTATTCAGAAACAAGAGATGACGATTGAATCTAACGTGTAGAGGGATAAGGAAGGAAAAAGGTCTTTTTTCATCATGCATATATCTACCGTATGTAGTGAAATCACAAGGTTTTCAGAGAACTTTAAGGAAGTCCTCATACAAAGAATGTCATTGCATTCCGAATGCTTTGAAAAACGTAAGCATGCTATGCATGCAGGAGTTATTTTTTGGGGGGGTAGGTGGATTACTTGAAACATTGTAAGTGATGTCTACATTCTTACAAAAGGAAAGAAGAGTATTAACGCGGTATTAAAGTAAGTAATATTAAGTATTAAAGTGTCGAATTAACTCACACACAGGTTTTTGTGGAAGATTGTGTGCGTTGTGCGAATAACTGTAACCAAAACTAAACTGTACTGGTGCCACGAGACTGAGAATCTAAAGAGTTTTTTCGTCTGGTATGTGATAACGTTTCATCTTACAACTTACCGAGCGTCACGCAATCGCTTTTCTGTGATCAGCTTTCACGATTATCTGCACTATTGTGGAATATTCCTGGCCCATTTCTTGATCAAAATCGATCTTAGTATAAATTAAGCCTTCGCGTAGTCTTCTCATTTTGCGCGCAAGTTGGTTGGTGTGATGTCTGTACAGATTTTACTAACGTAATAAAAGTAGATGTAAATGAGATGTCACTATTGAATATTTAACACGCACAACATTCGAGAAACAACTGACAGTTTTGCACGTGGTCCGTATTATCATCTTTTTAAGCGGTATGTGTTTATTTTGTTCACAAAAATGCAGACCGAGACCAAATTGTTCCTTCGACTTGATATATTTTTAACGTTTGTGGATCACATCATATTAACTTACCTCCGTAAATCATTCATTCCAGATAACAAAATCAAAGAAACATGCTAACGATGGTATCTGAACTAGTACTTGGCGAAACACAAACGACTCCACAAGACCACTTTCTCCAGGCATCGAAAACATACTCAAAATCGTCCACAGTTAACTTTAATCAGACATTCATCTAGGGATAGTACCGAGCAAACCAATCCAGAAAAATATAAAATTTAATCCTGCTACGCAGCTTGCAGTTAAGAACTGTTCAAATCAAAATTTTTGGTGCAATTCATCAACACCTCAAGTAATATTTGATTAAAATTTTTCCACTCTATCTCGTCGTGAAGGAACAATACAACCATGATCGTGCTACAGTGCACAGAACTCCATTTTCTCTCGAACAACTATCCACCATTTTCACAGCATGAGTAACACGTTTATTATAGGTAATCTGATATCTTTCATCTGTCCAGTAGTATCGCATTTTTCTCATAAAGCGCGGTAAAATACACGTTAAAAACACAGAAAAGCCAACATTTCTCATTCTAAAAGGTGATTCTATTTTACGAACCGCTCTCTCCGAATCCCCCATTACTTCGTTGAAATTTGAACACCTCAAACCAAAGAACAAAAACGACGCTCTAATTGGTGCGAGATACATACCCTAATGCGGCGATCTGATTGGCGCGAGATACATACCCCAAACGATCTGATTGGTGCGAGCAACATGCCACTCTCTATACGCTAACATAGATGTTATTTAAAAAAAAAACCTCAATTATGGCTTTATTTTCATGAGGGTCAATGCTATCACTTATTTTGGACCCTATTTATACGTAATCAGTATTATAAGAACTTTGTTGGGTGGAAAATGTAAACTTACGGTTACTAACAGATACGTTTTCATCATACTTTGAAGTTTGAAATTAGCAGATCAAAGCTCCTTTCGAAATAGTGATTCCATGAATGAATTTTTGGTGTAGCAGAAGAAAGAAAAGTAACCCCAGATGGTGAAAATAATTTACTTTTATCCTCCTTAAGTTGTCATCTTTGCCGGGCCGTGAAAATATTCGAAGAGATGATGAGAAAGGAAGGATGTGACTGAAAAACTTTCATTCCAGCAAGGATGCTTTATTATCTCTTCGTGCAATTTCAATTTTCATAGCATGAAAAACATTTGACAATACTTTTCATTTCATTTTTTACATGCAAGGCGTAGTTGGCGGTTTTTTGGGGAGCGCTTGAGCAAGTTACGACGCCGCAAGGGGATTGAAAAACAGAGATTCGCGCTCCGGGAGCGAAATAGCTCACAAAGTGATCGCGTGACAAAAGAAAGGTCAAATCAAATGAAATCTGTAAAAACCTCAAAACATGGTGAATAAGAAAGTTGCCATGCTCCCCCATGCACCGTCACCACCTTTCCTGCTCGGAGGAGTAGCAGTTCTCTAAGTTGCCTCTTGGAGAGAAAACTTGGAAAAGGTATGACCCTGTGGCTGGTCGGCCCGAAGATACACGTTTAACAAAACATCAAACAACTGATGGCTTTACTACTCATGCATCTCATTACTCGGGCTTTCCAAAGGAAACGCCCAAGTTGAAATTCCGGCTTCATTTTTCTTCCGTTCGGTCGCAAATCGCAGTCAAGTCCTCATCACGCATGCACAACCTTTTGACTCTAACGCATGCGCGATGTTTTGAGTAGTGAGCACATGGCATAGTGTAATGGCAGACGATGAGAAGCTTTCGCGGTGCAAAATCAGCAAAGACACTGTGTATAATACGCTCAAAACGCATACAAAATATGCACACATCGTTCGCGGTAGAGCCACACTAAAAGATGCCGAGTGTTTTCGGAACGGGTCGGTCCGCGAACCTTATGAGAGATCTCTTTATGAGCGAACATTTATGAGTGAACCTTCCATCGAGAAACATGCCATATCAACTGAGCTATCTAATGTTAGTCGAGAGAAGCATATACGCAAATCTCATCGTGTATGTAGACGTGATCGTGAACCAAGCAGAATACCAATACGAAGTTTGAAAAGGTTAAGGAACAAGAGCAAAAAGGTTAGAAAATTTGTCTATGCACGCATTCTCTCATGTATCCCCATGTCATCTACATTGTACTGTTAAGTTAATGCTAAAAAAACTATTTCATAAGAGGACATTTGAGTTTAACTGTCGTGAAAGAATTCGTCAAAGTATTAGAAAAGTAAAATATCATGCCAGTCGATATTTAACATTGTTTTCTTTTAACAAACTGATGTGTTCTTGCAAGAATGAGGCTCATGTAGCAAAATATTGCAACTATAATTGAAATAGAGACATAGAGAAAAATCCTGATCCTTCAATATTTGTTGACCCTAACAAAACAACAGTAGCTCCATACAGTCAAGGTAACGAGTTAGTTTTTGGACAGAATGCAGGACAACAATGTGTTGCAATGAGTTTGTGTTCTTTGATTTATAACAACACACAAGGGGGCAAATCATTCGAAATTCATTCGAGGGCAAATGAAAATAGTGGTTTTGATTAGAGTGATTTCAATAGGCCTGGGTACTGCTGATGAATTACATTAATGTTATTAGCTGCTAAAGGCTTTGCGACCTTTTGTTTCTTTACATCTTTTAGAGTGATATTCCTTTGCCCATGAAATAAAGAAATGACTATTTAGTTTGTAGTACTTGATAAAGAACAAAGGAAAACAATAAATTCACAGTACACCTTTAACTATTAATAACCCTATTCTTTCACGGAAAATGAAAATTACTCTAAACACTAAAAGTTAAGTAGTACTCACCAGGTCTAGTGAAACCACTCTAACCAATAAACCAAAATGTATTAACTAAAGTATACTAGCCCAGTATCTCCAAATGGAAACGAACAAATTGGGAGGCAATAGTACAAAATATGCTAAAGTATATTTCACACATTCACGTGAACCACTCCAACAATCCCATAAAATTAATAGTTCATCTGGTGATAATCTTTAGTAGAGACTTTTTGTTTCTTTTGGTTAAGTGTCATCACCCTAGCACCTGGGGCTGTTCAGAATTAAAAGCTACCTCAGCCTGAAACTTTTGTCAATCAAGAAAAAGAGAACATAAGAAGACAGCCTGTTTGGCAAAAGACTTACCCTGCTACAACCCTTATCCCGCAAAACAAAATTTAATCAAATCAATACTCGAAAAAAGCAAATCAAAATTGTGTCTAGCCCTTTCACTCCTGGTCCGGCCAAAACCGGCCAACCGGAAACTTGTTGTTATTAAAGAATATATGCTTATTAAATATGTCTATTGTTACTGATAATAGTACTTACTGACCAATCAAATCGTCGTTACTGTGCATAAGTTATGCTTCCCGACGATGAGATAGACGGATGCATCATGAACGCGTGCACAAACATGGCGACAGCGATGATCAGTTTCTGATAAAGAAACGATTAAGCAGTTTCGTCCGTGAGTGTGTAAAACCACTTAATTTATTGTCAACTTGGAGTCGATAAAGCAAAGAAACTTCCTGCGTGATGGCTATTTGCTTTATCGGCTCCAAATTGACAATAACCTGAGTGGAAAATGGCGAGGCGCGTAGGTCCTTTAGAAATTAGTTTCGACGAATACAGGGCGGTTTTTGGCGATTCAGTTGAAGAAGGTACCGAAGATATTGAGGGAGATGGTTCTGATATTGATTTTTCGGGTATTGATGAGGATGGCGAGGAAAGCGATGAAGAAGCGACGGTGAAAGTGGCAATGGTGTACTGTGAATTTACTGTTTTCCTTGTTCTTTATCAAATACTACAAACTAAGTACATTTAGTTAGTTTAATTCAGTAGTTCAGTGTCAAGACTTGCTCTTACAAGCTCAGGACCTCTTGGTCACGAAAAGTAACTCCATTGAATCGCAAGTTGGTGACCTATTTGACTGAGGATTTGCTTGCAATTACCCTTTTCTTTTTTTGTACTTTCCTGTATAAATAAATTTATTCGTGGCTATAAGTCTGTCTCGTTGTTCAAATAACGACATCAGAACCTGCCTCGGTCACATTGTAAAAGATGTGTTCTTGTAAGAATGAGGCTTAATGTAGCAAATTATTGTAACTATAAATTAAGTAGATAGTAGTGAACATATGTTAACCCTAACAAAACAATAGTAGCTCTATATAATCAACGTAACGAGTTAGTATTTAGCATTAGCATTAAATGTGTTTGATACTGATTATCAACTGGAATGCGGTGAAAGTTACCCTGGTACTGTTTGCCAAGAAATTGCTATATTAAAACTATTATAATCTTACAGTATGTCCTTTTCCTCACTGCATATATACAGAATGGAAACATTATCATATACATATGAAAATTTGCAGTTACTTTAATTAGTAGACTCTAAATGTTTTGTTCATTATCAACTGCTACAAACTAAATAGTCATTTTTCATTCAAGGGCAAATGAAAATGGTGGTTTTGATTAGAGTGATTTCAATAGGCCTGGGTACTGCTGATGAATTACATTAATGTTCTTAGCTGTTAAATGCTTTGTGACCTTTTGTTTCTTCACATCTTTTAGAGTGATATTCATTTTCCCATGAAATAAAGAAATGACTATTTCTTTTATAAGGAATCGAATGATAGCAGGAAATTCGTATGATTTTGAGGCTAGGTGTGGTAGTGTGACATAAAGGAAATTTATGATGCAAATCCTGTGTGTGGGATGATTTGATTATCAATAGGAAATAGTTTCTGCAGATGTAACTCTAAAACTATGATAAAGATGTCATGCATTTTGTGAGCTTGGTCACAACAAGAAAACAATGTTAAATATCGACTTGCAAGATATTTTACCTTTCTTATACTTTGACGAATTCTTTAACGACAATTAAAATTAAACGTCCTTTCATTTAATTATTTTTAGCATTAACATAACAGTACAATGTAGATGACACGGGGATACACGAGAGAATACGTACATAGACAAATTTTCTAACCTTTCTGCTCTTGTTCCTCAACCTTTTTAAACTTCGTATTGGTATTCTGCTTGGTTCACGATCACGTCTACATACACGATGAGATTTGCGTCTATGCTTCTCTCGATTAACATAAGATAGCTCAGTTGATATGGCATGTTTCTCGATGAAAGGAGATCTCTCACAAGGTTCGTGGACCAATCCGTTCGGAAAACGCTCGACATCTTTTAATGTGGCCCTACCGCGAACGATGTTTGCATATTTTGTATGCGTTTTGAGTGTATTATACACAGTGTCTGTGCCGATTTTGCTCCACGAAAGCTTCTCTTCGTCAGCCATCACACCATGCCATGTGCTCATAGTCAAAATGTCGCGCATGCGTCAAAGTCAAAAGGTTGTGCATGCGTGATGAGGACTTCACTGCAATTTGCGACCGAACGAAAAAAAAACGAAGCCGGAATTTCAACTCGTGCGTTTCCTTTGGAAAGCCTGAGTAATAATTCGCTATTTGGCACTACGTTAGTATTGTGCCATCAGATTGACAACAAGCAAATGAATTGTCTGCCTGGTTTATCTTAGGGCTGGAGGGCACCCAAAGATCATTTAACCTAGAAAATCACTTATCTCCGTAGTTATCCGGCAATCCTTGGACCGATTGGCGAATTTCTACGGTAAAGAGTGCGTTAATTCGTAAAGGAAGGCTTTGGTCGATGTGAGGATGCAGGCAAAGCGGTGTTGGTCGATATTGTTGGTCAACTTTATAATCTATACGCAGACTGCTCAACCCGGTAAGTAGATATCTAAATACTTCATTTTTTCATAACATTTACATTTAGAGGAAAAAGGGCCTTCATTGTTTCACGTTTGGTTAAAACTCACGTTTGGTTAAAACGATTGACTCGGACAGATCTTTGTATGAATTACTGTAAAATGAAAACGGTTTCCGCTTTTTGTGTCAGCCTAAATTCAAAGTCGTGTGTGAGAAAAACACGCTTCGAAAATCAATTTGAAGTCAAATATGAATATTTAAATAAGTCAAGATCAATGGCTCTATTCATTAGAATCATGCAAGGAAAACTCGTTATTACTAGACGGGTCAAAGGAAATGCTACAGAATAGCTTCACGTACATTCGCAAATGTTTGTTCAACGCTTAAGCATAGCAAAGTAGATAGCGGTCATCACAAGCTGCTGTTTACCATTTGCATTGTATTCGGCATTGTGGCCTTGTGATATTTCTGGTCTCTCCAGCTGCTCTTAACGCCTTCACGTTTTATCAGTCATTCAAAGAGTAAAGAGCATATTCGCACTGTACTCGCGATTCAAGCGAAAGGTTATGGTCCTAAGTCACAATAAACAATATTCGAGGGACAATCGTTTTCCGTCGAAAAACAATTCCGTGTTCGTGATCGTTTTATGGCCACCTTGTTTTCTTCGGCGACAAGGTGCCAATATCCCAAATGGAAGTGATATAGGAACTAACACTAATCATATTTTAATAAAAATGTTCTACAAATGCTAACTTTGAACAAGGGTTTGTAGGATTTTGTCCCTGTTTCCGTTCTTTTTGAGAAAAGACGCTCGTATATTGCTCGTAGGCAATTTTATTTAATACCACCGATCGCAATGGACGCAGCCACGCGTTATTAAAACATCTAAAACTCACGGGGTGTTGGGCTCCAACGTTTGTCAACGGGCTTTCTACTAGTTTGTCTTCTACCCGGGAATTAGGAACTTATTAAAAGTTCTCGGTAGATCCTCGCCAGGCGGTGCGGCCTTATCGAAAATGCTGCGGTTTGCTATCGATCAATCGACATGTTACCCTCTCGCTCTCAAAAGTGGCTCTCGAAAGTTAGATTTGGAGAGAAATTTCTTTGTTGGATCCTGTAGAAATATATAGAACCACTCAAAAAGTACCTCAAAGAAGTTTCTCTCGTAGGATCTAAGATTATACACAGAACTGCACAAAAAGTAATGTTGAGGAGAATTTTGTATCCTGAACCAAAACGTTCGAGCTAACTTACTCTCATTAAATAGGCCCGGGTCGCACTAGGAAAGTTTTGATCAATAATCCGTCAAAAAAAAGATTATTGTCTGTCATTACAACGCGTTTCCTCAGGAAATAAGTTATGCGACCGGTGTTTCAAAATTTCTAAAATTTCGGAAAGTCCGCAGAAACTTCAAAGACTGTACGGGTGGGGCAGGCAGATTTTGAAAAAATCGAAAAAAACAAAAGACACCGCTTCCGGAGCTGTCAACGCAGTCATTTGACCCAGATGTCACCTGCAGTTAAACTATTCAATCGGTGGGAATTTCAATATTCACCCGCCAACTTTCAGCATGGATGGATGTTTTCCTTTTTACTATGCGCCAGGATCATTCCTAAGACAAAATTTTCGTCATTTCGACCCTACATTGGCTGGACCGATCTTAGATCAAGTGGAACCCAGCGGAATTTTGCTTAATCCGTCCGATAGTCCAGCATGTGTTGTAAGTGAGAGCGATAGCCTGACCACAGGCGACCCAAGCTCCAGCTGTGAGATGATCATCTTGCACAATAACAGTCATGGCGGAATTATAAGAGTTTGTATGAGAATATTTACGACCGCTCTTAGGAATCAAACAATGTGTCACCTCACCTTACTTCCACAGCGCATCACTTGTTATCTGTTCGCTTTCTTTGATGAAAAGAACCCATTTTAGCGAGTTGTCCACTTCGAGGTTTTCAACGTACATAAGAAAAGCCCTATGTAAGTTGAAAACCTCGAAATGGACAGCTCGCTAAAGTGAGTACTTTTCATCAAAGTAAACGGTTGGATAACAAGTGATACGCTGTGAAAGTAAGGTGAATTATTTTCATTGAGAATTTGACGTATTGTTTTATTCCTTAGAGCGGTCGTAAATATTCTCATACAAACTCTTATTATTCCGCCATGTCTGTTATTGTGCAAGATGATCTTCTCACAGCTGGCGCCTGGGCTGCCTGTGGCCCGACCAGCTCAAGGTCAGCTGAAGGTTTGGCAGAAAAAAAAAGAAAGCAATACGACAAATGGCCGCAAGAAGAGCAAAGAGCTCAAGTAGTGAATATCAAACCATGATTCGGCTGAGCTAGGGATGGTCCACATGTAAGGTGCAACACGAATTCAAGCTTTTCTTCTAAGAAAAGCGACATTCAGGATTTGTATGTATTCATTTACCCATCTCTGATACAGGATGAAAAAGGCAAATATTTGTTGCTGTTGCATGTCGATAATTTGTCGAAGTAGAATGGCAAAAGCAAAGCAAAATGCCTGATTTGGGTTCATATTTATTACGGCACAATACGCGCCAGAAATGAAATCTGATCGACTGTGTTTATTTTGACCTGTTTATGTATTTCGGTATTGCGACCCAAAAATTGTGTCACATTTTTCGGCTCTTCCGATTACGGTTTCAAATTTTCGAAAATTTTCCTAAGGGGAAATATGTAATAATTCTTACTTCGATAACACGACTATATCAACTGTACTGCCGTTATAAAATCTGTCTCCTAGGAATGGCATTATCCCCCAGCAAAACTTAGCATAGTTGCAATGATTGTTAATACACGAATGGGGTCTTATTGCGCTTTTTCACTCCGAAACTAGTGACAAACGATTAATAATATAAAACTGACTTGAAATATCAATTATTAAATCTTTACAGACAATTATCCACCACGTGCTCAAGGTACTCTAAAACCACTGTATGTCGCTAGATTAGGAGATATAAAACGGTTAAGATGTGCTGTGACAGGGCTTCCACCACCAAATATCACATGGATTAAAAACGACCAGCCTTTGCACCAGTCTGAGAGGATAAGAAAGCTAAACAAGAACAAAACTATTAAGATCAAAGGAGTCCGACTTGATGACCAAGGCAACTACACCTGTATTGCTGAAAATCCTCTCGGTAAAGTCAACCTGACGCTCCAGCTAAACGTGCGTCATGATGAAATTCGGACAACTACTGGTTCACCACTAGCAACTAAAAGACCCACAACTAAGCATCAGGCTAGAGGTAGGCAATCATATAAGATCTACAGAGAAGCACCTCATCATGAGTTTGTTCATAATGGTTCAACCTTCTTGATTTGCAGAACCAACCCTAATACTTTGGTGGCTATTTATAAGTTTGACTTAAAAATGAAAAAAAAAATTGGACTGCAGAAACGCTTTCGGCCACTTTTTGTCACTGTACCCTAAGCTCAGATCATACACCCTCGAGTACGTACAAGTATCTAAACCGGCATAAACTTTTCTTTTTGTAAGAAACCTTTTTTTTATAAAAACGTTCAGGCTGGAATAAAACAAAATTTTTAAAACAAACTAAGAACACACCCAGGCTGAGAGTCAGTGAAGGACGTCTATATTTTGCCCCTTTTTGTGAGAAGTATAAATAAATAAATGTAAAAGAAATGTAAAACTCTGGTCTAACGAAACAATAACCTAAAAACTTAAGGATATTTTCAATATTAGCAATGTCTTTATCTTATTGCACGATACACTGAACATCAATTCGGTTTGCAGTCTAACTTAATCGATTCATTGAAATACTATACTACGCTCAAATCACAAAAAAATTGGAACGTTCAGTCCCAGCCCCAAAATTACGCCTTGTTATAAAAAAAAGTGTATCCTAACAAGAATAAGTACCGTTATTTCTCCCTGACCACAATTTTGGAGATACGTACAAGGTTTTTGGAAACGATCTCTCTTTTTTCAGATTTAATTACGAATCTCAAGACTCCGGAATCAAGTAAGTACCTGTCATCTTGTATAATTATTTTAGGTAACTCATGGACAATGGCTCATTAGAAGAAGGTCATTGCACTCGGCAAAACGCATATTTTTCCGTCAATTCTATTCCGAAAACTTACAATGAAATTTTAAATGGATCATATCGCCTTATAGACCCATACTATTACAGGACCGTTCGAGTGAAAATTAATTATGGTGTTGAGGTGACTATTGTAAATGTGACCGAGGAGGATTTTGGACTCTACACTTGCTTGGTGAGCAATCATATTGGCAACGATTTCAGTAGTGCATTCCTCATCAAAAATGTGAAACCCACGGTTCCTGTGACAGGTCAGTATCTGTTTAAAACACGGCGCAGCAAATTTTCTCCTATCCGCTCTTAGTCGAGCGACTGCCCTTTTAAAAGTAATGCATTTTGCAGAAAATGTTACGTCCATTCTTTGTTTTTGTAACTGGGATTCAACACATTTTTTCATCTTGAGCCCTATTGCCGATGCACTTTACGACCCTTTTTTAGCGGATTGTGGACCCTACTTTTTCGTTCATTGGTAAAGTCGACTTTTCTTGTCAGCAAAGGCCTATTGTGTCCATAAGAATAATAAACAAATAATAAATGGCCGCAAGAGAATGTAGTATAGAAGTTTATAATCTCTTGATGGTTGCTTGTCGATATGGAATTTCTCTCCTTGTTTTCAACTCCAAATCTCATTCGTTCGCTGCGCTCTCTCCTGAGATAGCGAGTTGAACTCCATATCTACGCGTGCCCATGTATTATTCTCTGAATAGCGAACGAAAAGCGATGCGTCATATGTGCAAGTACACAATTACATGACAACAGCATAAATTAGCGAAACATTATAGAGACAAGGTGGCATCCACAGTAATATCAACAATTTTTCACAAGCAATTTAGGCTTAAGGACACGTAATTTTTCAGATCTCGAAAATTTTTTAGCGTTTCAAAATTTGGCTTCTGATATAGATATCATGTAGTAGTCATTTTATAGCTTCAAGTGTCTTCAGTTCAAAATTATCTTCCCTTTTCTCAACAGCTAAACATCGATCAGCTCCGATCCTACAGACAGGTTTGCCAAAGAACAAAACAGTGCAAGTTGGGGATGATGCAACATTTACCTGTTTAGTTCCTGTTAGTGGTACTCTCCCGAATTTCAGATGGCTTAAATGGAACACACCCGTCAATTCTATTCCAAAAACTTACAATGATATTTTAAAAGGATCATATCGCGTTATGGACCCATACTATTACAAGACCGTTCGAGTGAAAAATAATTATGGTGTCGAGTTGAATATTGTAAATGTGACTGAGGACGATTTTGGACTCTACACTTGCTTGGTGAGCAATCATATCGGCGACGATTTCCGTAGTGCATTCCTCATCAAATATATGAAACCCACGGTTCCTGTGACAGGTCAGTATCTGTTTAAAACACGACGCAGCAAACTTTCTCGTATGCACACCTAGCAGAGCGACTGCCCTTTTAAGTGAAGCCTTTTTGTATAGTCGCTGTATGGTATACTTCTCAGAAAACGTTCTTACTTAATCAAACTTGATGATTTAGCTCGTTAACTCCGAATTCTCCTGACCGTTTGCGACACATTTCTTAGTTCTGAGAATGCCAGTGGTCTTAAATCAAACAATATCCCTATTATATCTTCTATCACAAGAATTTAACGTTTCAGTGAATCTAACTGTGATATACATGAGGTGATCCTTAAACTTCTGGGGGAAAAACGCATGCATGGCGAGTAACTAAATGAAAAGAGTCGATTTTCTACTTCTTTAGTCCCTGAACATTTCCAAATAGCTAACTGTTATTGAAGCTACACGATTAAACATTAATGCTTCTACGAAATGTTTAGTGATTCGCTACAATTACATACAGACCAACGCTCTTAGTTTCTCGCATATAAAAATGTTATTGTACTTGTGGATATTGCTCTTATTCTTGAAAGATGAACAAACTCACACAATGGAGAATTTAGGTGCTGTGGCGATCAAAAGTAATAATTTCTTCTGGTGGACGCTTTAACATCTTTTGTGCCATGTCGAGGGAGGTGTCATATGATTGTAACCATGTCTTTCAATGCAGCGAAGTCGAAGTCAAAATGGGAAATAGGCGCATAATGCGCATGACTAGGAGTGAGGAATCCTTAGTGTGCCCATCTCCTACCACTTTTACTAAGAAAACACCAACATATATATGAAACTCATGTTTTTCGATTTTGACTTCGATTTTTTCGTCAGATTTGTCCTAACTTCTATTGTTCCTACTGTCTATGATGATAAGACATGATAACTTTGTAACGTATTGTCATTCATCAGATCAGAAGATTCACGATGCTCTTGTTTCTGGAATCACCGCAGCATTCGTGCTAATTACTGTGGGTATTTTAATTGTTATCTGTTGGCTTCTTCCATCGAACCTAATAAAAAAATCCTTGAAACCTTCAGTTTCATTGTCAAGTAAGTCTAAATTAAATTTGAAGGTTGGCAGCTTTATTTAAGAGGTTTGACAATATTTTTGTTCATCTTACTTTATGCACGTATTAGACTGAAAGCCGAAAGCTTGAACCAGAGAACGTCCTTTCTGGTCATTATAAACCAGCCAGTTAGCCCTCATGTTCGCATTGCTTTCAACGGGCTTGATTAAAAGTTTTACTGTAACAATTTTTGAACATAAACCCCTTAGCTAATATCATATCCTTGTTTTCTTCTTTCAGAACCTACATTTGAATACGATGCGTTCGTTATTTTCAGCTCCCAAGATTCGGATTGGGTGGTTAAAACTCTTATTCCAACTCTTGAGGAAAAACACCATTTAAAATGCTGTGTACATTACAGAGATTTCGCTCTTGGAGTACCTTTCCGCGAAAATATGGTCAACAGTGTTTACAAGTCTAGAAAAACAATAGCTGTCGTGTCTAAGAACTTTTTTAATAGCAATTATTGTGGTTCTGAAATGGATTATGCCCTCCATCGACTTATGGAAAGGAGAGATGATAGTTTAGTCGTAATCAAAATTGATGACGTTGATAGAACAAAACTTCCTAAGGAGCTGCGAAAAAGAAGCTACATAGACCTTCAAAAGTCTGTTGAAAAGGATCACTGGGACAGAAAACTGGTTAAGTGTTTAACGCTTCCCAGCGATCCGCCACAGAAACAAATTCTGTAATAAGCTATCTTTGTCTGAGCGGTCACATGCTCGCACGTTGGTGTAGTAAAAAGGCGACATTTTCAACTTGCGCGGAATAGGTTACTCTCTACTTACCTTCCAATTCCTTGTGCTTTCAAATGAGACATCTACTTACATTCGCTTGGGCTTCCCAAGAACGTTCAATTTTAGTATCATGAAAATTTTTAACATTTCAACATTTTTTGTCATTTATAGAGCAGTTTTGTTGGAAATTGAAGAGTTTCGTATTCAGAAACAAGAGATGACGATTGAAACTAACGTGTAGAGGGATAAGGAAGGAAAAAGGTCTTTTTTGATCATGCATATATCTACCGTATGTTTAGTGAAATCACAAGGTCTTCAGAGAACTTTAAGGAAGTCCTCATACAAAGAATGTCATTGCATTCCGAATGCTTTGAAAAACATCGGCATGTTATGTATGCAGGAGTTATTTTGGAGGGGGGGGGGTGGATTACTTGAAACATTGTAAGTGATGTCTACATTCTTACAAAAGGAAAGAAGAGTATTAACGCGGAAAAGAACAAAAAATGTCGAATTAACTCACACACAGGTATTTGTGGTAGATTATGTACGTTGTGCGAATAACTGTAAACAAAACTAAACGAGCACCTGCTAGTACAAAATGCAGACTGCGGACCAGAGACAAATTGTGGACCAGGTACAAAATGTAGACTGCATACTGCAGAGTGGGTACAAAATGTAGACTGAGAATCTAAAGAGTTTTTTCCTCTGGTATGTGATAACGTTTCCTTTTACAACTTACCGAGCGTCACGCAATCGCTTTTCTGCGATCAGACCAATTTCTTGATCAAAATCGATCTTAATGTAAATTAAGCCTTCATGTAGTGTTCTCATTTTGCGCGCAAGTTGGTTGGTGTGATGTCTGTACAGATTTTACCAACGTAATAAAAGTAGATGTAAATGAGATGTCACTATTGAATATTTAACACGCACAACATTCGAGAAACAACTGACAGCTTTGCACGTGGTCCGTATTATCATCTTTTTAAGCGGTATGTGTCTATTTTGTCAGACCAAAACTGTTCCTTCGACTTTACATATTTTCAACGTTAGTGGATCACATCATATTAACTTACCTCCGTAAATCACTCATTCCAGATAACAAAATCAAATAAACATGCTAACGATGGTATCTGAATTCGTCCTTGGCCAAACACAAACGACCCCACAAGACATAATCAGTATTATGTGAACTTTGTTGGATGGAAAATGTAAACTTACGGTAAGGGGGTTGAAAAACAGAGACTCGCGCTCCAGGAGCGAAATAGCTCACAAAGTGATTGACAAAAAGAAAGGTCAAATTAAATGAAATCTGTAAAAACCCCAAAACATGGTGAATAAGTAAGTTGCCATGCTCCACCATGCACCGTCACCACCTTTCCTGTTTGGAGGAGTAGCAGTTCTCCAAGTTGCCTCTCCCAAGGTAGACTTGGAAAAGCTAAGACCCTGTGGCTGGTCGGTCCGAGGATACACGTTTAACAAAACATCAAACAACTGATGGCTTTACTACTCATACATCTCATCTGAATTTTATAATAGAATACGAATATGACCACTCCAACGGAGAAGATATAACGATGAAAAATACACGCCAACAAATTCGCCCCAGGGGTACAAAAATCTCATTCAACCGGAAACACAAGAGTACTTGAAATCTGTTGTATTTTTGACATGATTGATAGAGGTGTGGCCTTTGTCACTTGAAATTATTGAAATTTCACACAAAATTCAACTGAAGTCAACATACCGAGACCAGTGAAATACTAAGCCAATCAGAATTCACTCACAAAGGAATTTGTGTCGTTGTTTGGCTGTGCTTAACGCAGAATCACTTAGAGAATTGGAATATCGACTTTTTCGGACAAAATTTCCCCTTTATCTCTCTATACATCTTCATGAAAGCAAGGCATCTGTCACGGTAACATCAAATAGAAAACTAGACGCATATTTGCGTTCACCCGGGCTCTCTGTTGGAAATAAACTTTGTTTTTGTGCTTGCATTCGCCTAAGTTCTTTTTAATGCAATTATTACTTTAACCTGTAACTGTTTTTCTCGTTATGCCACAGATGCAGGGTTCTCACATATGTATACAGAGCTGAAAACAGTATTTGTTATGTTGTGTAAAGACCCTTTTCTGGGGTGGGGTGGGGGCGGTGGTGCCATGTATAATTGGCTACTATTTCAATACTTATTACTAGACACAATTTTGATTTTTTTCTTTTTTCGAGTATTGACTTGATTAAATTTTGTTTTGCAGGATAGGGGTTGTAGTGGGGTAAGTCTTTTGCCAAACAAGCTGTCTTCTTATGTTTTCTTTTTCTTGGTTAACAAAAGTTTCAGGCTGAGATAGCTTTTAATTATGAACAGCCCAAGTGCAAGGGTGATAACTCTTAACCAAAAGAAAACAAAAAGTCTCTACCAAAGGTTATCACAGATGTACTATTAATTTTATGGGATTGTTAGAATGTTTCTCATGGATGTCTGAAATATACTTAGGCATATTTTGTACGATTACCTCCCAATTTTTTTGTTTCCATTTGAAGATACTAGGCTAGTTTACTTTAGTTAATATATTTTGGTTTATTGGCGAGTGTGGTTTCACTAAACCTGGTGATTACTACGTAACTTTTAGTGTTTAGAGTAATCTTCATTTTCCGTAAAAGAATAGGGTCATTAATAGTTAATGGTGTACTGTGAATTTATTGCTTTCCTTTGTTCTTTATCAAATACTACAAACTAAATAGTCATTTCTTTAGTTCATGGGCAAACGAATATCACTCTAAAAGATGTAAAGAAACAAAAGGTGACAAGGCATTTAGCATCTAATATCATTAATGTAATTCATCAGCAGCACCCAGGCCTATTGAAATCACTCTAATCAAAACCACTATTTTCATTTGCCCTTGAATGAAAAGTGACGATTTAGTTTGTAGCAGTTGATAATGAACAAAAAATTCAGAGTCTAATAATTGCAGTAACTGCAAATTTTCATTTGCATATGAAAATGTTTTCATTCTGTATATATGCAGTGAGGAAAAAGACACAGTAAGATTATAATAGTTTTAATATAGCAATTTCTTGGTGAACAGTACCAGAGTAGCTTTCACTGTATTCCGGTTGATAATCAGTATTAAACACATTTAACCCTTTAACTCCCAAGATCTGATTATTAATTCTCCCCTCTAGCTGCTAGACATTTCCTTGTAAATTAGTTATGAGAACTTAGTGCTAGATCAAGATAGCAGCTTCTACCCGATAAGTTTGAATATTCTCATTACCTGTTAGCTGAAGAATGTATGGATATTTTAGGGAGAAGTTTTATGTTAATCACTTTGGGAGCTAAAGTGTTAATGCTGTTGGTAATTCTGGCTGTATTAAATAGGCCTGTCTGGCTAATCGTGACAAACTTGAAAACAGCTGATCTCCAATATTCATTATTTGTATAAGATCATTTGCAGATCTGATCCCTCGTGTGTTATTGTAAATCAAAGAACACAAACTCATTGCAACACCTTTCTGTCCTGCATTCTATCTAAATACTAACTCGTTACCTTGATTATATGGAGCTACTATTGTTTTGTTAGGGTTAACATATGTTGACTACTATCTACTTAAAGGGATACTCTCTAGCCTGTAATGACTTTTTGAGAAAAGACGGATAATAACTTAAATAAAACAGATATTTTGAAAAAAAAGGTAAATCTTCTCTAGTTTTCGTTAAATTAGAAACTTTCCTTAACGCGCGGTCCGAGTGTAGGAGCTGAGCCTACAAACGGAAGTGACGTAGAAGTGAGAACTCATTCAACTTCCGTTAACAAGAGCACCGGGACTTCTTCAGAATCGGAAACGCGCTACAAAAATACAATAATGTCGCAACGATGTGTGGCCGGTGGATGTTCCAATACACGTAGCGATGGAGTAAGCCTTCATAAGTGGCCTGAAGATCCTCATTTCGCCAGTTTATGGACGAGAGCCGTGAAAAATACGCGATCCGATTTTGTGAACCCAATAAACACTAGCCGTCTGTGCAGCATTCACTTCGCTACCGATTCTTTTGAGTAACAGTCAGTTCTAGCGAAATCTATGGGTTTAAAGATGAAAGCCCTTCTAAAATACAATGCCGTTCCCTCAATGTTTGATACTAATCCGCCTGTAAAAAAGAAACAAAGGCTCGCGGAAGAAAAAACCTTTTATCTTCACAAGTTGATGAGACTAGCGCGGGATCATCAAAACAAAATCGACAACAATTGCGAGGAGCATACAGAAAACAGGAAGCTGCAAGGGTATGTATTAAAAGAAATATAAACCTGTCTTCATTGATTGAACCCAGGGTGCTGTGTGGTGGCTCGGCCAGTCCTTCTGATTCGATTGCTTCATTATTTTTGGCAACAACACAGTCGATTTCGCGACAGCAAACACATTCGAGAACTCGATTCAGTCCCTGAAAATTTCCACACCGACTCCTAAAATTTCGAACATCAGCTTCAATAGTACAGCTAAAGAGGTAAAGGTATGAGGAATTACGCAAGCTTAAGAATCGATAAGAAAAATGTGATATACACTGCTAATGTGAGAGAATAGCTTTATTGTGTCAACAACAAATGCCGCTCTATTCAAGTTGAAGTCCTGCATTTTTTAGGCTAAAAACTGCTACATGTCTCAAATCTAATGATCACTTCACTTTGTGAAGTGACAAACGAAGGATTTCGCCAAAAGGCGAAAATTGTAACTCACTGAAATCGCTTACCAGTCTGTGTTTCGTAATCGCTCGAATGGATCGGCCTCATCTGATTCATTCGAGGAGTCAGAACTAGCCTCACTGTTATAAGGCTCAAACAAATATAGTTGCGTTGCTTAAGCGTCTGCACTCTCGATCATCGAAGATGAACTCGAAGAAGAAAAACTCGAATCATTAGAGTCGAACTTCTTTACGATCGCTTAAATGTTTTTCAGTTCTCCTTTTACGTCATGGATCACATGTTTAAAAAAGAGCCAGTTCAACTTCCTGTCCTCGAATTGAGTGAATTTTGCGCTTTTACACCTAGGATTTTAACCGAATGAGAGGTTTTAAGGAACTTTTTCTTCTTTCAGTAGTTATTTTGACAAAAGATATACATTTTAACTAAATGGTAAAATTTGGTGGGGAGTATCCCTTTAATTTATAGTTGCAATAATTTGCTACATTCAGCCTCATTCTTGTAAGAACACATCTGTTTGTTTCAAGTAAACAATGTTAAATATCGACTGACACGATATTTTACCTTTCTTATACTTTGACGAATTCTTTCACGACAGTTAAAATTAAAAGTCCTTTCATTTAATTATTTTTGGCATTAACATAACAGTACAATGTAGATGACATGGGGATACATGAGAGAATACGGGCATAGACAAATTTTCTAACCTTTCTGCTCTTGTTCCTTAACCTGTTCAAACTTCGTATTGGTATTCTGCTTGGTTCACGATCACGTCTAAATACACGATGAGATTTGCGTCTATGCTTCTCTCGATTAACATTAGATAGCTCAGTTGATATCGCATGTTTCTCAATGAAAGGTTCACTCATAAATGTTCGCTAATAAAGAGATCTCTCACAAGTTTCACGGACCAATCTGTTCAGAAAACGCTCGACATCTTTTAGTGTGGCTCTACCGCGAACGATGTGTGCATATTTTGTATGCGTTTTGAGCGTATTATACACAGTGTCTGTGCCCATTTTGCTCCGCGAAAGCTTCTCATCGTCTGCCATTACACTATATCATGTGCTCATTAGTCAAAACGTCACGCATGCGTCAGAGTCAAAAGGTTGTGCATGCGTGACGAGGACTTGACTGCGATTTGCGACCTAACGAAAAAAAAGCGTTTCTGGAATTTCAACTCGGGCGTTTCCTTTGGAATGCCCCAATAATAATTCGCTATTTGGCACTACGTCAGTATTGTGCCATCAGATTGACAACAAGCAAATGAATTGTCTGCCTGGTTTATCTTGGGGCTGAAGGCCACCGAAAGATCATCTAACCTAGAAAAGCACTTATCTCCGTAGTTATCCGGCAATCGTTGGATCGATTGGCGAATTTCTAGGGTAAAGAGTAAGTTAATTCGTAAAGGAAGGCTTTGGTCGATGTGAGGATGCAGGCAAAGCGGTGTTGGTCGATATTGTTGGTCAACTTTATAATCTATACGCAGACTGCTCAACCCGGTAAGTAGATATCTAAATACTTCATTGTTTCATAACATTTACATTTAGATATTTTTAATAAAAATATTCAACGAATGCTAACTTTAAACAGAGGTTTGTAGGATTTTGACACCGTTTTCGCTCTTTTTGAGAAAAGACGCTCGTATACTGCTCGTAGGCAATCTTATATAATACCACCGATCGCAATGGACGCAGCCACGCGTTATTAAAACATCTAAAACTCAACGGGTGTTGGGCTCGAACGTTTGTCAACGGGCTTTCTACTAGTTTGTCTTCTACCCGGGAATTTGGAACTTATTAAAAGTTCTCGGTAGATCCTCGCCAGGCGGTGCAGCCTTATCGAAAATGCGAAAGTTTGCTATCGATCAATTGACAAGTTGTTACCCTCCCACTCTCAAAAGTGGCTCTCGAAAGTTAGATTTGGAGAAAAATTTCTTTTTCTGGATCCTGTAGAAATATATGGAACCACTCAAAAAGTACCTGAAAGAAGTTTCTCTCGTAGGATCTAAGATTATACGCAGAAATGCACAAAAAGTAATGTTGAGGAGAATTTTGTATCCTGAATCACAACGTTCGAGCTAACTTACTCTCATTAAATAGGCCCGGGTCGCACTAGGGACGTTTTGATCAATATTCCGTCAAAAAAGGATTAATGTCTGTCATTACAACGCGTTTTCTTATGCGACCGGTGTTTCAAAAATTTCTAAAATTTCGGAAAGTCAGCAGAAACTTCAAAGACTGAACGGGTGGGGCAGGCAGATTTTGAAAAAATCGAAAAAAACAAAAGACACCGCTTCCGGAGCTGTCAACGCAGTCATTTGACCCAGATATGACCTGCAGTTAAACTATTCAATCGGAGGGAATTTTAATATTCAACCTCCAACTTTCAGCATGGATGGATGTTTTCCTTTTTACTATGCGCCAGGGTCGTTCCTAAGCCAAAATTTTCGTCATTTCGACCCTACATTGGCTGGACCGATCTTAGATCAAGCGGAACCCAGCGGGATTTTGCTTAATCCGTCCGATAGTCCGGCATGTGTTGTAAGTGTTAGCGATAGCCCGACCACAGGCGACCCAAGCTCCAGCTGTGAGATGATCATCTTGAACAATAACAGTCACAATAACAGTCACAATAACAGTCACAATAACAGTCACAATAACAGTCAATAACAGTTGTTTGAGAATATTTACGACCGCTCTTAGGAATCAAACAATACGTCAAATTCTCAATAAAAAATAACTCACCTTACTTCCACAGCGCATCACTTGTTATCTGTTCGCTTTCTTTGATGAAAAGAACCCATTTTAGCGAGTTGTCCACTTCGAGGTTTTCAACGTACATAAGAAAAGCCCTATGTAAGTTGAAAACCTCGAAATGGACAGCTCGCTAAAATGGGTACTTTTCATTAAGTGATACGCTGTGAAAGTAAGGTGGATTATTTTCATTGAGAATTTGACGTATTGTTGTATTCCTTAGAGCGGTCGTAAATATTCTCATACAAACTCTTATTATTCCGCCATGTCTGTTATTGTGCAAGATGATCTTCTCACAGCTGGCGCCTGGGCTGCCTGTGGCCCGACCAGCTCAAGGTCAGCTGAAGGTTTGGCAGAAAAAAAAGAAAGCAATACGACAAATGGCCGCAAGAAGAGCAAAGAGCTCAAGTAGTGAATATCAAACCATGATTCGGCTGAGCTAGGGATGGTCCACATGTAAGGTGCAACACGAATTCAAGGTTTTCTTCTAAGAAAAGCGACATTCAGGATTTGTATATATTCATTTACCCATCTCTGATACAGGATGAAAAAGGCAAATATTTGTTACTGTTGCATGTCGATAATTTGTCGAAGTAGAATGGCAAAAGCAAAGCAAAATGTCTGATTTGGATTCATATTTATTACGGCACAATACGCGCCAGAAATGAAATCTGATCGACTGTGTTTATTTTGACCTGTTTATGTATTTCGGTATTGCGACCCAAAAATTGTGTCACATTTTTCGGCTCTTCCGATTACGGTTTCAAATTTTCGAAAATTTTCCTAAGGGGAAATATGCAATAATTCTTACTTCGATAACACGACTATATCAACTGTACTGCCGGTATAAAATCTGTCTCCTAGGAATGGCATTATCCCCCAGCAAAACTTAGCATAGTTGCAATATTTGTTACTACAAGAATGGGGTTTTACTGCGCTTTTTCACTCCAAAACTAATAGTAAACGATTAATATTATTAAAACTGACTTGAAATATCAATTATTAAATCTTTATAGACAATTATCCACCACGTGTTCAAGATACTCTAAAACCACGGTATGTCGCTAGATTAGGAGATATAAAACGGTTAAGATGTGCTGTGACAGGGCTTCCACCACCGAATATCACATGGATCAAAAAAGACCAGCCTTTGCACCAGTCTGAGAGGATAAGAAAGCTAAACAAGAACAAAACTATTAAGATCAAAGGAGTCCGACTTGATGACCAAGGCAACTACACCTGTATTGCTGAAAATCCTCTGGGTAAAGTCAACCTGACGCTCCAGTTAAACGTGCGTCATGATGAAATTCTAACAACTACTGGTTCACCAGTAGCAACTAAAAGACCCACAACTGAGCATCAGGCTAGAGGTAGGCAATCATATAAGATCTACAGAGAAGCACCTCATCATGAGTTTGTTCATAATGGTTCAACCTTCTTGATTTGCAGAACCAACCCTAATACTTTGGTGGCTATTTATAAGTTTGACTTAAAAATGAAAACAAAAATAGGACTGCAGAAACGCTTTCGGCGACTTTTCGACACTTTGCACCCTAGGCCCAGATCATCCACCATCGAGTACGCACAAGTATCTAAGCCGGCATACACTTTTTTTTGTAAGAACCTTTTCTTTTTACAAGAACGTTCAGGTTGGAATAAACCAAATTTTTAAAACAAACTTAGAACACACCCAGGCTGAGAGTCAGTTAAGGTCGTCTATATTTTGCCCCTTTCCGTCAGAAGTGTAAATTAATGTGGAAGAAATGTAAAACTCTGGTCTAACGGAACAATAACTAAAAAACTTAAGGATATTTTTTAATATTAGCAATGTCTTTATATTATTGCACGATACACTGAATAACTTTTCAGTTTGTAGTCTAACTTAATCGATTAATTGAAATACTATACCACGCTCAAATCGCAAAAAAAATTAGAATGTTCAGCCCCAGCCCCAAAATTACGCCTTGTTATAAAAAAAAATGTATCCTAACAAGAATAAGTACCGTTATTTCTCCCTGACCACAATTTAGAGATACGTACCTGGTCTTGAGAAACGATCTCTTTTTTCAGATTTCATGACGAATCTCAAGACTCGGGAATCAAGTGAGTACCTGTCATCTTGTTTAATTACTTTAGGTAACTCATGGATAATAACTCATTAGAAGAATGTCAATGCACTCAGCGAAACGCATAACCCTCTTGTGAAAAAGAGACAATGAATACAAACAAAGTAAAAAGGAAGGAGCGAGGAGAAGCGGATAACAACGCGGAAATTCCAAAACGAACAGTGTACGTGTCATGCTTGTAGATGGACAGAGTAGTGGGGCAGATAACACGTTACATGCGCGCGTTGCTGTTGCACTCTTCGCCGAGTTAATTGTTCTTTCGGTTGAACCGATGGCTAGTTTGTTTTGCAATTTTTTTTTGATTTTTGATTCTGTGCCGTCCGATTGTTTGTAATCATCCGCGTGATCAGAAAATCGGACTCCCATTTATCGTTCGTCCGATTACGTAAATCACTCGTTTGATTACAGACCGAATAGGACCCCACTCGTTTCTATTATAATTTTTATCACCATTACTAATCATTCATCCACTCGGTTCAACGGTATGTACGAGCTTTATTATTTTGTTTTTGTTTCTGTTTTTGCACTTTAGCAGGAGCACCAATATTTAGTGATCCAAACTTGCTGAAGAGATCGTTCAGGGCATGGCCTGCATCACACTCCATACGACTAAAATGTCAAGCAATTGGTGCACCACCGCTCAAATACAAATGGTTGAAGGATGGAAAGGACTTAAAGAAACGACTTAAAAATGCAAATGTTGATACGTCCCTTTGGTACCTGAAATATATTATGGGTGCAACTGTTAATACTTCACTTTGGTACCTGACACTGCGAGATCTTGTACCCGCTGATTCTGGGAGATACACTTGTATAGTGTCCAATCTATATGAATCAATAAATCACACCTTTACGCTTCAAGTTGTTAGTAAGTCCAGTTAAACATACCGTAGAGGATTCATCAAGAAGCAAACTTCAACAGTGCACATATTTTTTATGATTGTGTTGAAGTAGTTTCAACAGCTTTATTTAATTCAATCCGCAAAAACTTCACATCTTACTTTTGAAGAGTTTTCCGCCAAACTAAGTAATGTTGTAGCATCTTTTGAGCTCTTTGCATATGAATTTTCTTCGATCACATTGATCACTTCCTACGAAACATTGACACAATCGAAGAAAACGCGTGGCAGACATTTTTAAACTTTAGCGTCCTTGCTAGAATCAACTTGCGCGAGGTAATTATAACGAAGTACGACGCCATCTTCAACCAATCAGAGCGTGCGCATGTCTATAATCACAGGAGCAATTATACTAATCATAATTAAGCAACACTTTTTTCCATGTTTACATAGCCACCTCTAATCACTCAAAGAGTTAGATTTCCTAACCTTTGGGAATTCTTCTTACCCCTCGGGTGTTTAGAGGTAGGTAAGTGAAGAAGGAAAAAAGTCGAGTTGAACACTCGAAGACAACTTCCATATCTACGCGCGCCATTGTATTATTCTCTAAAAATTTTTTTTCTGGCTTCTGATTTGTACATCATGAAGTAATATTTTTAGAGCTTCAAGTATCTTCTCTTCAAAATTATCTTCCCTTTTCTCAACAGCTAGACCTCGGTCAGCTCCGATCCTACAGACAGGTCTTCCAAAGAACAGAACTGTGCAACTTGGAGATAATGTAACATTTACCTGTATTGTTCTTGTTAGTGGAACTTCCCTGGATTTCAGATGGCTTAAATGGAACAAATCCGTCAATTCTATTCCGAAAACTTACAATGAAATTTTAAATGGATCATATCGCCTTATAGACCCATACTATTACAAGACCGTTCGAGTAAAAAGTAATTATGGTGTCGAGTTGAATATTGTAAATGTGACTGAGGACGATTTTGGACTCTACACTTGCCTTGTGAGCAATCATATCGGCAACGATTTCAGTAGTGCATTCCTCAGCAAAAATGTGCAACCCAAGGATGCTGTTACGGGTTAGTATCTGTTAAAAACTCGACGTCGCACACTTTCACGCATACTCTCCAAATGACTCCCTTTCTGTAATGTAACTTCCAAGAAATCCCCGTACCTATGCAAATTAAGCTTTGAGGTTTGTTTGGAAATAGGACTACAAATGGAATGCTACCTCTGAAGTTTGCGTCCTTGAGCAGTTTGAAGTCTCGCATTTTGAAAATTATACTTCGAAGCTTGTACTCTAAAATATAACGGCGAATGCAACAATGTGCACATAACTTTTAAAACTTCACGTTTCAGTAATACACTCTTGCTTTAGAGAAATCACGTTGACAAGGATCTCAGCGGTTGCTCTGAAAGTATTTAAAACCCTCAAGTCCTTCAAGAAAAGTACTAGCTTTTAAAATAAGAGAAAGCACAAATTACAAGTTGTACAAATGTATGATCATGAAAAAATGAAGACGACGGGAGGTGACCTTAACTACAGCTATGAAGCTTATTCTTTTCACCTGAGAGTAGGTCTGCGTTCATTGTTTTACATTTCAAACTCTCTTTGCAGTATGGACGAAATAATTTCAACTAGTCATTTCATTGAAAGACAAAACTCTATGTGCTAACAAATCAGTACTTTCGTATAAATTGATCGTAGTCGACCATGATTCCCAACAAGTGAATAATCTAAGCCGGCCAGAAAAACTGCATGTCAAATGACTTAATTTTGTTTAAATTGTCAATTCTTTTTACATTTTTGCTGAACTTAGGAAATCTATTTACATCAACGGTATCGACAGTTGGATTGGCACCAGTGAGTTCGACTGAGAACCACCCAGGTAAGCTGTAAATCGTCTATAGGTACCCTATACATGATCGTCCAGTGGAAGACGCTCCGCCACAACTATCAAGGTTGGTGGCCACTTCGAAACGCAAATGAGTACCAACAACCTAAACTGGAAGAAAACTAAGAGGGTGCGTGGGTGAGCAGGTGGTAGTGCACTGTTGCGCATAGTTCACCAGGAGTTTTTTTTTTCTTTTGAAGCATTTACATGCGAATCAAAATACCCACGAATTGCAATTTAATCATATCTACATTTTTTTTCAAGGGAATAAATGATCCTCGCGGGTAAGCTGCAATTAAATTAGGCTCCTTTGCAGCTGCTTAAATTGTCGCTCACCTGCTAGGATTATTCTTCACTTGAATTTTATCCACAGGTCTAAAATGAAATTGATTTCATAATTATTGTGATCTAAATTTTTTCCGTTATTTCTCGACAGATGTTCTTGGAAAACAACACCCTCAGCCGGTTGATCCTAACCACTCGAGATACATTATTCCGGTAGCGATGCTGTTAGGTGGAGCTGTCATTGCTGCAACCGTGGTGGCATGTTGTCTTTGGAAAAAACTAAAAGGAACGTTTCCACGTCAGGCTTTACAGATGGATGTAATTACTTATTCAGGAGAACCAAGAAAATTACACAACGAGTACGTCTTCCCCCAAATGTGAATAGACCGTTAGAGTAATTTCGTTTGACCTCAAAAGAACGAACCGTTCGACGTAAACAGAGCCAGCGGACTAGTGAACTGAAATATACCCAAATAGATTAACCCTTTCCAACATCAGTATGCATATTCTCCATACTGTTCTCTATACATTTCCTAAGGTGCTGACAAGGAGAATTTGTTTAACAATCAAGAGCTCCTTTGACTGTCATTTTCTTTATTCTCATAACCTGAATGTGTGATTCAGAGGTGATATTGTAAGGAGAAATTAGATGCTAGTTACCCTTAGGGGTTGAACGGTTAAGGTAGCGATGGTTGAGAAATAGCTAAGTTGCCGTATAGTAACTGTAACGTTCATCATACGACTTGACAATAAACGTGTCGAAAAAAGCAAATAGAATCTTAAGCCTATAACCCTGTACAAAGTATAGTGCTATTGGTCTATATCCTGATCTTAACAATTAATCCGATTTCAAAACTTTTTCAAATTGGGTTACATGGTCATAATTACTCCCCAGTCTCCAGCGTACGAAGTCACTACACCATGGTCAATTACGCCCGTTGTTAGACAAATCATGCCTTTGCGTATGTCAAGGTCAGACAGCAATACTGTGGTTATACTTCACCTTAAGCTGTCATCTATATTATCTGCTATGTTAGCTCCTAATATCTGCAAGAGGTGTTCTATCCACTTCTAATAACAGTCATAACACAAAGCAACAACTAAATAATAGTCACGCATTTTCATAGTTTCATCATCTAGCCGAAGATTCTCTGCACTCGATTTCCGCTGATCTTTAGAGCCAACGGCTGGTTATCTAGAATCCTCTAATGACTGTTTTTGAGTTGCAAAATATCAGTGTTTCTGTTTATGTTGTTACCAAGTTAGAAAATGGAGTGAAAAACAGTTTGTATTGGTTTAGAAATTGTGGCAGGGGAACCTGCCATTTCTTGCGCACAGCAGCTAAATATTTTGCTAAGTTTTGATCTTTGCTACTAATTGTTATAAAATAGCCGACTTGGTTGTTTTTCCATTTTATTATTGAAGGCGAGTGATTGAATTTAATCTCAGTTGATTTCCTTTTCCTTGCTTGTTCTTTTTTTTCTTTTTTATCTTGTTATTTTATCATGGTTCTTCTCACGTTATGAATCCCGCTGCAGCTTGCGCAGAAAATTAACATGTTTTCCGTATTAAGCACCATCCACGCGATGAGAAAATAACTAAAAATAGAAGAAAGCTCTTCACTAAATGCTTGAGTGGCTTCTGAGAGCCACTGATATGTGAAGAGGGCGTAAGGAGCACTTAAGAATAGACTCCAAGTCATTTTCGTTCGCGAATACTACATGATTTATAGCATGAACAACAAAGAGAGTGTGATGTTATGCAACTGGTACAACTGGTATACAATACTCTGACAAAATGAATTGTTTCGGAGATTAAGGTAAGTGAACATATCACTGCAAGGCCAGTGTTTACAATGCTGAAGCGATTGTCGGAAAATTTTTTGTCTGATACCCTTCGAGACTTAGACCACCAACAGCTGCTATCAAAACAGTCTAGATTTTAACAAAATATACGCGACAGGTTAACGAATTTCTCGTCCTCGCCATCTAGCAACGAGTCATAGAGTGATATGGAAGCAAAAGAGACGGCAGAGTGAGGTAAAGTGAGCATATTAACATCTTCCTACGAATGTAGCACTTTGCGAAGGCTTATACAGCTCATAAAAAAAACAAAAACAAAAACAAAAACAAAAAAGATGCAATAAATTAATACCATGATAAAAATTATGGCTTAAAAATTGAGGAGCGTATGAACTGCAGCATCGTAGTTATCGCTGATCATTAAGCTCGTACCGTTCAAGACAATTTAATTACAACGTTATTCGTTAGCCCTAATCAAGGTGAGCGTGTTACCACTATCACAATATTTCAACCAAAAATGGTTTTTATAATTCTCAGAGCTTGAGAATCAAGTTTATTCCAAACTTTTGTCACCCGCAGCAGTTATGTCCCGGATTTGCTCGCTGTTCATCAAATCTTTAATTTAAACGGAAGTTTCTCGGTACCTCGGCAGTTAACAAATGTACAAGCCTCTCAGCCTTTATGATGCACATTAGATATAGACGATAAAAACATAACTTTCATGACCACTCGGTAAGTGAGAACTTGTTCATGTTTAATCTGTCGCTTTTTGTGCTGAAAGAATGTCAAAGTTTCCACCGCAGACTTTCATCAACTTTTTTACGAATCATCAGAATGGGTAATTTGTGTACGTGCTCACCGATTGTTTGCAAACAATTTGCGGCAAGATCATCTGCATGTAAATTACAGAGTAGGAGAAGGCGTATTGATGAAATTGTCGTCTCTGTCCCTTTCGCCCTTCGAGCGTGGATAATAACTTGTCTTTTAAAACAATTCCTTAGTCAATTATATGAAATACTATCGTATTCCGGAGACATTTTCGACACAATAAAGTGGAAATTTAGGATCAAAGCCAAATCTACATCTGCTTTCCCTTGAGTGGGAGGGATGACAGCTATGCCGATTTGCTTCGCTATCGGCAATGCAAAGCAGTTATAATTAATTGCTCTGAAAGTTATGCATTTCAATTTATCTCTAAATCTAGACGGCCACTAATAAACCTTATTCGCGCGTTTACTTTAAAGCTATTTAAAAAGTCAATTCCTTAAACCTCACGTTTAAAACGCTGTTGAGTTCGTGTCGTGCTCGAAAGTTAATGAAATGTACTGTAGTAGCTCCAAATCGTTAAAGATTCATGACCGGATAAGAGCATTTACGTTAGTGATATCAAAAGCAACTGCTGACAAATTAATAAAGAGAATGGCAAATAACTCTAATTTCCATTCTCGATGATTGAGGACACAAATACGAACAGAAGATTGTTCCCCCGTGACACCTGCCATTTGCCCTTAGGCTCTGATAATGCTATTGTGTAGCTGCCAAGACCGCTAAACCGATTTGTATACCTTCGAAGGCAAAGTGTTCTAATTTGTTATCAGTCTGCATGTTAGAGGTTTACAGCAGAACGATAATTGCACAGAAAAAGGATTAGTGTAAACAGGGGTAAACAACGAATCGCTGCGAGGATTCAAGACTGCTCTTAGCTGTGCGCAATAGTTGAAATGAAATCTCTTGAGCTCCAACGTTTTCCTTGAACTGGACGTGGTTGAAGGTATGGCCTGTAGTACAACATAGTGGACTGCATCACTTTAAGAAATTGGTGTAGACAGCATTAAAGGATATGTAATTGTAATATTGTTTTTTGAACATAATTTCGAAACCATAAATGTATTCTTTACGTGTGACATGGACCCTTGATTGAATAGGCAAAATATAATCCCAATACAGAACCCTCAGGGCTATTTCCCTTTGATATAAAACGGCTTTTCAAAAAAAGATTAAAAAAGGGAAAAAAATCGTTGATAATTTTAGGCAAAGGTTTCACTTAGCTCTCGATATAACAAGGAAGAATTTCATCTTGGCTGGCTACTTTTCTCAGTAAGCGAAAATGGAGTGCTAGAGTAAGGAAAGTGGAAGCCTTTAGTACAAAAATATCTCAAAACATGCTTAAAATGCTAGCCTGGAAGCAAGGAATAATTAAAACTAATACCACCACGAATTATGTCGCGGTATTTATGCAGCGTTAAAGTAGTCCTTAGGCTAAATGTTCCGTGAACTTTGCCGTTTAACCATTAAATTTTCATTCCGTCTGAACTTGAATTAGAAGAGTCACCTGTGGTGACGCTGACGTGTACTTACTTTCATGATTCGACCATTATAGCCGCAAGACGTAATCAGAAAGGTTCCAACACTTTCGCAAAAAAAACTCGACACCAACGAATCTTTGGCCAAAGTTGTTTCAATAAAGATAAGTTTTTTTCGAAAGTAGTTGGTGCAGGTTTCAAGGCGAGCACTGGTCAGACATCATAAACAACTACACAGAGTCTGCCTCAAACCTACTCTCCGATAAACTTCTAAGCACGACATCAAGTAGACACGCTCATAGAAGTAAAGAAAAAAAAATGATAAAATCCAGCGACGAGGATTTATCGTCTCGGACCTTAAATAATTCAAAATAAACTAAAATCAGAGGTACCTTATTTTGTGAATACATAATGTAAGGAAGTACGGGGGCGGGCAATTTTTGGATTAGCAAGCAATTTTTGAGCTCTTCCACTGTTGCTTAAAAAACAGAAAGAGCAAGTAGGTGCTGTTTCATAAGCTTTGTTTCATAACAGACGTTGTTACGTTCCGTTTTTATTCAGCTATCACTAAATCAAATTACTGTGTATTTGAGGTTATAAATGGAAGTATCGAGCTTGACCAACTCGTAAAGTTATAGCTCGTGGTTTTGACCTCTTTTGAGAAATATACGTTTAAATGTAGAAATTATAACAATAACGTTAATTTTTGATAAGGCGGTGGGTTTAAAATGAATCAACTTTCAATTCATCCTTCAATTTAATCAAGTTACAAACTTTGATAAGAAATCTTAGCAACTCTACAGCATAACAAAAGAAACCTTCATTCTTTCTCCAAATACTCATAATCCGAAAACATGTTTAGTATCTGCACTTGACAGCTCAATAACATTTACGTCTAGCTTGAGTATATGCATATCAACCTTTCTGTCACGATTAACTTCGCTTTTACAGAACAATTTAACCAAAGTTACAGATTAATGGTCATGACAAGTGACTAGCTTAATCTCTGAAGAGGTAAAAACAGTCTTAAAACCCACCGCTAAGGATTAAAAAAAAACTCTTTGTGGCAGAATATATCGTCTGGATAAGCTCCGGCTCTTCAAACTTAATTATTCGTGAAGGGTTTTCATTTTAATATCGCAATATAGCGATATGGCCGGAAAAGACCAAACAACGACGAAACAAAATAAATGAAGAAAAAAACCGAGATGTACAATCATTTAAACCGAAAATCAAATGCAATGTTTACACGTTGTAGATGATTAAATCTATAACAATTGTCTTACAATATCATAATAGTCGTTTTCTAATATTGTGAAGTAAAATAAATGAATTGAAGCGAAAAAAAAATGTTAAAGTACATATTAACCATATTAAGACAAATCACAAAACTTCACCATTTAACCCTTTAACTCCCAAGATCTGATTGTTAATTCTCCCCTGTAGCTGCTACACATTTCCTTGTAAATTAGTTATGAGAACTTGGTGCTAGATCAAGATGATAACATCTTTTACCTGATAAGTTTGAATATTCTCATTACCTGTTTGCTGAAAATGTATTGATATTGTAGGGAGAAGTTTTATGTTAATCACTTCTGGGTGTTAAAGGGTTAAACATTACGAGTCAATCAATTCCCTGGTAACCTAAAAACGGGGGCAAGAGAGTATAAAGCCTCAAAGACTATTACTTCTAGATTTCTGATGATATCTACCCAACTAATTACTACGGCCAATCACAACAAAAGCTTTTAAATTTCAAATGCAGCCAAACGGAACTCAAAGAAAATACATACACAAACAACAAAACACGACTGAACAAACCGCAATTGGTTTCAGTTTTGAGTCTGATTGGTCGGCAGATGCGGCGCTAGTTTTCTAAACCCATCAGTGAGTGCGGTACCAAAGCATATCGAATTCAATCCTGTATTACTCTCAGCACGCAAACGAGAGGTGATGGGAATTGAATGAAAACAGATTTAAAGTCTTCATTCAAAAGTCTCTATTCTCTTATTAAATTATCTATTTTTCAATAACGCATACCGATTTCATTTATTGATTTCAATCACCAGCAGTTTGGGTTACTTCAGTATTCGACATTTCGCTAATCTGCTCAATCAGTCAACTGCTTTATGACCTTTAAATAAAATGCTGTAACCACCACGACATTTTTCGTGGATAGGATATACTCCATTGCTTTCAAATTACTGTTTAATTCCAGCCTCAGTAAGGAAAATAGGATTACGTTCAGACATTGAACAGTATGATCTAAACCGATATCGGACACGCTTGTTTTTCAGAAAATAAGGCGCATTGTCTTTGTACCGGTCCCTGAAGAGCAAAAGTTGGAAAATATGTTGTTTAGACTCGAAAGACATTTTGTTATAATTTAAAACAATCCCTTTGGGGATACTTTCTGAAAAAGTTTCTTTTTTGGGGAAAGGGATGGGGGGGGAGGGGGGGGGACGGTGATGGAGCAAAACCGAATATTGAAGGTAACGTCGCGGCTACCTGTACACGTGTTCTAACCGTGAGATGCAAGTCATCTGGAGTAGACGAACAAGAGTAACTTAACTCTACAGTGCGCCAAGAACACGTCCATTTCCAACCGAGCGTCTCACATCAGAATTTGGTGCGGCATACCTAATGGAAAAACCGGTTCACGCTCTAGTTAGGATTCCTCGCCCAAATCATTTCGAGTGGTTTGGAAGCAGTCCAGCTTCGGTTCAATGTGAAATGTTGTGTATCAACTACACCCACACAGTTGACAACTGGAAGAAGGATTTAATTTTTTTTTTCAAATTCTTAGACGTTTTTGTTCATTCTCTGAACCGGATTTAGACCGATGACAATTAGCTCCCCTTAGTAATCCTACAGCTAATCCACGAATATCGCCTTAAGATAAATACTGTGAACTAAAGCTGCTGCGCTGAGATTGAAACAGTGCCACATAACAAGACACCTCACTGCCAACTCTTTGGAAGGAGGGTGGCACTGGGTAACATAATCTCGCGATGATCACGACGAAGTGTTTATGTGGGTATCCGGAATGTTTCCTTTAGCGTTTTTTTGAGGCACAAGAGTGAAATGCCATGGTCTAGCAGACAAACCTGGACATCTGTTAACGCAACAAGTACCAGAGACGGCCGCATTCTCGTGCAAGAATGATAAGATTCTTAATAAAGACCTGACCTGATGGTTATCCCTACTCGACATTTCTGTATACTGCACGAAAATCACGAGTTATCGGAGCAGCTACAAAGGTCTCGAAGAGTGATCTGTTCTTTAGTTTACTTTCTTCGCAGTCTATCATAAACTATTTTTACCATTCAAAAGTAAGAATTGGTCAAACTTCCTAAACAAAGGGAAATGGTCGACTCTGGCAATATAAACTTTCGTGTGACTGTCAGGACACCTGCTAAAAGGATTTCACAGCTCTAATTGCCATCTTCTCTCTAAAGCAGCTTTCAAAACTCCACCCACAAACAGATTATCACAACGCTTCTCTATACAACTTCGTTAGCATACGCCGGCTTTGTATCAGCATCAACTAAGTGCGCTGAACTGGAAAAAATGAAACATTTTTGCGTCAGTCTAGTTTTTTTTTTCTCCTTTTTTTCGAGGTCAGGTACAACGTAACTACAACTATCATAGCGAAATACAAACAATCTCCTTGGTCGCACACAATTCCCATGATTACATTGTGATCTGTTCATTTTATGCTCTGGCGCCAACCTGATGATTACAAACTGACCAGTTATGATTTATGAAACGTTATCCATCAACGCCGGTCTCTAAAACCGCATTCCGATCTCGCCAAACAGACATTGTTGTAGACGGGTGCGCCAAGAGATGTGATGCAATTTTTAAACTTGGTTCGTTGCAAAATATGAAAATTTCGAACGTGGGTTTCCGAATTTGCAAAGGAATCGTAAGACACGTGTTGACTGCTGTATGATTTCCGTTTCAAAAGATGATACATTTCCTCAAGTGATTTCAACACGCGACAACTACCGCATACAAAAAGGCGTGAAGAGTCTCCTCTGGTTCATGTACAGCGGTTCAATTTACCACTTGAGATCTTGGACATCTCATCTTTGAACTAAACAAGCGCTTTGAAGTCCGTCATGGAGCCTTGTCTCTATGGCATAAATACATATTAATATAAAAAAGAACAATTTCTGCCGAACTTTTCAATAGATTTCAACGACCCGATAATAACTTATACAGATTTTTGTGCAAAAAGAAAATCAGATTCTAAAAAAAGATAAAAATTCATAGAGGGAAATTTTCTAATTTAGGGTAAAACAACATTAGCACTGGCCACCTGCCTGACATAATTACTGCTAGAAGCTCAATTTAGAGATCGCAAAATTCCGGCTCTTCTTTCCATAAGATATTTATAGCCAGAGTAAGCCTTTAATTTTCTCGATATTGGGATTCTTGCTGAGTACTTGACAAATGTAACGTAAATAAATAAAGTTGGAACATGGTTATTTCTGTATGAACGAGTGACAATTGAATTTGTCGTACACAACAAGTGCTATCTGAGTACTGTTACAACACTCGAGAGAGTCTCAAAAGGGTTAAGAGTACATTTCACAGCGTGAAAACGATATAACAGTTAATAGACACATTTTCTGTTTTTAGTACATTATACTACAAATAGAATTTCTGTTATTTCGTGGGAGTGCAAACATATGAATTTGAAAATTTCAGACATTCCGAGGTATGGTTCAGTTCGATCGACAAAACACAAAATCAAGGCCGAATTGCTGAAAGATGAGAGCGATAAGAGTCCACGAAAGGGGCGTCACATCTCGTGTTTCTCAGGAATCCACCTCTAACTATTTTTGTCTGCCTGCAGGTATTGAATTTTGCAGCAGCCCTCCTGCTTACAAAGTTAAATGCATTAACAAGACCAGACCAATTTTCGCACACCTAAGAGCTGCCCAAGAAAAATAAAAAGACATCAGGAGGCACAGATTAACTATTTACAGTCACGAGGTAACGAGAAAAGAGTCGCAGCTAATGCTAATGAAATAGATATCCGTACAATTCGGGTAAAGAATTGGAACAGATAAGCAGGTCAATAAACATTCCGAACGAGGCACTGTTAATTTAAAACACGTTGACAAAAGCACCTAAGCCATTACTATGACAATTGTACAGATGGAAGGAGACCTTTTCGGTAATCTCATTTAGAGTCATCCTCTGGTTTGTAAAAGTACGGAGTAGAAAAGGAGCAGGCTACAATTTCCCCAAATATTTTGCGAATCACACGATTTACATCCGTATTCGCGAGTCACCAGTAGTGTACGAGGTAGCGAGTTCGTCAGGTGAGCTGTTTTTTTCATTCGTAGAACTGTTCGCAGCTTCGGCTTCTCTTCTTTCTCATTATAATAGTTATAGTTTGCGCTACGATTGCCAACAGCCTTTGTGATGAAGTGGCTGTCCTCATGGAAAAGTAAATACGGGATCGATTGTTTACTTGAGGCAAACAGTTTGTTATCACACGTATTGGCTATTTAGTGAGAATCCCCCGGAGGATTGAGGAATGTTGTTAAAATGTTGTTTTCGAAGGAAGATTTGTTATTAACCAAACAACACAAAGCTTGCGAAGAAGGAAAATAGTAAGCGATGAGGATCAATGCTTCCGTCGCTTGCTAAGATTTCCTTCTCAAATTTTTAATGTTTTTAACTGGACCACGGTAGTACTTTCACTAAACAATCTTCCTGCGGTTTTAACAAACTCTTGGTCTTAATGGTGTGAGTTCCTTCTCGACGCACTCATCAGATCTAAAAGGCACAGACCTCAGTGAATATGCAAAGGATTCTGTTAATGTGCTTCCAAAAAGACCAAGAAGTGATTAGGACCTGAATAATAAATTTGCCCCAGGGGTACAAAAACCTCATTCAACCGGAAACGCGTGAGTACTTGACATCTATTGTATTTTTGACATGATTGATAGAGGTGTGGCCATTTGTCACTTGAAACTATTGAAATTTCACACAAAATTCAACCAAAGCCAACATACCGAGACCAGTGAAATACTAAGCCAATCAAAATTCACTTGCAAAGGAATTTGTGTCGTTGTTTGGCTGTGCTTAACGCTGAATCACTAAGAGAATTGGAATATCGACTTTTTCCGGACAAAATTTCCCCTTTGTCGCTCTATACATCTTCATGAAAGCAAGGCATCTGTCACGGTGACATCAAATAGAAAATAATTCGCTATTTGGCACTACGTCAGTATTGTGCCATCAGATTGACAACAAGCAAATGAATTGTCTGCGCAGCCCCAAGATAAACCAGGCAACTTGAGAAGTGGAGGGCACCTAAAGATCATCTAACCTAGAAAATCACTTATCTCCGTAGTTATCCTGCAATCGTTGGACCGATTGACGAATTTCTACGGTGAACAGTATGTTAATTCGTAAAGGAAGGCTTCGGTCGATGTGAGGATGCAGGAAAAGCGGTGTTGGTGGATATTGTTGGTTAACTTTATAATCAATTCGCAGACTGCTCAACCCGGTAAGTAGATATCTAAATACTCCATTGTTTTATAATATTTACATGTAAAGGAAAAAGGGCCTTCCTTGTTTAAAGTTTGGTTAAAACGGTTGACTCGGACAGATCTTTGTACGAGTTAATGTAAAATGAAAACGGTTTCCGCTTTTTCTGTCAGCCTAAATTAAAAGTCGTGTGTGAGATCTCGTCACGCTTCGAAAATCAATTTGAAGTAATATGTCAAGATCAATGGCTCTATTCATTAGAATCATGCAAGGAAAACTCGTTATTACTAGACGGGTCAAAGGAAATGCTACAGAATAGCTTCACGTACATTCGCGAATGTTTGTTCAACGCTTAAGCATAGCAAAGTAGATAGCAAATAAGACACTCGGTCATCACAAGCTGCTGTTTACCATTTGCATTGTGTTCGGCATTGTTGCCTTGTGATATTTCTGGTCTCTCCAGCTGCTCTTAACGCCTTCACGTTTTATCAGTCATTCAAAGAGTAAAGAGCATATTCGCACTGTACTCGCGATTCAAGCGAAAGGTTATGGTCCTAAGTCACAATAAACAATATTCGAGGGAAAATCGTTTTCCGTCGAAAAACAATTCCGTGTTCGTGATCGTTTTATGGCCACCTTGATTTCTTCGGCGACAAGGTGCCAATATCCCAAATGGAAGTGATATAGGAACTAACACTAATCATATTTTAATAAAAATATTCAACAAATGCTAACTTTGAACAAAGGTTTGTATGATTTTGACCCTGTTTCCTTTCTTTTTGAGAAAAGACGCTCGTATATTGCTCGTAGGCAATTTTATTTAATACCACCGATCGCAATGGACGCTGCCACGCGTTATTAAAACATCCAAAACTCACGGGGTGTTGGGCTCCAACGTTTATCAACGGGCTTTCTACTAGTTTGTCTTCTACCCGGGAATTAGGAACTTATTAAAAGTTCTCGGTAGATCCTCGCCAGGCGGTGCGGCCTTATCGAAAATGCTGCGGTTTGCTATCGATCAATCGACATGTTACCCTCTCGCTCTCAAAAGTGGCTCTCGAAAGTTAGATTTGGAGAGAAATTTCTTTGTTGGATCCTGTAGAAATATATAGAACCACTCAAAAAGTACCTCAAAGAAGTTTCTCTCGTAGGATCTAAGATTATACACAGAACTGCACTAAAAGTAATGTTGAGGAGAATTTTGTATCCTGAACCAAAACCTTCAAGCTAACTTACTCGCATTAAATATTAACAATTTGACGGTTGAATGAGAGGGAATGTAATAAAGAAATGAGTTTACACTACAAACCATTTGGTTTTATACTGTAAATGGAAAAAAGGATAGGTTGCACTGCTAAAATTTCTTTCTGAGAACCTCAAGATACTAAACCCATGACTTTAGAGAGATTGACCCCTTGATAGGTTTTAAAAATAGCTGGTAGTTCAGTTTCCAGTTTTTTTTTCTCCAGTCTCAGTGAAACGGTCATGATGCACGTTGCTGCTCAATTTCTCACAGAACGGACGATCGTACGCAATCTAGACAAAAGTGAGCCACAGGCATATTTTTTTGCGCTTAGAATAGTTCTCTTGTATCAAAGATCAAAGCAAGCAAGCAACATTTCTACTAGTTCTAGAATCAGTAAGAACCTATGTAGGGAAATTCTCTTACTGTTCTTTAACTTTCTACTAGTTTTAGCTGCCCTTTTTTCCTGCAAATTGACAGTCAAATAGATGCTAAGCCAACAACTCGTTCCCTGGGATACGTAGTGGAAATTGCGGTCACCAAATAATGAACAGGAAACCATGATATGGGGATGTATGTTTACACTTTTACTTGACGAGTTATTGTGTGAGCAGAGATACGAGGTGAAAGAAAGATAACAGAGACTGATCATTTTTTCTCAGAAAAACATTTCTGAAATCGTTTTGAAAAAGCAAATGTTGCGAATGCGAGAAAGCTTTGATCTTTCATCACAACTTGAATTAGGTTTTGTTATATGTGTCAAGATTTTCCCTATCATATAACATGCTTTCTGAGCGGCAAGTCGGCAAGAAAGCATGTTTTGCGTCTGTCTGTGCGTTTGATGCATTTTTTTTATCGGTGGTTTCGTGACGACCTCGACTACGAAGCGGGCAGATTTAGACTTAGACAAATATATGGTAACGTAAACAAATGACTTGGTACAAAGTACAAGCCAAGACCAAAAGTATAATCCCGTGTTGTTTATGAAAGTCAATGACGAGAATTTCCGGCGGAACGTACGAGTAACTGAAGCTGTGGAGAACATAACAAACAGGGTTTGAGTTTTCGATAAATTAATGTTCTATCGATAACTTAAAACGAGTAAATATTTATTTCCTTATTTAAACTTTGCGCGAGGTTCCAAAGGAAGCTCAACACACCTCGAAATGAAATAAACTATATTGCACTAGCAATTAAGAATACCGAAATAACATCTTAAAAAAGTGAAATGTAATCGGTGAAACTCGCTTCATTCTTGGTACAACACATAATGAAACATTAACCCATAAAACCAGCAAATAGTTTTTTGGAGAATCTAAATTTCGTAATTTTGATATCCTCGTAGAGAACAGTGTGACCTTGTATCACATTGAGGATCCGAACTGTCTACGCCGCGTAATATCAAATTTATAAATACCGCGTGGTATATGAGTGATCAAATACTTAAGGGCGTCAAGCCCTAAGGGGAAATATGCAATAATTCTTACTTCGATAACACGATTATATGAACTGTACTGCCGGTGTAAAATCTGTCTCCTAGGAATGGCATTATCGCTCAGCAAAGCTAAGCATAGTTGCAATATTTGTTACTACAAGAATGGGGTTTTACTGCGCTTTTTCACTCCAAAACTAATAGCAAACGATTAATATTATTAAAACTGACTTGAAATATTAATTATTAAATCTTTACAGACAATTATCCACCACGTGTTCAAGATACTCTAAAACCACTGAATGTCGCTAGATTAGGAGATATAAAACGGTTAAGATGTGCTGTGACAGGGCTTCCACCACCGAATATCACATGGATTAAAAACGACCAGCCTTTGCACCAGTCTGAGAGGATAAGAAAGCTAAACAAGAACAGAACTATTAAGATCAAAGGAGTCCGACTTGATGACCAAGGCAACTACACCTGTATTGCTGAAAATCCTCTCGGTAAAGTCAACCTGACGCTCCAGTTAAACGTGCGTCATGATGAAATTCTGACAACTACTGGTTCACCACTAGCAACTAAAAGACCCACAACTAAGCATCAGGCTAGAGGTAGGCAGTCATATAAGATCTACAGAGAAGCACCTCATCATGAGTTTGTTCATAATGGTTCCACCTTCTTGATTTGCAGAACCAACCCTAATACTTTGGTGGCTATTTATAAGTTTGACTTAAAAATGAAAAAAAATTGGACTGCAGAAACGCTTTCCGCGACTTTTCGACACTTTGCACCCTAGGCCCAGATCATGCACCCTCGAGTACGCACAAGTATCTAAGCCGGCATACACTTTTTTTTTTAAGAACCTTTTTTTTTTTACAAGAAATTGAAATACTATACCACGCTCAAATCGCAAAAAAATTAGAACGTTCAGCCCCAGCCCCAAAATTACGCCTTGTTATAAAAAAAGTGTATCCTAACAACAATAAGTACCGTTATTTCTCCCTGACCACAATTTTGGAGATACGTACGAGGTCTTTCGAAACGATCTCTCTTTTTTCAGATTTAATGACGAATCTCAAGACTCCGGAATCAAGTAAGTACCTGTCATCTTGTATAATTATTTTAGGATACTCATGGATAATGGCTCATTAGAAGAAGGTCATTGCACTCAGCAAAACGCATAACCCTCTTGTAAAAAAGAGACAATGAATATGAACAAATAAACAAGGAAGGAGCGAAGAGAAGCGGATAACAACGCGGAAATTCCAAAACGAACTAACCGAATTTAAGAACCACATTATGAATATACGAAAAAAAAATGGCCTTTCACTCACACTTTTAATCAAAACTATAGCAATCTTCTCGAACGTAATTGGTTATCACCAGCTCGATTTGAGCACTGATAGGACAGTGTACGTGTCATGCTTATAAGTGAACGGAGTAGTGGGGCAGATAACGCGTTATATGCGCGCATTGCTGTTGCGCTCTTCGCCGAGTTAATTGTTCTTTCGGTTGAACCGATTGCTAGTTTGTTTTGCAATTTTTTTTTTTAGTTTTGATTCTGTGCCGTCCGATTGTTTGTAATCATCCTTGTGATCAGAAAAGCGGACTCCCATTCATCGTTCGTCCAATTCCGTTAATCACTGGTATGATTACAGACCGAATAGGACCCCACTCGTTTCTATTATCATTTTTATTACCATTATTAATCATTCACCCACTCGGGTCTACGGTATGTACGAGCTTTATTATTTTGTTCTTGTTTCTGTTTTTGCACTTTAGCAGGAGCACCAAAATTTAGTGATCCAAACTTGCTGAAGAGATCGTTCAGGGCATGGCCTGCATCACACTCCATACGACTAAAATGTCAAGCAATTGGTGCACCACCGCTCAAATACAAATGGTTGAAGGACGGAAAGATCATAAAAAAACGACGTTTGGACCCATATGTTAATTCTTCCCTTTGGTACCTGAAACTGCGAGATCTTGTACCGGATGATTCTGGGAGATACACCTGCATAGTATCCAATCAATATGGTTCGATAAATCACACTTTTACTCTTCAAGTTGTTGGTAAGTCTAGCAAATGAAATTGTCTCTGATTTATAAGTTAACCTATATGACATTGTAAGTCAGTCGATCCGGGAATATTTTTCGGTTTTTTTTTCACTTTGTTTTTTGTTTTGTTTTCACTTAAAAAAAGAAAAACAAATACGGGTAACTATCACTCTGTTGACTACAGTCGTAATCTCAAAACTATAATGGATAGACGCAAAAAGAAAATCCCCGAGAAAATTATTTTTTAAGCCTGAAAGAGTGTGTTAATCCCAAACACTTCAAGAGGGTGGCATTATTAGAGAAAAAACTGTTGTATTTTCGGTACAGGATGGTGACAATTACAGTTCAGAGAGAGAAAAAGTACCGAAAGGAAGCCTTAAGACCGCCCGATAACCAATGATGTTATCGATAAAGGGAGGCAAAAGAGATAGTGTGCCATCCACTATAATATCCACAAGTTTTTTTTTTAGCAATTTGGGACACATAAGGAATCGTAATTTTCAAGATTTTGCAAATTTTTCAGCGTTTGAATATTTTTTTTTCTCGCTCCTAATTTTTACATCACGAAGTAATCTTTTTATAGCTTCAAGTATCTTCTCTTCAAAATTATCTTCCCTTTTCTCAACAGCCAGACCTCAGTCAGCTCCGATCCTACAGACAGGTCTTCCAAAGAACAAAACTGTGCAAGTTGGAGATAATGTGACATTTACCTGTATTGTTCTTGTTAGTGGAACTCTCCCGGATTTCAGATGGCTTAAATGGAACAAGTCCGTCAATTCTATACCGAAAACTTACAATGTAATTTTAAATGGATCATATCGCCTTATAGACCCATACTATTACAAGACTGTTCGAGCAAAAAAAAATTATGGTGTTGAGGTGAATATTGTAAATGTGACCGAGGAGGATTTTGGACTCTACACTTGCTTTGTGAGCAATCATATCGGCAACGATTTCAGAAGTGCATTCCTCATCAAATATGTGAAACCCACGGTTCCTGTGACAGGTCAGTATCTGTTTAAAACACGCCGCCGTAACCTTTCGTATCTGCGCACCTAGATAAAATGCTTTTAAGTAAAGCATTTTACATAATAGTCGCCAAACGGTTTTTCTCAGAAACGTCTTATTTATTCAAACTTTATGATTTAATTCGTTCACTACAAATTCTCCAAGCCGTTTGCCACACATTTCTTTCAATTGTAGTTCTAAACATGTGGTCTTAAATCAAACAATATCCCCTTTTTCCAATCACCTTTTGCTTGGCAATGTAATGATATGGTTAGAAGGATCACTTCTTAGTCACTCTTAGGAGTTAAATGGTTAAGAACTGCAACGTGTCTTAGAATAACAGCCGTCATTACCACTGTCGCTTAGGCGGGTAGCCAGTAATCACCCCAGCAACATATCCCAAGTGGCCGTTGGAATCTCTCTTGTGCGAACCCATGAGCTACATGTGTGCCCTGTTAGCGATGACGTGCTGACTAGGTCTATCCACGTCCGTGGCCGCCACCTTAGCTTACCAGATTATCATCTCTGACTAATAATTTCCATAAGTACTGCAATTAATTCGGAAAGTGTTCTACTAGTAACATACTATCGATTGCAATAGTGCACACGTCTGTGATTGAAATTTAACTTTCTATAAGCCTGGTGATCTAGAAAACACGTTATTTTTATAGCCACGAGAAGTAACACAGTTAACTACCCAAAGAAACACAACAACTGATAGACTACTGCGATCTTGACTTTTTTTATTTGTAAGTATAACTATGGTCGTGCTTAATAAATTCTGAAGATTGTTTTGATTTTTCTTTCGTAGAGACGGAAGCCACAAAACCAACAGAACAACCATCTTCACCTGAGAAGATCACAGCATTTCTCACGAAAAAAGAAAAACCACCTCAAACAGGCCTAATTATCATCATCCTTCTGTCAGTTTTCTTTTTAATAGCTATTATAGTAATCGTCGTGTTTGTTTTCTGTTATCGCAAGAGACTAAAGGAGAAATTCCCTAAAGGTTCAAATTCTCAAAAGGAAATAACTCTACAAAATATAGAGGCAAGAAGAGCGTCGTTACACCTTTTATCGTCAGAACCTAACACACCCAATCAAACCGATGGAATAACTAGAACGTTAAATTATGCAGCTCCAAGGAGGAGATTTAGTTCCAATGGATCAACCACTTCTACAGCACCTTTAATAAGATGCAGGAATGGAAGCTATAGGTCTCGATTTTCTTCAGGTGTTTCGTCTAGAATTGATTCTAACATCGCTGAAGGTAAGGAACGTTTATCCGATGTATTGAGGGATGAACCATGAGGAAACTTAGGGGGTAGGGGTTGGGTTAAAGAATTGTCGTGTTGCATGACTATTTCATAAAAAGTTTTACAGAAAGAATTTGAAAGAATTTTATTTTCGTTTAGTTTTGAATAGTCTCTGTACTCAAAATTACCCGTACATGTTATTGAAAATGTAAATGTTGTAACTGTTAGCATCTGGCTTTCTTTTAATATCTTAAGAAGGAGATTCCTTACATAACTTAAAAGTGTAACGAGATTAATGTCTAATGACGAATTGTGTTCAAAGTAAAGAATAATGGGTGGTACTATATATCAATTCCTCAATACAACCATTTCATTGAAATACCATCATTTAAACTCTCTTTCATTACAGAGCTCTATGAGTTGCCTTGCGACGAAGAATGGGAAATCGACAGATCTCAAATAACGTTAAGAGAACAGCTTGGTGAAGGTGCTTTTGGTTTGGTCATGCGCGCTGATGCCGTGGGTTTACCTGACCTGCCTTCCACATGCTCAGTTGCAGTCAAAATGCTCAAGGGTAAGTCAATGCTTATTAATCCTTTTTACTGGAAACGTTGAAATAAACAATACTCTCTAATAGAACTTGAGCTCCGAAATCATAAAATTGGCCTATCAATGTCCACTTCTTGAAAATGATGCTTGACTTCGACTTGCGTACAGATATGTAACTTTCCTTCAACATGGATGAATGTTCCATCGAAAAGTTGGTGCGAATTAAAAACACTCTCATCAACTACTAAGTTCTCCTTGAGATCAATATGCAGCACTTACACTAAACAAAGTGCTAAGCAGATAAGATGAGAACGTATGAACATGCTCTTCGTGTAAGTGGAACACTCAATTTAGCAACAAATAACGTCAAGCTTTTTGTTACTTCCAAAGCTAAAGCGATAATAATATTTTTGCCTCTAAATGTTGTAATTTACAGCTGACGCCACTGAGAACGAATTAGCAGACCTTTTGTCTGAAATGGATACAATGAAGGAAATTGGAAGACACAAGAACATTATCAACCTGATAGGTGCTTGCACGCAAAACGGTAAGGCATACATATTTTTCCAAAAATTAAACCTCTCATTCGTTGCAAAAGTTAAACAACCTCAATGTGTTTTGAAAAGAGCACAGAATCCTTGGCAATTCTCCATCAAGTAAAAAGAGAAAAATTACAAAATTTCCCTTCATTATGCCTATATGAAAATCAATAACCGCCCTGAATCTCGTATCAGAATCAACATGCATTCGCATCGCAGCAACACTACACCGAGCCCTAGCAGGTATTCATCAACTGCATATGTTATGTCTTTAAAAGAATGGTTAAGACCTTTACTTACATGTGTTTCAGGCCCTCTGTTTGTCGTTGTCGAGTTTGCACCACACGGGAATCTTCGACAGTTTCTGAGAGAAAGAAGACCATCTGAGTATCAACAACACACACTTGGTCACTCTGGTCCTTCCTTAACTATGAGGGATTTCGTCTCATATGCTTTCCAAATAGCGAGGGGAATGGAGTACTTGGGAACAAGAAAGGTATAATAAATAAATCCGGAAACAAATTGTATCCATATAAATGACTGTAAATATATGAAAATCATATATATTAACAGCTCAGTTGGCAGAGCACTCCACCGGTACCGTAGAGGTCATGGGGTCAGATCCCGTGCAGGCCTGAATTTTTTCCAGGCCTTATTTTCACTACTGCTTAAGTAGTGTTCATTCCTGAGAAGATCGCTTTCATATTCGTTTATCCATAGAATACTTAAACCATCCAAAAGTTAACTACTCCTTACATTGTATTTCTAACACCAAATTATACCTTGACTCATAATAGTAGTTGACTTTTTCGAGTTTGTAATAACAATTTTGGGTTTTAACGGAGAAAACTGGCAGAACCAATCCTTCGGTAACGGGCACCTTCCATTGCCTGGACATTTCTTAAAGGCCAGATTTAGCCCTTACATCTTTAAATATCTATTACTAGACACCTCCTTCTGACCAAAGATAGCCTGCTTGTCGTCCTAATCACTGGCGCTTTAACTCTTTCACTCCCAAGATTTCATCACAAATTCTCCTTACTGTCTGCATGTAGTTGTGATGTTGTTCTTTTGGAGAGTTTGATATTGGATCAACTAATAATCCCCTGAAGTATTTTCCATTATTCTCATCACACTTCCGCTTGATATGGTATTGGTTATGTAGGGAGAAATTATTTCCTAATCACTTGTGGAAGTGAAAGGGTTCACACGAGCGTTTCATCGCCCGCGGGAAAGGAACGCGAGCTGGTGAGAGGCTTGCAAGGGGTCTGCAACTGACTTATTATTATAGGTATATTATTATAGGTCTTGAAAGCTCGCACTATCAACTGTAAACAACCAGCCTTTTCGCGTTAAAGACCCATAACATTGATTAACTTCAAGTTCTGATAATTTCTTGTGATTTAATTCATTTTTCTGATGGGCAGTTGCGATCAGTTTGGGTTTGGTTATATGACAGTACTAGTAAGCGCAGGCGAAGTAGCAGTTTTCCCCTTTACTTCTTAGTTTTGAAAAAAGTTTTTAATCACATTTTGAATTCTCTATAAATGTAGTGTGTTCATCGAGACCTTGCTGCCAGAAACATTCTTGTTGGAGAAGATTACATCATGAAAGTTGCTGACTTTGGTCTGGCAAGAAATGTGAGAGATGCGGAGTATTATCGGAAAACTACCGATGTAAGTGTTCACAGTTATCTTTACAAACTGCGATTTTGTGAATTTGTTAACGAATCATGTAATAACTCTGGTATCTGAACATGTCTTTTGTTTGCAGGGTCGGCTACCAATAAAATGGCTCGCCATCGAGGCATTGTTTGACCGAGTTTACACAACACAAAGTGACGTCTGGGCGTTTGGTATATTGCTCTGGGAGATTTTTACCCTCGGTAAGGTCATCTTTAAGTTAACATCTTGAGTGAGGATATGAACGAGAAATGGTTGATACCGTGTGTACTTCCAATTTTAATTTCTATACAAAGAAGTATATCGTTTTACCACTTAACTAAAAAAGTGCACACTTCAATATCACCTTTGAATTTCTAGACGTGGGTAAATGGTCTAAGACAAGACAACAACTTAAGCCGGAAATTTCTCTTTTCAGGGGGTTCTCCATATCCAGGAATACCCATAGAAAAGTTGTTCGATCTACTGAAGTCTGGCTACCGGATGCAGCAGCCTCAAAATTGTCCAGAAGATATGTAAGTTTAATTACAGTTAAATTGTTATTCGAAGAAAAACGTAAATATTCGCAGAATAAACCAAAATATTGCGTTCGATCTCAATCCGGAGGAAGGGTTCACCCTCTCTCAATCTCTTGGTCAATCTCCAGTCCTCCTGAAAGACAGGAATCGGGAACGTTGTAACGACTACGACACAGGAAGTCCTCTATGACCCAAGATCATGTTTGTTGGTGGTGTTCACAGCTGTCGCTTGTAATCCACTCGGGAAGTTGTAAGAAAAAACAGTTAAGTGTTTCCTGTTCTCTTGATCATTGTTGACAACGTAATTGAATTGGCATGCATTAAACCGGAAAGGGGACTCATGTGACAATGTCGCTTTAGGCACACTTGTTTCCTGCTCAGTCAATTTCAAGGCTAATATTAGAGGAAAATCCCATACTTATCAACTTTCCTCGAGCGATCTACTTAAAAGATTAAGAGGAAGAAGAGTAGCATGTGATCTTTGGAACTGAATTTTTTTAGTTTGGGCAATTTCAGTTAGGGAGCCGTGAAAAATTCGAGGGCTTCGCGATTCGCATCACGACAATACTGTCATGGACGTTTATCTATGAATTTTTTCAAGCATTTCAATTTATGTTTACCACCACCATGTTGGTGGTTTGGTATGTTTCCCTTCATGAAAATGGAGTTTCAACCCCCAATTTCTGTTGATCATCTTGCAAAAATTCAACCGTTGGTAAGGTTAAATCATAGAAATGCAACCTTTAACAGGAAGCACAAACTTACATGTTAAACTGTAGGTTAAGACAGCGACTACGGAGTGCATTAGAGGAATATAACCTTGAAATGATAAATTTTTTCTTATTTTACATCGATTTTCCAGATATGATATTATGATGAATTGCTGGGATGAAACCCCCTGCAAACGAAAATCGTTTACAGATCTAAGAAAACACTTTGATGCGATGTTATCAAGAATGACGAGCAAAGTAAGTATCAGGTTACGACGTGATTGGGTGGTTGCTTGGCTAAAGGTACTTTTACTGAGCATTTTTTTTGAGGGGGGTGGAGAGGGGGAATGCAACAAGGATCTTCAAACCTGTCAATTTTTTATTCAAGACGCCCCCTGAAGGACGTGATTCTCTTTGGAAGAATGCACCTAAAACTAATTTGACCCTCTGTAACTCAAGACCGTTACCTATGTAATCTAGGCGGGGAATTACAACACGAGGGCATATCACAGTCACGTGCGTACATCTAAGAAGCTGTCTAAACAAATATAAGTTCATAATGTCCTGGGATCTTAAAGTAATAAATGTTTATCAAATGATTATTATCTGGCAACATACGACCTAGAAGTCACTTGTCTATCTACACTGCAATAAAAAATTTATTATTCAATGCTCTGGAAAGGTATATGTAACTTTGTTCCTTCCTTACAACTTGAAGTTGATTACAATTAAGCAGCTCCATCATGAAAACATTCAATTAAAGGTTTCTTTATGTTATCGTTATTGAACCGTTGGTATCATGCTGACTGTCGTTACGGTTCTGTAATTTTGCAGGAGTATTTGCAAATACTGGCTCAGTCCATTGACGATCTGGCTCACGACATGGAAACACCTATAACGGACGATTCTGATGAAAATACTGGAATAATGCCAGAGTCTACATGCTAGCAGTAAACGACCCTTTCATATACTAGATTGTTATTACATCTCGCTCTTTAATGGCGGTTGCAACTAAATTTCCACGCCAGAGGATTAACCACAAGGGTATAATACAAATATTAAAGTTGGTTATGGCGGTAAAAGGAAAAAGGAAGCGGACAAAGAGACAAAATCAGGACCCAGAAACCATAATATCACAATACGGGCTATCACGAAGTTGTTTCAAGCAAGCCGTGGATAAGAACGCGAAAACACCCGGTTAGCGTGGAGAAAATGCTGGCTAGAAAAATAATTTTTAAGGCCCGGAATTTATCATCTTATAATCCACTAAAGTGCTGCAAGGTTACTTTATCTCCGTTGAAAAACGCGCTTGACACATAAAACCACATCAAATAATTAAATTAACATCCTGTTTGTACAGGTAACATGTTCTGGGGAAAAACAACGTTTCAACATCAAAGTTACCCTCAGGAACAGTCTTGCGTTTCATAGAGAATGGCACAATTTTGTGGTTCTTGAAACGATTTGGAGGTGAAATTGTTCATTCAACTCGAAACCCCCCGTTCTTTGGTGGGTGAAAAGAAACTTGCCTACTGAACAAACTTCGTGCCCTGGACTCCAATGAGTGGTCAAAAAATTTTTCTCAGGAAATATCCTATATTCAGCCACCTTCAGTAGACAACAAAGTAGAAGTTTTTCTAACTGATAAACATTGTCAGTTACTTCCTCTGTGCGTTACCTCAAAGAAAGTTACGCTATTGATAGAAGCGAGAGTCCAGCCTTAGCCCTTTACACCCCAACATCAGTATCCATATTCTCCATACTCTTCTTCATAAGTTTCTTTTGGTGCTGACAAGGAGAATTTATTTAAAGATCAAAGCTTCTTAGGTTGGCGATCATTTCCTTTATGCTCATAATCTTAATAAATGGTTTAGCAGTATTATTGTAAGGAGAAATTAAATGCTGGTCACTCTTAAGGATTCAAGGGTTAAGAGTAAGAGATTGGCTTACAGATTTTCAGAAATGATAAAACTGTGCCGACTTTAGCAAGTGAGAAAAATCTTCTATGCAGTTCTTGAACTCAAGAGGAATTCCACAGATAATATTCTCTTGATGAACCATCAACTCGTGAAAAATAATTTTAAAATTTGTTAGTATCAAAACAAAAATCACTCAATTTAATCGAGCATATTCGTATTCGTCTTTCAGTTAGTTCTGCCAGAAAGATGAGCAGAACAAATCTTGTTTTCTTCTTTTCAAAAACAAGACCAAGTAATAGTTGTGTATAAAAGTAACAGAAGCATTCTCAGATGAATGGGGATGTTTCAACATACAGATGTATCTACATTCTATGAATGATTACTTTTATTAAAGAAATAATCCAATTTTCTCTGTATTTTTTTCTATTCCCTTTGTTTCATTTTAATCTATTTCTTTTCTCTTTCTTCATTGACGGTATCAATAAAACTGAAGAGTCAATACTTGAGTATTCGCGACGACGCAAAGGCAAGTACTGGGATTGAATTAGTGAAAAGTTCCCTTCCCTTCAATTCTCTAGCACTGAAAACCACATCTTCAGTTGGTTTTGCGACTTGGGCAATTTTGGAACAACTTTGACTATACGCACTGAAATTAAGTCATAACTGCCCTTGGGCCCATGCGATTACATATACAATCGCAATGAATTCGCCTCAATTAGCGTAGAAAATCTTCCAATTTGCACGAGTCTTGTAGAAACTTAAGTCACGAGAGGGTGAGAGGTAGTCTCGATATTTAACAAATCTGTCCGAGGTTGCTGCGGGGTATTGTAATTATGCAATTATCAGTAACGGGGATTAAAATGTGGTTTAGATCACATCACCAAATATCTTTGAGGGCAGTTACAGCAGCTCATTCAAGCGCTTTAAGAAGGAAGTGCGGAAGAGTCACTCTTCTTACTGGCGTTACCAAAACGATCCCGCTGTATGGGCACTCATCCTGCTATATGATGGTGATGGTTGGCAAGATCCTGTCGCGACAAAAGATCAAGATATTGATGCACTTCCATTCATACACCATCATGAAAATCAGTACCATAGCAACGGCTCTGAGCCGGTCACGTAACCTGTGCGAGGGTGCCGGATATTGGAATGAGCAAAAGAGTGGACGCGCAAAAGATAGGTGGTCTTTGCAATTGACGGCCTCAACTGTCATTTGTTATCATTGTTAGTTTCGGATTAGGTGAGAAGACACAAATTTTGCATTTCCAAGTGAGTACGTATTACCAAATAACTTCTAAGAAATAATTCAAGAATTGATTAAAACGTGGATTATTTGTGATTTTCTTAGTTCCGCTGATCAGAAAGGCCGCCCATTTCCCGGCCTCCCAGTCTCCTAGGCAGCAGTTACAGCGTCACGCGTTATTTCGTAATTGCATCTGAGCTAAAAGAAATAACCTTGAACAATACCCTTGTTTTTTGCGACGGTCTCAGACAAGCATTCATCTCCTAGGGGTAAACTAGGATGGGCAAGTGTCTTTTTATTAAATCAATCAGGTAATTTAATCATAAAATATTTCCAGCCGAGAAGCATTTTCATATCAAACTACCACCACCCCCCCCAAAACAAACAAACAAACAAACAAATAAACAATTATCTTAAATGTCACATGCGGGTCTAGGGTAGTGCTTAATAATGCTTGATTCTTTTAATACCCTTCAAGCGCAAGATCAGAGTTATTGGGGCGTGAGTGTTCAAGTCTCTTTGGCCAGTTTCTGTAATCTTACAGAAACTGACGTACAATTCAGCAGAGTAACCCCCTTATAAAGTTAAAATGGGTTGAAAAACAAATATCTATCGTGACTGATTCACATAATAAATTTCAACAGACGTGCGACAAAATACTTCATACACTATAATTGCTATATAGTTTGCGTGCAGGCTCTCCTCATGCTGATCTTAAGCCTCTGAAAATCAATTTTTGCTAAACGCTGTACTTTTGTTTTTGTTTTTGTTTTTTTTTTCAAGTTCTTACTCCTATCTATCCCACTCACAATTTAGCCTTTTTGTCTTTCGTAGCTATTAATTTTTTGTGAATAAGTTTCTCTTTTTTTTGTGTGTAAATGATGTGCCTCTTAGTGAGTCTAAATAGGTGTGTGCATAATCACATTGTACGTAGTGTAAGTAGAACAGTGTAAGTAGAAAATATATTTATTGTATCTTAAAAATACTGTAAGTAAGTAGTGTAACGCAATGTATGTAGAGAGTCCCGTGAAAGGAAACTTAATGTAGTTAATGCAAGTATCATGTTGTAAAATAAAAATAAATAAATAAATAAAAATAACAATAATAAAAAAATTTTCAGGAAATCGAAGCACACCAATTTTAGTTTGAATTGATCAGTAGAACTACATAATAATTTTGGAGTGACTAATAAACATGATGAACATAACGTGTTACACCTGTTGGTTCATCGTGGCCACCTTGGGACCCTGAATCAGATGGTGAGCAAAGATGATTGGTTAGCTACTGCCCAAATCCGTCAACACGGTCACAAACACGTTTTGCTCATAGGAATGCGTGAGCAAACCAGGCAAGGCGAGGTTTCTTAGCATGAAATTAGTAACTCTACTAGATGTTTCGCAGATTTCTTTTCCTTTTAAAACTGTGCATGCTCAAAGATATGCCTAATTCATTCAAAGTGATCTGAACGTAAACTATTGGCATAGTTTGTTCCCTTTCGTGTTACAAGCCTCACCAAGCTGCACGTAAACCGTGGCCTTTGACCTGCCTCAAGTGTTTACGACAAATTGAAATAACTTATCCGAGCTGGCAAATCTATTGTGGTGTTAATTTCTGAGTGGATGAACAACGATGAAGGAGTTATATTTAGATTTTAAAAGAAAACCGAGAACCGTCTCTAATGGGAATAACCCGCAAAATGAGCTCGGAAAGCAATTCAACATAATTCAAATGTGTCAACAACATTGATCCTCCGCTTTCGTGGAAGAAATGAAATATCTACGAGTGAAAAAGCTTCCTTGCCTAGAGGTAGACTAAAAATTTTTAAAAATAGCGTGGGCAAGTGTCTCCCTCAAACCAACCCGGTATTTTAACTCATAAAATAAACAAGAGGAATATTATTAATTCCTAAAAACGTGACCAACTATTCTTCTCACAGCTCTTTTTTCAGCTTACTGAAGACAGTTCATTGGTAAACAACTCATAATTTTTGCCAGAGGCAACCAAAACCGAAGTATTTAATTGAGACAAATCACCGACTAACACTTGCTCCGTATTGGTTGGCGAATGATCAGGCCATCATGCCGTATCATGGAAATTCGCCAACCATAAGTACAATGTTAATTCACTCAAATCGTACCACTCCAATTTCACAATTTTTTTTCTCATAGGAGATTTTGTTTTCAAGGGGTTTATGACAAATGTTTTCTCCCAGTTGTCTGTCGGAAAGACAAGCCATCCGCTAATGAAATAAAAGAGTCTCACTGTGACAAAATAAGCCATTTTGTAACGTTTATTTTTCCTGTTTATGTGGAGTCTCTAAATGCCAAAGCAAAGAAGCGACTAGAGAAAACAAGTAGTCCAATAGAAATTCCAACGCGTCAAATGAAGGAAGCACTCGTGGCCGATTTCAAAATTCCCTTTAGGAACTGAAGGTTAGTTCAGTAGACTTGTTTAGGAGAGAGACAACAAGTGCATGAGCTATTGAATCGAATCTTTTTACGGAGTATGTTGAGATTTTTCCATTAGCAATACACCTGCTTGACAATCTTTTGCCACCCCCAAAATTACGATTTTTCTTACGGGATAAAATTTGATATAGGATATCATATTTTTGCCAAAGGAAACTTTTGTCACAGTGACCTCACAATATCCCGTGCCTTGGGGAGGTGTTACTCAGCGATCCAATTATGTAATTGCATTTTACCGTCAAGCTTTCAGGCTGTTGGGGTCACAGATTAACGCTTTCAGTCAATAATGAGTAATAAGAATTTATACTGTTTTCAATTTATCACCTTCATTTCAGCTCCATCACTGGCAACTCTTTTAGAGCGTTCGAAAAAAAACATCTGACCAAGTTTGGACTCAACCCTTGTTATCTGCAAGCTACATAGACGGATCTAAACTTTAGGGATTATGAAATCGTGTAAACCTGGAAAAAAATTGAAGCACTGGAAATCTTTTATGGCGACTGACTAAAACTGTGCCCTTTATCAAGCGTATGTATTCAGAAATCCTGAAGCGGTGTATTGTATTACCTGCAGTCTTGAGGTAATTGTAAATGTACCAGAATAATTAAAATCTCAATAAAAACAAAAACCAAACAAACAAAAAAAAAAAAGAAAAGAAACTAAGGAGACCGTCACGTATCAAGTATGCATGTAAATTTACTGACCGTATTTTATCGACCCTGATTAGTTCCAAGAAATCAGTAACTAATCTCAGAAGCACAGGTTTCATTTTTTTATTTTAAAGTTTTTTCCATCACAGAATCTAAAGCTTTTTATGGCTTGGAGAACACCCACTACACAAAACGATAATAACCCTTTAAAAGGGTATTTTCTTAGTTTTATTTACACAGTATGAAGCCCCATTTACAAAAGAAAGACTAAACACACACACTTTGCAATGGAAAGGAAAAAACATTTTAAAAAATCATCGATAATCAGTAAGTCCTAAAAACAAAAGAATTTTTTCTTATCTCTCGTTACACCCAAGACAACCAAGTATTAACTTCAAAATCTACATGATGGTCTGTCTAATGGTCTAGGTTTCCTAGTTTAAATCATCTTCAATCCCTGCTGGAAGTTGAGCCAGCAGACGCAACACCCCAAACATTAACTAATTGAAAGAGAAAAATAAAACATTTGGAATATTAGCGCAAATTGCAAATAACCTCTTCAAAAATTCTAAAACAACCGACTTTCGCGCGTTCACCGACTGTCAACTTGGGAAATTAAGAACTCCTTCACCGTGAACACCTCTGAACGCATTTCTGAGACATACACACACACAATCTGGTATTTTAGAATAGCGAAAGTCAATTTATACGCGCAGTAACGAACAAAACAAATCTAAAAAGCACTTCTAAAACCACTTCAATCAATCTTGGCATTCACGAGTTCCATTTACGCACGCCTTGCCATGGTAATCGCCTATTAACAAAATGGCGTGCGTGTCACCTGCTCCCTCTCCCTGGAACTGAAATGTCGTTCTGCACATTGCCTTCTTTGGCGTGCTTGAATCCCCAATAACTTAAACCATGATTTTGCTTTGCTCATAAGAAAAAGTGAAAAGGAAACTTTGTCAAGCTTCACTAATTGGCCATTAACAATATTTGCCCGTGAAGTTCACGCAGCACGCCGCGTTGCTATCAACAATTTATTTCAAATTTCATCTCGTTTGCGTTTCTGCGTTTTCCAGCCGTGAGAACTCAAGCGCCTGTGCTCCGAAAGCTGAGAAAACAAAATAATTCATTAAAGACTGCAAAATCCTCTTGGTGCGTCGTAAAATAATTTCCTCTCAAGCGGTTCCTTTCAGAAGAGATTAACGTCATTTACGCTTTTTGCCTTGAGCTACCAAATGCCCAATGAAGGACGTGCAGTAACCTCAGAACAATGCAATTCTCGAAAATTACATTTTATCAGGTGTTAGCAATAACTGTGGTGCAAGCGAACTCTTAGAATCTGCGCCGAATTCTCAACTGATTTTGGTTCTAAACGTTCTTATTTTTTTGTTTATCTAGACAGAGATCCAAACATGAGAATTTTTGTATTATAAATTACAACTAATATTGACACGTGCTTACGTGACGCGGGGGTAACAGTCGACTGAAACTAGATCGCCGCACGATCGTAGACGGGAGACGACAGATTTAGCGCAAACCTCAGCCGTTCTTCTCGTTTACATGTGCCAGATTCGTCACAAGACTTCTTTTAGAACGAAGAAAGAATGGCAAGATAGTGAGAGACGAGAGACTGGGAAATGAAACCTAGAATGGCCTTAAAATCTAACGCACTTCTAGTCTGGCTTTGGATCACTTTGTTCGTCGGATGCCAATTCAAAGGTGAATTTTGGCCTTTTAAAAGCGGTATTAGTCAAGAACTTTTTATTATTGTTTACATTTCTCCATGGTTTATGTAAGCCCATTTATTTCTTTGGAATACTACCTAGATTTGCACGTTTCTTTTGATCACACCTTTCGTGCGTAAAGTGAAAGGACTGCTGTAATTTAGCCGTAATTTCGTTCACACTAAACTGATAATTGTGACACAGCAATTCTTTTCATTTGTTTCTCGGTAGCAACCGCACAACCTGCTCATGAGGAAACCTGCCACGAATTTCACAAGCTGTGCGTCAGGGACGTTCAGTTCCAAAACTGTAAGCTGCAAGCGTTTGATCATGTTAATAATACTGCTAAGAGGGAATGTACAATCCAGCGTAATTAGCCGCCCCGAGAACCCTAAGTGCAGCTGGGTTAAAATCGTTACGTATACATCAAAAACGATTGGAACAGCTTCCGGACCGTGCGCTCCGAGATCTGATAGAACAGTCCCAACTCCATATCATTCGTTTGCATGAGAGCGCGTTTTCAACTGAAGTGCATGAGATTAAAACAGGAAAAAGAGAAGTGTCTAGGCCTAGTGTAATTACAATTGTTACACGAAACTTGCCGCGCAGCTGTGTTATATAGATCGTCTTTGAGGATTGTAGGCAAATATAGTTGCTCAGTCTAATTAATGAAAATGACAGTGTTGTCCAGACAAAATGTACTTCTCACGACATGATTTGAATAGAACATTAATTCTACATCGTGGCGAGTTTGTTTAATGTCAAACTCGCGGCGCCGAATTCGTCTTTTGAGACATCTCCTTCACATCGTTCAGATTAAAGCAAACACGATTTTGATGAGGTTGGATTAAATTTGCATAGGAGCGTATCAGCGGCGTCTTCGTAAACATTAAATTAAACCTTTTTCTTGATGGAGCTAGAAAAATAAGACTTAAGTGCTTTTACTTATAAATACCATATAATCAAAACGTTGGCCCCGCTAAATTGAGGCTTTCTCTTAAAGGCAGTGACTTAATGTCGTCAATCGGCGTCATCATTTCATTTTCCTTTATACATACATTAACAAAGAGTACCTGTAATCTCGCTGGGAAGCTCAGTGGTGGTTTGTTTAATATGTAAAAAACTTCAATGGTAAAAATCAGCCGGCGATGTTATTTATTTTAAGACAGACAATCGCAAATGTCGAACTGAAATATTATAGACGACAAGAAATTACCTCAAATGTCCTGTTTGCCTAATTTCATTCCCGTTTTGTCTACTTCCTTTGAATAATCACCTGAGGGCATAAAAAAAAAGAGACTTTATATTTCTGTTGTAAATTAATGTGGCTTTTTGTGGGACACGTAAAAGGCGTTTGTCTTGTTTTTTCACCTTCTCTGATCATCAGAGCTACCAGTACATTAAAACCCATTATCATTAAGGAAAATCTGGACTGCATTAGAAACATAGGGAAGGGGAGATTGAATGTCTTTTGGATTCTTCCAACTCAAAATAGCTTCTTTTTCATTTCTTTCGGTTTATTTGTTGAGCTTTGTTGCTCAATAATTTATGTCTCAATGATTCCACAGACTTTGTAAAACTGCTTTGAGGTTTTTGGGTGTTGTCATAAAATAAACTGATAACAGTTATCAACCTCAACACTTCCAACATCACAACAGACTCTTGATAAATATCACTTGAAATAGGAAAAAAAAAACACAAAAATAATGAAGTGACTTAAAAAAAATGCTTCCGTTTTGAAGTGATTAAGGTTCATTAATTAACTCATTCATCCATTCATTCTAACCACAGTAGGGGAGAATGACTCAGCATGCCCCTCAAAACAAACGAAGAATATTGCTTGCAAAATGGTATTTAACACAAACAATGACATTCACCAACAATATCCAACATTCAATCTAAAGTAAACAAAACTCTCCACAGCTGTGAACCAATTGTTAAATTAAAATAAGAAGATAAACTGTAATAAAAAATTTTGGCTTAAATGAGGGACACTATTTTTGGAAGGAGGGTACTTAATCAAATGGGGTGCTTATTATTCTCTTGTATTGATTTCACTGATTTTGGAGCTTTAAAAGTTATAAATAGGGTGGCAAAAGAAACAGGTTTTCCCTGTATCCCTACTCTTTAAGAAAGTGAGGAAGGAGGGGTGTGACATTATGGGCTAAAGCATGGAGGCTTATTCAGGAAGGCCACTTATTAGAGTATGGATGCTTATTCAAGGAAAAAAGAGGTGAAAAAAAAACCACAAGATTTAACTTTCAGTGAAATTTTCTCTCAGCGCAGTTGGAGACAGAAAAGCAAAACGAGTTGTGTGCTAGACTCTGGATAAAAAAATTCAGATTTGAGCCCTGGCAGGATTTAATGTCATGTGTCCTTTGACAAGACATTTAACTCTTGCAACGTCACTCTTGGCACAGGAGTTTAAATTAGTAACAACAGCATACTGTCAGGGAAACCTGAAGAAAGGCTTGAGGTTAACCCTTTCACTCTCAAGATCTGCCAAACTAATCTTGTGATGTCACTTTGGAGAATTTGATATTGGATCAACTAATAATCCCCTTGTTTATATTTTTCCTTATTCTCATCACTTTTCTGCTTGACATCATACTGAAAATGTTATAGGAAATTATGTCTTGATCATTCCTTGTGATGGACAAGCAATCCATTAAGGGAGATAAGTAGAACTTGTCTTTGAATGCTAAAAACACAACAATGGTATCAATTTTCTTCTGCCACTTCTATGAGCATCTCATTTTAGTACCATTAACAACTAATCAAATTATACTCTCTTATAGGTACATTTAGCCGTTTAGTACCACGCATTTCACAAGAGGAGCTATTTAACATCAGCATCAGAGTCAATGGTCTGGCAAAATTTACATGCTTACAAACAAACAATGCAGCCAGTTTGGCAACTGTCCCCCACTTTGACTGGATAAAATGGAAGAACACATCATCTGCAGATAAACTTGATGTTGATTTTGGAAATTTCACAAGCATTGTTTCAAACTCAAAATACAGTATCAAACCTGACGTCAAGGAAAACTTACATGTTTCATACCTAACTATTCACAATGTCACAGAAACTGATGTGGGATTGTATTCCTGTGTTGTATGCAACCTTTATGGAAGAGTTTACCAAAGTGCCTTGCTTAGTCTTAACACAACTTTGGATCCAGGTTGGTTGAGTTGTTTTTGGTATTATAATGGTATGTAGTACACATTTTGTTAAATACAAGGATTTTGTTCTTTTCTGATTGCAAATGGTTATAACCCTAAACCTTCAATCCTGCTAATAAAAGCAGATCCTTACAGAGAATGAGAATGCCAAAGTGTTTGCTAATAGGGGCATGAGAGAATGAAATTTTGAGGATGTTTATCATATTTAATTCTTATAAATTATTACGACAAAAATCATTTATTGTTAACATAAAGTAAACACCATTTTTTATTTCATTGTTTCCAGCAGTTCATACTACTAGCATACCAAAAACTGTTGATTCCAGGACTCTTACAACACAGTCTACAAGTCAAAGCATGGCAACCCAGCGTATAAAAGTCATTGTGGGTTGCATAGGAGCATTTGTAGGTGTTATTCTATTGGCTGTGGTTGTCTTTTTCTTTAAATGGAGACAAAAAGAACCAAAAAATCAAGGATTGCCAATAATCCTCCACGAACCTGACTCACCACAAGAACAGATTGATGGTACACCTCCCTTATCAGTTAAATTTCGGAATGGGCTCCTAACAGCATCCACACAAAGAGACTCACTTTTACCCTTGATACACAAGAGAAACAGTAGTTACAGATCGCAGCTATCATCATCAGCATCTGGAGGAACTGTAGTAACATATGCAGATGGTATACCTATTTTTTTAATACCATTATGTTAAAGGTGGTTTTGTTGAGACTTTTCAGGTGTGCTGAGCCTCAGCAGGGTTGCTCAGGAACCTTAACTGAGCACAACCATTCCTAAAGATCTACCCCTCACATGAGTGGCATCCTTTGAACTAAATCATAAGTCCCACAAGCAGACAATCAGGCACCCATTATAATGCCTCAGCAGTGGAAACATATGCAACAGGGGTGGAGTTAGAAGTAACTCCAAGGTGGTCTAACCAAACAACCTTTAAGGTCATTCCTTTACACTGCAATGAATGTTGTTACTGCATACTGGTTGTCTTCATGCTCACAAGAAGATCCACCATACTTGCTATTATTTTCATAATCTAATCTAGAAAAGTACTTCAAGCCTAATTTCAACCATAATTTTTGATGGTTATCTATTTCAGATTTATTTGAATATCCATTGGATGAAAAATGGGAGGTTCCTAGAGAAATGCTTTTTATAAAGGATCTAGCTGGGGAAGGCGCATTTGGTTATGTCGCAAAGGCAGAAGCTTTTCAACTGCCAAATACTTCTACACCTTGTACTGTTGCTGTAAAGATGCTGAAAGGTTGGTAGTTAGTTTTAATATTCATTAATGGATTATCAGAAAACTTTACAGATTTACTGAAATTTTCATGACTAAATGAACAGGTGGTCCATTCACTGTTGTTAAAAAATTTAAAGTTTGCCTTGAAAACAAAAGGAAACTAATTGAAACTTCTGCTGGATGATTTCTGATGAGCTTTGAAAATAATCTTTAGACAAAGTTGTGGTAAAATCATATAACTTGTTTGAACTGTGTAACTCTTTGTTTCATAGAAAATGCCACTGATGCTGAGTTGTCTGATCTGATCTCTGAAATGGAAACTATGAAGGAAATAGGAAGTCATAAGAACATAGTGAACTTTCTTGGGGCCTGCACTGTACAAGGTAATGGTAACTGTCCATATATCATGGTTCAAGAAAGAAGAAAATCAAAAATCTGAATCAAATTAATTTGGGAAACAATCTCAAGTCTTAAAATCATAAGATTCAAATTATGCATCCTGCGTCTTTATCAAATTATTATCGCAAACATCACAATTATTTCATTTCTACCTGACTGCACAGCTACATGTAGAGGGCTATTAAGAAAATGGAGAGAGCTGTGGTAAAAACAATAGCTATAAAATCAAGAAGGAAAATGCTAAATTTAACTTTTTAGATTTTACATGTATGCCAATAAAAAATTAAATGAAAACTGTGATCAATTATTGTTTCCTGATTGTGTGATTTTGTAGCCAATTTGAGATTTCATTCTTTTAGGTCCCCTATATCTCATTGTTGAGTATTGTCCACATGGAAACTTGCGTGACTTTCTTCGTGATAATCGACCCTCTCTGACAGACATCAATGGAAAGACTACAGCTCAGTTAACACTTAGGGATTTGTTATCAATTGCATATCAAATAGCTAGAGGAATGAGTTACCTGTCTTCAAAAAAGGTAACTAGTCATTAAAAATGATCCATGTAATTGTTTTGAAACTCCCTGTAACTATGATTGTTGACTCTTACACAATTTGTTAATTTTAAGGTAATTTCAACTATTTTTTTAATTCTCTGTAGTTATTTTTTTCACTTGAACAGAAGAAAGCATTCATAACAGTTGATTACAACAATTACTAGCTTCCAAACAAGGAAAGAATATCTTAGATTAACTGTTAGGCTTCTAAGGCTCATTCACCTAAAACTAATATAGAACTATTCTATCCTAGAACCTTTGTAAACTAAATTGTTTCTTCCCTGATGTGTTAAGGCATCCATTTAAAAAATGGATTTTAAGAAAAAAGAAAATCATCTTAGTTTGACACAGCCACAATAAATTAGTCAGAGTATTATATACTACCAGTACACAAAAATATTGTCAAAACTCAGTTAAAGGCATAAACACATCAGCCTTTTGCTTAATAATGCCAGGAAATATTAATAACATTTTTTTGGTGTTCATTTCCCTCAAACTATTCTGTAGTGTATACACAGGGACCTAGCTGCAAGGAACGTTTTAATTGCTGAAGACTTTGTTATTAAAATAGCAGACTTTGGATTGTCTAGAAATCTGGGCAACACAGATTATTACAGGAGAACAACTCATGTAAGTGTTGTTATATTTTCCACAGAAGGCTTAAACAGATAGAAGCAATAGTCTTGTGCCGTACATACCTGTGATAAGCTTTTTACAGTGATAAGAAATCACACAAGATTTATACTATTGAAAAAAGGTCTTTGACTAGTGTATGACAAATTGTGCATTTTTATGCTACGCATTTTGCTATCATAGGACTCGCATGAATTACAAACTTTCAGTCTGAGACTAAATTGTGTTTTAAAACCTAAACTAACTTTACCCTGATTAACATTTAGTAAACATTGATTGTTTTTTCATCATGCATAATCATAATTTATGCAATTAGTTTTCATTGTAGTTACGATGCTTGATCAGTTATGGAAAAAATATTCCAAAATGCAACTTAATTCATCTCTATTTCAGGGACGTCTTCCAGTAAAATGGCTGGCAATAGAGGCACTGTTTGACCAACAGTATACAGTCAAGACTGATGTGTAAGATACTTGGTTCATGGAATATATATCTATTTTTTTTTTGGATAAATTATTTAATTTTGTCCTCTTGTCATTCGTATGACATTCATTCATTTTTTTTTTCATTTTGTTTCAGTTCACCTATTAAATTTAACATACAAATGTACCCATTTTATTGATGGTAGCAGAGGGCCTAGTCCTACAACTGTGCACTCTGATTTATTTTTGTGACTATTTTTTTTCTTCAGTTGGTCATTTGGGATCATTTTGTGGGAGATATTCACCCTTGGTAGGTATAAAATACATAAGAACATTATCCAAAACCTCTCTGAACTTTGGCCAGTATTTCAGCATTTTTTTTAACCACAATATATGAGAATTTGCTTTTAATCTTAACCCTGTTTTGAATCTTAACTCTTAACTCTACTTTGTCTAGGTGGGACACCTTATCCTGGAATTCCTGTTGAAAGGCTGTTTACAATACTTAAAAATGGATACCGAATGGAATGTCCAATTAACTGTCCTGATAATATGTGAGTTTGATACATACCTATTCCGAGATTTAAAACTCAGGAATCATTCTTATAGAACTATTAAACTAAGCACTAATTATGTCACATGATCAAGTGATACAGTTCGCACAGCTTGTTACAGATCCAAACAACCTCCCTTTTGTATTTGAAATTCACTTTTTCTAAAAAGTGAGCAATTAATTAAGCCATTCATAGTTTTGGCTGTGGGTCCTGCCTTGGGTGTCTACCCTAGAGAGGTATCCATTTTGTCACAAGACAGAGATCTTGTAACTTGGCTTTTGATAACTGTGATGTCTTGATTTCATTATTGTCTTATACTGATGATATTCTATGAAATCTTGTTTATAATGAGCTTTTATCTTCTCCTTTAGTTATAAAATAATGGTAAAATGTTGGAGTGAAAATGCTAAAAGCCGTCCTGAATTTTTTGAGCTCACTGAACAACTTGATGAACTTCTCTCATCTGAGTCATCTCAGGTATTTAATATGAATGTGTTTTAGTTTAACTTTAACCTTGGTTTTAATCTTTTTTTTATGTGAATGGATATGTAGAGAATAATTATATTGACTATGAAACAAAGGGTAATAAAATGGGAAACTATGATAATCTTAGTCAAACATCCATGTCTGACAAATCACAACAATTTTGGTGACAATGACATTGACCTTAGCGATGATGACACTGAGGAAGAGTGTTATGAGTAAGGTAAAGACAAGCTCAAGACATCATTCACTGTCTAATCCAGGTGTGAATGTGAAAAATATAGGATCTCCCCTCACACTAACTTGATCTACATTCTTAAAAACTTCAATGATCTGAGTTTAAGAGTACAACTATTTCAAACTGGAAAATATTGTTTCAAGGGAAAACATTTCCGAGGCCTTTTCAGACAAAACTATTTCTCAACAGTGTTTTGGTTACATTTCCCAACCAAGCTCCTCAATCCTAGATGTGGCACTTGTTAATGTTTTTGTTCTCATATGTGATTCTTGGTTAGAAAGCACTTAAGGGAAAAGCTTAATTAAGAAAATACCATGGAAAAAGTAATATTGAAATGATAAAAACTAGACTGTATTGTAATTTTAACTTCAAATGATATACAAACTTACTGATGATGTATCATACCTTGCAACTTTTAGGAGTACATTGAGGTCTTGGCAAAGTCAGTTGATTGTTTGGCAGAAGTTGAAATGGAATCTGGCCAAACAGCTGAAAGTCAAAATCCACAAGAAGCAAATATCATACATGAAAATATGGCAATTAAAGGAAGTGAAGGAAAGGACATCCCTTTCTCTGACACAAATCTTCAGTTGACCTCTTAAATCAAAGATGGTTTACATATTTACCATTGCTCTCCTTCCTGAAACAAATACAGCCCAGTGAGGATCTCAGAGAAGATAAATAAATGTCTGGCTGCACAAGATAATTCATAATGCCTGATTTAATGACCCACAAGGAAGCAGAATTCATTGTAAACTACATCAAATTAGAAAGAAAGACCCATCAATAACCTATGGCAAGTGAAGAGGGTACAGTCTGACCCAAAGATTTCCCTTACAAGGGCATGTTCTCAGTAAAATTAACAACAGAGATATGCTGAACCACATGGATCACACTCAGGTGTGAATATCTTTCCTACACAATTAAGAAGACAAGGTGCTTTGTAAGATAAAATCACATAATTATCTCTTCAAAATTACTACACATTTGACATGTCTTGCTGTAGAACAAACACTTTTAGATACAATGTAGCACCTCCATTGGCAAAATTGCAGTGGTGATCTTATACAAATGCAAAAGTTCAGTTAGCTATAATATAGATTTAAGTGTTAACATCAATCTTTCTATAAATTTCAAGTTGACTTCTTTAACAAAAGGTTGACAGATTTTAATGCAGAGACATAATCTCTTACTCTCACCTCTTACTAAACTCATTCTAGATCACCATAAGCAAAGTAAACCAAGTTTACCAAAATTAATTGTGAAGTATCCTTTCGTTAGATACCTCTAAATATGATTAAAGAAGGATTAACATGACTGTAAAAATGTTATTTAAAGCAATGGAAGTTAAGACAGATATTATTTATTAAGGAATATAATGTAAGCGTACAAGACATCATCCATCATCCATCATCCATCATCCATCATCCATCATCCATCAAATAATTACCCAGACTCATTTAGCATCAGAATGTTAGGACCAGATAAATTTCATCTCTCCTCTGTAAAAAACTTAGATGTACATCTCTCAGTCAGTCTTGAGTATTGAGTAAATGTTTTAGAAACACTTAATATAGGTAAGTGTGTCCAACAATATGAGTTCATTTCTTGTAAATATCTTAAGTAAAAATAGAGAGTTAGTCCCAAATGAAACCAAACAAAAAAGTGATCATTAACATGTTAACTTCCAGTGAGTCCTGTAACCTTATTCATAATGGTAATCAGACTCATTGGAATCCAATTTGGTCTATAATTATAAGAGTGATTAACAAAATGGACAACTGCAAAGCAGGAGTCCAATTGATGGTCACAAGTATGATTACAAACAGAATTAGACGACATGAAGTCCTGATACCAATTAATCAAAACTATGACAAAATTTGAGAAAGAAACTCACAAAAAAACAACCGTTAACTCAGTGAAATGTGCAACCAAAGACGGCACACACGACACATACTATTGTCTAACACAGGCATGACGTCAACTGTTCTATTGCAGTGTTCAATGACAAGCCTGATGTTTACACTGTCCTATTAGCACTCAAATTGGGCTGGTGATAACCAATCACCTTCAAGAATTTTTTTTTTAGTTTTGATTAATATCATTATTGTTCAAATTTCCCAAACTTTGTCATCTTTCAAAACATGTAACAGGAAAGATTTATCGTCGAAGTTTGTGGAAAATAATTAATAGCATTTGGAGGAGCATTTAATAGTTAAAGTGTGTGTCCTTTTTGGTCCTAGTTCACTGAGCTAGTCATTTATTCTTCTTAAGTATTGCACAATTCAAATATCTCAGCATTTTTTTATGACAATGTTTACTCTTTTAGATAACAAATGAATATTATCCAAATATTTTCAAAGAATACCTCATCCTATGACCAATTGCTAGAATACTTCTAACAAGGACAGTGTTAAGTTATAAAATTTCTTTGGAAATAAAAAATTTTGCAGTATCCTCAATTATACATGTACCTTAAACAGGGTAGCCAAATAAACAGATTTTATCTACAACAGGGTTAGTGCTCAGCAGTACACCCCATCAAATTCACTTAGAAATGGCAAAATTTAATTTTTGATAAAAATTACCAATACATCACTGTCTAACAGTAAAGAGATAATCAATTAAACTATCAGTATTTCTCTAAATCAATTATTATTTTGTTTAAATATTTATCACTCTTGACAGATCAAAAGTATGGTTATATAATTTTATATGGTGTAATTTTATCACATATATGATCAAAATTTCATGGGTTTAAATAATTGTAGCTGTACATTACTGTTTTCCCGAATGTGTTTCCCTGTATTTACCTCTATGTGTTTATTCATTAAACGAAAGCTTGAAAAGCTTTGAACATTGAGTTTTAAGTCCTATTAAGATGATATGGCATTGCTTAAAAACCTGCAAGTATCAACATGCAACAAGTGTTTGGCTCTGAATCAGTTCAAGGAGTAAACTACATTCACCCCTGTTCATTTAACATCTTTTTTTGACCAGAGTGAGCATTAAGGTATACATGGCTGGAAAAAGACAAAAATTTGAACTAAACAACAACCATTCCTACACAAAAAGACACATAGAGATAGAATTTTCTTCATTTTCCTCCTCTACAGATAAAATATTTCAACTGACCTCTATTTGGGACTTTTAAAAAACCCTTTGAGGAACAGAAAACTCTTATTTAAGCCAAGATAACTGAAAATTTTAAGTCTGCTCTCTGAGAGTTTGGACGAAAAATAAGCTTTACATAAAGTTGAAAAACAGGAAATATTATGGTGAACTTTTCAGAAGCCTGGCCCCGCCACTCTCACGTTCCCTGATTAATTTTGTAATCCTCGGAAAAGAAACTTCTTCAGTCTCGGATCCTGCGAACTACTTTTACAGAATGTTCGTATTTACTTAACTCTGCACATCGAAAAATGCTACGACTAAAATTATATCACTGTTAACACAATCATGTAAACACATACTCTCGTTACCGAGACCATGCATCGCAGTTTAGTCGAAAATGATATTGCACACTAACGATAAACAACCGAAAAACACCACTAATGTTTTTTTTATCAGTTAAATCTCTCCACTGAAATACTAAATTTAGAAGTACGCTTCGGTTACATAAATAATCTAACAAATACAAGACAGCTCGAGCCAACAACTGACCTTATTTCTTGTGTCAATGAGAAGCAGAAAGTGCTTTGCTACAGGAAAACTTCCGCCATGTACCTAAGTTTCATTTGAATTGGATTTAGTGCCCAGGCCACGTCGACTAAGAAAATAGCTTAGCTCTGGAAACAAGTGTTCATTGTGCTGAGATTTGAAGACCTAAATTAAAAGACTCAAAAAAGCAAGACAAAAAAAAATAAACGAGGAAAAAGATGTCACGCAGAACAACTAACCTATCACAGTGTGATCCAGCTTCACAAAATTACACACCATTCGAAGGAAAAGTAAGATACGACCAGGGAAAGCGTCATGATCCGTCGTCGATAGAGGAGCACTTTCCCTGGGACACGTTTTCCGTGAAATAATTATTAAAAGATTTGCTCAAGTCGACTAGTTTCTTGTCTGACCTTGCCCCTAGGTCTCTTACGTAAAAGAGCTCTCTGTGATAGGTCACATTCTGGAAATAATTTTTCGACCAATCAAATCACATTTTGCTTAATTCACTGTCAAGCGCTGCAGATAGTCTAGTTCAGTTAGAAGGGATTTTGAGAGCTGGGGTTTTGTGCTTGTGCGAGCTGATTTCTATCTTTTAGAAAAGATCAAAGGTAAATTTTCATTTGATGAACAACAGTGAAGGTTTGTAGGTCGAATGTTTAGGCATGTCTCATATTCATCAAAGTAAAAATGAATCATGCTCTCAAATGAAGCAAGTGTCTTACAGCGCGTGCTTACGATGCACATATCATTAGCTCTCGTCATTGAATCAAAAGAGATTCAAATCGACAAGATGATTGTTTAGATTGTTGCCCTATATTTTCCGTTTGGACATGAGGAAACGTTGTTGGAAATTGTGGGAAATAAGCGAAATTTTCGACATATTTCAGTGTAATGTAACGCGAGTCACATGAGTGAACTGGAAGTTGCGTGAGGTCGAAACTACACGAAACAACACATTGCTATTGTTAGTTTTGACCAATCACATTCTTGTTTTGGTTATCTGTTGGATATTTCTCGGTGAGCCAACGGGTTTATTTGAAGACTCTCTTTGTTCTCTGAGGGTTTCAAAATTTAATCGTCCAAATTTCGAGTATTTAAAAAACGAAGCCTGTGAAACGTTTGGCCTTGGTGCAATGGATACAGAGAATAAACTGAATTCAAACGATGTTGAATATTTGAAGGTACCAAAGGTAAGATTTTTTCCTCGCCTGGTATATCTCTCAGCGATGACGTGACAAAGCTAAAGAAATCGCTTACCAGCTGAATGAAATTATTGGCTTTTACTTACATTTATAAGAACAATTTTCCAATTTTAGCAGTCATATATTGGGTCATACAAGTAGCTTAGTAATTTTTCGAAAGATGCATATCACTGAAGGCAATATATATATATATATATGTATTTTTTTTTAATTGGGTTAAATTTTTATACTGGTCATTTGAATAAGAACCCTTTTCGAGGTTGTGGCGATTATTTCGAGACGAAAATCGCGCAAGTTAACTCGTACACCTCCTTTAAAGAGTTTCTAGTTAAACATTTAGGTGTAGAGGGAATCGTTGTGTAATGGACTAGTTGTAAACCGTGGGACGAATTGCATAATTTTATTGTCATCCAGTGAACCATGGTCATTTCGAAACTTCAAGCTAAAGTGTGAAGATACAACATGTGAAATAAACAAGAAAATTTCCGGTAAAAGGAGGATATTTATATGTTTTATATAAGGGTGATTGTCAATTTTTATCAGTCTGATTTTTCTACAGTGCTTCTTTACAATTTGTAGCGTTTCGCTTGCATACCATTCTAATGTTCAATTCCAATGAAGGGTATAACATTTTCTCAATGTATAATCTTCAGTGATCAATTTTGTATTAATGTTGTCTATTGTGCAGACAAGTTTGCAGAAGAAGTACTCTTGGAAGTACATTATATCATTCGGTACTTCTCTACACTGAAATCCCAACATGCTGCACAGTGAACCTTGAAGGACCTTCAATATAATCAAAACAACTGATTCACTTTAAAAAAATTTATGTGGATGACAAAAATCAGTCATCTGTGGATACTGAGTACCTCCAAAAATCTTTTGTAAATGAATTGATAGGCTTGTTGCTTTCATTAACCTTTTTATTACATCTCGACACAGTTACTTTATCAATATTTGCAAACTAGAATGAAATGTTATGTAATATATATCTGTAACTACCATGTTAAACGATTCTTGCTCTTCTGTTGATATATTAATCAAGGGGAATGTTGTTTTGACCATGATATTTCTACCCTGATACATCCATCTTGGGGTCATAAAGAAAACAAAGATAAACTTGACATCAAAATATGCAGTACAGTTAGCACAAGACATACCAACATCACTTTTTGTGATACAAGGATAATTTGCTGAAAAATGTTCATGAGGCATCCATCAACAACACTGGCTGAAAAAGTTTTGTGACTCTATCTTTTTTATGTGGCACTGTGTAAATTTGATATTAATGAATTATTTGAGTGAGGTGCATAAGTTTTGTTTACTCAGTGTATATGATCAGAGTTCTTTTCCCATGTTATTCCATATCTTGGTTATCACATCTGTAGATGTTGTTCCTATATGTTTACTTACTTTAAATTAGGTGTAAAAGTAGAGTAAATGTTCAGATCTTAACTGCAAATATCCCTAAGAAAGTCAAACGATTATGAATGAAATCCACAGACCATTAGAGTAATAATATTGGTAGAAAAAGTCAGGGAGCATGTGGAAGGTGAAGAATGAAATAACAATGAATATATCGTCTTGATTTACTTCCAACATAATTTGTTTTGTGGCTGATGATTTTATCCCAATATAGGAAGGCAGGGTCAAGAGTGCTCCTAAGGAAGCCATAGAATTGAATATGCCTTACCCCTCTCACCCATTTGACCAAAACTCTGTGGGAATTGACACTCCTGATGGCTCAAAGGCATTCAAGAGAGATACTGCAAACAGGTAGCTCCATTTTCTGGTTTTATTCTGGTATTAATGTAACTATGAATTGTTTGGGATTATACAATTTGTCCAGGGTAGAGTATAGTACCAGTGGTTGGGGGTGGAGGGGGGAATTAGGTCAATATTTGTCCTGTCAGAACCTCTATCCCAATATTGTTTATTCTGTGGCCAATTATAGACCCTATCTTAGTCAGTTTAAGGAAAATGTAATTTTCTTGATTCCATTATATTGTAGTCACTTTCTGTTTATGCTTTTACAACAGCATGCAATATGGTAAAAACTTTTTACTGCAAACATTCCCATTGTTATATCCCTATTTACTCAATTTTCTTATCCCAAAAATCTAACCTTTTGTTTCAGAGTTTTTGTGAATAGAAGTCTTAGTTTAGACAAGATCAAATTCTTTGGCTTTGATATGGACTATACTCTAGCAGGTATGACTTGATCAGTTTGTTACATGCTATAAGGTAAAATTGGAACAATTTTTCGGAAGACCAATGATTTACTACTTGCTTATGTCTTTTGAGGTGGGTACACCCAATCTATTGGCATCCAGTTGTTTCATTCCCACAATCATTTTGTACCTAGTTGTTTCAAACCCAAATGTAGTCAGTTCATATCCATGTTTGAGTTGGTTCATACCCAAAGCACTCGTTGATTTGTACCCATACTGCTGATCAATTCATACAATAAGAAAGCAAGAACAACTTAGTGATTGGAACAACTTAGTGATTGCCTGGCACAAGGAAAACATGATACTTTTAAAAGAAAAGCCTCTTTTTTATACTTGTGACTTTTGAACTATAAAAGTTCCTGTAAGTGTAATATTTTTTCTCTCATTGTTATCAACAGTAATTCTAATGTTAATGTTAATTTTAACAAAGGTTTCACTTTCACTTGGTGCTTGTACTTCAAAATGGACTCCATGTTAACAAAATTTATTTAAGGCTGGTAATATTGCTATTCACAATAAGAAATAGGCCTTACTTTAAACATACTTTTATGGAAAACTTACTTTATTAGTTTTGGTACAAAACAGCCAAGCTGTGTACAAAATGACTGGGTATGAAATGACTATGAGTACAATACAACTGGTAGTCATTATAAAACATGCAGATTAACTCTTGATTAAAATTTCTTGCAGTGTATAAATCCCCTGTCTATGAAAAGAAAGCCTTTGATTTAATTTGTGAAAGGTTAGCCTCCATTGGCTACCCAAAGGTATCTTGATTTTCATCAAAGTTTTGTTTTTTAACGAGTAACAGACTATGCAATTATCAAAGATTGATAATTAATAACTGATGGAAGACTTTGAAATTATGAATAGCTGTTAATTTGCTAATTCTTCTTTTGGCACCCTAAGTTGTTGTTGCTTTGTCCCTTAAATGAACTGTGTAAAAAGAAATACCCCTAATCCTTCTTTAACTCCTAACACCCAAACATCAGTATTTATATTCTCCATACTGTTCTCTGTAAATTTACTAAGGTGCTGAAAAAGAGAATTTGTCTAACAATCAAGAGTCTCTTTAGTTGGTGATCACTTCCTTTATCATCCAGTTCTTTAGAATTCCAAAGCTCTCTTACTAGAAGCCACAGAATTAATGCACATAATACTCACATAGTAGTAAATCATTATACTAGGTAACCCTTAAAGCCACCAGAAATAAATGAAGTAGGGAACCTTTCTTATCAGTACCAATACATTATTCAGCAAAAATATCAACTAGAGTTTGTTTTCTTGTTGTCAAAATGAATTCCCTCAAATACCTTATCAAAGATACAATGTGTATAGGATCTAGCAGAAAGACATAATCGTAACAATCTACATTGTAAAGTTAATTCATAATAATTGAGAGAATGTATAATTTGTAATTGATGACAGGCCAAATGTCATTACTGAATTTTTTATTTTTATTTAGGATGTACTTAAATTTGAATACAATGATTCATTCCCAGTCAGGTATGTATTTTAATTAGCATTCAATAGAGACACTATACAGTTCATGTTTTCTTAAAATTCCTATTCATTCTCTAATTCATTCCCTAATTACAGATTAAATGTTTTCATTGAGCCTTACAATTAATAGTCAGAAATTACTGAAAAGATAGAGTTTTCCTTCAGTAGTTAAAGAAAAATGAAATGGTTAATTGAAGTTTATTTTACAACAAAATTCTATTGATTTCATCTGAAAATGTACTCTAATCTTTCTTTTGTAGGGGTCTGTTTTTTGACTGTGAGCTAGGAAATCTATTAAAGGTGTGTGACTCTGGCGTACTGACATTTGACAAGAAAAATGTACAAGAGCCAGCAAATTTTTATTTTGTCAAATGTATACTTAAAGCTCATAGATATGGGTGTCTAATAAATCTTGAGGTGCAGAAGAAATGTTATAAAATTTTTAAATGTTAATAGGTCCTAATAAGAGGGTGGCAAAGGCAGGGGGGGGTCCTGATCTGGTTTCAGGCACAAATTTAGAAAAATTATGATGTCACATATAATTAAAACAATATTTGACTTCAAATTTCTCTTCTTGTGTGCAAGGTTTCAGGAAAATCTTGAGGTTATCACCAACTGAAAGAAAAAATCATGGGTTATGTATATTTGAGGAGGCAAATCTTACCTCACACTGGTTCATAATTTTACAAATCACACTCAACATTTTGTAAAATTGATAGATCACATATTAATTTTGGCCTTGATCACACACCATGTAAACCTTTTGCCATCCTCTTATAATAGTTATGTCTTTCATTGACTCTCACTTGGCTGAAAGGAATCAGAAAAAAACTATTTCCTTATACATATTGTTTGTTGGTGTGGGCTTGGACATCTCTGGGAACCATATGATTTCATCCTTGTAGTAGTTTAAAAATAATCCTAATGAGTTTTCTTTGATTTGTAGGTTGACACCTATGGAAACATTCTTGTTTGTGTGCATGGTTTAAAGTTCTTAAGTGGGTATGTTGACATTCACTTAAATTTTAATTTTTACCAATTTTTTTCTAACACTCAATCATCTCTATACAACTTGTATATTCACCTTCACTAAATGTATCCATATAATTATATTTTAGTTGATACGATGCAAATTGTCCTTTTGATTGGTTTACTCTGTATTACAAATTTATGTATATCTGATTTAGAGTTCTGTTTTTTTCAAAAGTAATTCTTTTAATTTGTATTTACAGTTATGAAGTGAGGAAATTGTACCCAAATAAGTTTGTCCAGGTAATTTAACTTACATTTTCTATCAATTAGTTCATTTAATTTTTCTCAAATTTTGACAAAAATTACTTAATATTTTCTTTGGTTGTAAGCTAGTTACTTATGATGAGTTTTATTACAGTGTCCGCTATATTTTTTTTCCATCCCTTCTACCTTCTATTATTAGCCCCATGTACAACCTATAAGTGTGTTCAAGCATTCATCTATTAAAAGAACAGAACTATTTTTCTAAAGGAAAGTTATTGCTTAGTTCACACAAAGTTATCATGGTTTTCCATCACCATTCAATTTTACATGAAAAATTGAACCCTTGAAGAGCTAGAGCCATAAGATAAATGTGTATATGACTACACTTAGGATATGTACATGTGGATACAATCTAATATTAAATGACCCCAAAGAGATATAAGTTATTAATAACAGTTTATATTAGCAGTGCTTGAGATAGGGTTTTTTTCTTTTTTTTGACTTCTTGATGTGCTTTCTGTAGAATTTCCAAATTTGTGAGAATTTGAAGTTATTCAGTAATGAATACTTTACTTTTATCTACAGTCTGACTCTTCAAGATATTTCATATTGAATACATTGTTCAACTTGCCAGGTAAATGGAATGTTTATCATTTAACACACTGATCTAAATTAAAGAACTCGCATTGTAACAACAAATTTCTTTATTTGGAAAGTTACTCAGTCGGTGATACTGACAATTCATTATCTCCATGCAGGTTAAAGGTGTTTTAACTGTACTTGGACAAAAATTAATTTTTCCTTTTTTCCCCTGTAATCAATGGCAGAAACACATTTGCTAGCCTGTTTAGTGGATTACTTTGACAACTGTCCTGGTTATCAACGGTGAGACAAAAACCAACATAATTATGTATTTGATTAACTAAATGATAACCTTTTTTTTTTTTAGCCAACAAACAAACAAATTTGTATGTCTATCAACCCTGTATAAAACCATCAAATACACATACATGCAGGTCTTATTGTGTTGCAGTGTCGAATTGTTTTAAAAATTTTTGTTATAGTAGTACCATTTACTTTATGAATTTCTCTATCCAGACTGTTAGATATTAAGTTATAAGTATGGGGTTAATTCATACATTTCTCCAATACTTCATCCTGCACAGGACAAATCATGGTGTAATTAGCTCTGACCAGTTGCTTTTGACCTACAAAAGCATTCATCAAGACATCAGAGCAGCAGTAGACTGGGTACACTTAAAGGTAATTTGTAACATACTACCTGTTTAAGTGAGCCCCAACTGACACACAAATTTGAGACCTTAAGTTGGTGACTTGTGTCAATGTGTTAACATCAAGATTACAAAATTATGTGTCATAAGGATTTGCACTGCTGTTGTAGGAAAGTTTACCTGTCAATGGAATTTTTAACAAGTTTCTCCTCATAAAATATGTTGCAGTTCCTACCCAGGGAATACTCCTATGTTGATAAAGGCACAGTGAAATTTGGAAGAAGTTTAGTGCCTGATAACACAGGTTACACAGCATTTGCTATGATGGGACACCAAAAAACCTGTTGGCTAAATGTAGCCAGTTAATTCATGTTTCATCATGTTAATGTACAAAAATTGATGTAGTGGAGATTAATCTTAACACTCTCTGGCAACTATGACATGATTTGCAATTGTTTATTTTATTTTTCTTTTAGGGCACATTGAAGCAATTAACTGTAGACAATCTTGAGACTTATGTTATTAAAGAGGTCAGTTCTTAATTTGCTGTCAGTGCACTGATATAATTTTGTTCCATTCAGTTACTTCTTTAAGCTCAAAGAAAAAATAAGATCCTTTAATCTATGAGAGTTGAAATCACTGGTATGGAGTTGTATCAAAAATCCCTGCATAATAAAAGTTGAAAAAGCTAGACTGAGGTCTGTCTGTATATAACGTCAACCCCTCTGTTTGTTGATGAATAGTCATAAATGGTTCAATTCACTGCCAAGAGTATCAAACCAATGTTAAACATCATTTAGTTCTGTTGTTTTCAAATCCTTTGCTTGGTAGTATTTTTGCTGTGTATCTGTGTAAAGGATTCCAGTTGCCATTATAAGTTTATGGTGCCCACTCACAGGTAACTTGTCCCGGGCTTGTTATGATTTGTTAATTCCTTTAGTATCAAAACAAAGTTAAAACTTCACATTAATTTGTAAATTTGTCTTTGTTTCTTGCAGCCTAAACTACCAAAATTACTGACTAGGTATGTTCTCTTTTTTAACCTATTTTAACTCTTTTGACAATATCTCTTCAGGTTAGTGTTGAGCAGAAATATTGTTGAAGGAATATTGTTGTTTACTAATTTTGTTGTTTGTTTTCAATTATTTTTTTTTCTTTTTTCCATCACAGAATGAGGCAAAGTAACCGCAAAACATTCATTCTTACAAACAGTGACTTCTTATACACAGATGTAAGTTACCTTGGATTCTTAAAAATTATTGATATAAGTAGTTTATTTAATTTATTTTCTTTGGCTTTGTTTCAAAGTAATATAAAGATTATTGTTTAAACTGATCTCTCTTTTTTTGCCCACTGCAGAAAATCATGTCCTTCTTGTTAAATGAAACTGATGAGGTATTCCATATTGTTTTAGAAATGTACTGTTTCTTATTCAAAGTAGTAACCTGCAGAAAATGCCAGTTTTTTGCTAGTTCTCATGTATATAATATGTCTTGTATTTCAGTCAGGAAAGACTATCAAGAAGTGGACATCTTATTTTGATTATGTTGGTGTAGATGCTAGAAAACCACTCTTTTTCGGAGAAGGTAGGGAGAGTATGCTATTACAAATTAATTTTATACCGCATGTTGATGTAGTCTCATGTTGTAGGTGTGTTGGTGCAACTATGGTCCTTTGTAGACCTAATCTGTTATATGTGTTAAAACAAGGAATAAAATGTTATACTATTTGTTTTATAATATACCTTAAACCCCCTAACTCCCAGTCATATCAAATTTTTCATTCTCCTCACTGTCAACCATACAATTCTTTGAATGTTAGATCATAGAGTTTAGTATTGGATCAACTTATTATCCTCAAATTGATATTTTTCTTTATTCTCATCAATTGTCTGGTTGGTGTTGTATTGATCTTGTAAGGAGAAATTCTGTCTTGGTCACTCATGGGTATTGAAGGGTTAAATGTTAGTGTACAGTTCAATAGTGGTTATTTTGTGGGAAATAGACTGGTAAAATGTAAATTAAAATTTGTTTATGCCATGTAAGGGAACTGCTCTTTTTCAATCTCCTCATTGAACACTTGTTTGATAAGCTACATGGACAATTATGCCTGACATGAATAATCAATGTGTCACATATCTGTTAGTTTCCACATAGTAAAGCGTTGTTTTCAGTTACATATGCTTCTTTTTTATTGCAAATTTACAAGCATTTCTCTTTTTTACCACCTTCAGGTACAGCACTGAGAAGGGTTGACACGGTGAGGGCTATGCTCTTCTGTCTTACTTTGCCCTTATCATTAGTATATTAGCTATAAGTGATTAGAATATTATTATTGATCTTATCATTCTCGACTTTACTATCATTATTTTTGTTAACAGTGTAATTTTTTAGAGAAATAGATTTTTGCCCAGTAAACTTAGACATGTTATTTCAAATCATTTTAAAACATGTTTGAATTTGCATTGATCATAAACGCCTATTTTGTAATCCTTATTTCACTGTTGGAACTAATTTTTGCAGGAGACTGGGGCTCTTAGCATTGGAAGATATTCTGGTGAACTAAAGGAGGGACAAGTGTTCTCTGGAGGTAAGGCACAACCTGTAGAGGGCAGCATACATTTATTGTTGTCATTTCTCTTTACTGTTAATCTTGCATGAGGTGCACACCTTCTTCTACCCTAACAATTGGCACTTAACAGACCACAAATTTCTTAACCACCTTTTGTCTTCTTCTAGGTTCTTCTGATGTGTTTTGTAACCTTCTAGGGGCAGAGGGAAAGGTAAGCAGACTATCTAGTGTGATTTTATTCCAATTTATGTCATGTTTTAATGACAAGAATTTCTTTTCTGTCAGGACATTCTGTACATTGGAGACCACATTTTTGGTGACATCCTCAAGTCCAAGAAAAAGCAAGGATGGAGGTGAACTGAAAATAAGCATATTTTAAATTGTTTATGCGTGTGTGTGTGCTACACATAATTATATATGAGGAATTGGACAAATGTTTATCCTGGTGGCAGAGCCAAAGACTTGGATTTTTATACAATACTTTTTTGAAAATTTAAGTAATGAAGAAAAGAAAAGAAAAGACAATTAAGTTCCAAGATTGCAATAACAAACAATTAAGAAAAAAATTAAGGAAAAGTACAAGAATAAACAATTAGCTCCACTTTCAATTCTGATAACTTTCTGTTCTCCTCTGACATTCCTTCCCCCCCCACACATCCCTAGGGCTTCTACTTTTTATTTATGTTAACATTGAATCCTGTCTATTTATTCACTGTTTTTGTCTTAACTTTTAGAACATACCTCGTGATTCCAGAACTGACTAAAGAACTCGAGGTGTGGCAATCTAGACAAGGTTTGTCAGTTTTGATTACCCAGGCTTTTCACTTACATATATCTTTGGTGCCAAAAGACATCCAGTCCTAAATGAAAAAGAACATTAACAATAACATAAAAAAATTTGGGGGGGAGGGGCACAGGCTCTTATTAGAGAGGAGTGCTGATTATAGAGGGGAAGGGGGCTTATTGGAAACCTGAGGAGACCAATTAGAGTGTTTACTGTCATAGAACTGTGTGGCATGTCCTAAAATACCGTTAAGAACCCAGTCTTCAACCGCTACTCCTTGCAGGTGTGCTAGATAATAACATGTGGCTTGTTACTCCTTTTCAGATGTTTTCACAAAGCTTCGTGATCTTGACATAGCACTAGCTGATACATACAAGTAAGTTTAGGAGGTGCTTTAAGCTGTCACATTCAGTTAAGTGATTGAATAAAAGACAGGCTCGTTGTAAAAGGTTTGAATGCTGTCAGTATGGTTGTTAGTTCAGTGAGCCTTCAAGCTGAATACATGAGTGAGTTTCTGACTTTCAGAGGAATCATTTTCAACGTGAATAATGTTAATTTATCTTAGGAATTTGGACTCGGCCGCGATTGACAAACCAGATATAACAGAAATAAAAACTTCCATAAGGGTAAGTAAGCATTTAATAAATGCAGTTGTGGAAAAAAAAAGAATAGAAAGAAAAAAAAAGAAGAAATTATCAAAAAATAAAGATAAAGTGACAAATACGTATGTAATTTTAGCAGCTTCGTATCTATTTAACGTGTCGTTTACACACTATTTTGTCTTGTCATCTTAATTCATTTATTCCAGTTGTTACCTTAGCCTCTCTATTGTAACTTATGTAGTGTAAGTGTTTTATTGTAAGAAATGTGTTGTTATTATATTAAATTTTTTGGTCATAACTTTTAGTAAAAAACGTTGTAAAAATAATAATAAATGTAGAATGAAAAAAACAGAATATACTTGGAGGCTTCTTATTTAATTGTGGTGGTCCAATGTTGGAGGGAGCTTTGTTATTCTTTGTACATCTCGAGTTTTTACTTATCAGGAGGTAACGAACATGATGGAGACATGTTACGGACAGATGGGGAGTCTTTTCCGCAGCGGTAAGTCCAAACCTTTTCCAATTCTCATAGCTCAAGAGAGGAGGCAAGTGTTGGCGGATCATCCAAACCTATACATGTACTAAAATTTGCCGATTATTTGAATTGGAATAAGTGTACGATTCGTGCGAATTATTATACACAGAAACGTACACAATTGCCTGATAGGTCTGGATTTTCTGTGGCACTTAAGCTGCTGAGCATGAACTTTCTCTCGCAGAAAAACAAACTACAACTAAAACATTCCTGAGTTTCGATCAGCTTTTAATATTTAACAATAGAGTCAAACCTAATGACTTTCCATTTGTTCATGGGTGGTAGAAGGTCCAACTTAAACCGCATACACTGAATGGCTACACACCCGATGATCTGAGGTTCGATTCCTCATAGGGACTCAGAATTTGTTTTCCTTGTTCCACATTCGTGACAAGACGAAAAAAATATTTCTCTACATACTGATATGTTTTGAGATATTAATTATTTAGGCAACAGACCACACTTTCTATCGCCTTACCGACGAAATAACCCGCTTGGGTCATTATTGGGTCACGAATCCAGTGTGCTGGACAGAGACCTCAAAACACTTTGATCGGTGGTGAGCCAGTATTCACTCGGCAGAGGAAGAAAAATAGATTAACAGACGAACCTGGAGAAACTCAAGAGCCGTCGTCTTCGACGGACTCAAGCTGAATAGATGATCTCACTGGGCATTATCGGTAACGACAGACACCTGCCTGGACTGGACTGGACTGAACTGAACTGAATCCGCTTGGGATTTTGGGAGAACATGTGGGTTTATCCTCCCGATAAACCGACAGGAAGTGTGGTCTGTTGCTTTAATAAAACAAACTAAAGGAAAACATTATATGTTTAAATATTCTATGGGTTTACCGATGCAATAAACGGTAGGTTTAATACCAATCACTAGGTGCTCGTGGTGTCAGTTATTTTGTAAAATCTTGCAATAAGGTACTAGTTATCAACAGTGTGGTTTTATATCCCTTGGCTTGAAAGATTATTTCTTGTTTCAGCACTACTTTAATGAAATTTTCTGGAAAATATACACCGAATAAGTAAGGCATACTTTCACGACCGAAATAATGAACATTAGGGTCTGGTGAATCATGCAGAGGGAATCTCAGAGAAGAATTGACGCTCCTTCGTTTTTGTGAGAGTCCCTTATTTCCAAATAAAAGAAGGCATTGTCACCTTGAACTCGAAATCTAAACAAGGCATCTTGTAATGATATACTCCGTGCTACACATTTTCCTTTGCAACGTGTCATCCACTTACTCGTGATCAAAAGAAACAGTGGAATGTTCAGAAAGCGGCGCCCCTTCCCTTCCCCCGTATGGGGCGAGACCGTAGCGTTCAGTAGTAGGGCCTATCCTGAGTCAAATCCTAACTTAATTCTACGATCACCTCTCGGCTGCCAATAAACGAAAAGAAGCTGCTCATGGGAGTTGCAATTCATCTGGTCTGGAGGAGGTATCTTAGACGACCGTAGAATTAAGTGTAAGATCGCAAAGCTGCTCTTTTGAATTTTGAGAGTTTTACGATAGTAATGCAAAGGATTGACGACTGTACTCATCAAAAAATCATGAGGAGCAGATGAACGTCAAGTTTATGTCCTGCTACTACAACATATGTGGTGGTGATCTGAAGTAGGAATTCTTTTCCAGAGCGACTCTGACGGATAGTTCAGGAAACGTGGGGATAATTGATGGCTTATTACATGACAACGAAGGAAAGTTATCCGGGAGAAACTGGTAAATAGTACTTGCTCGGCGGCCATCTTTGCCCATGGCATGGGAAACTTGTTCATGATTTTCCTCAAATTTTGATTGTTATAGTAAGGAATCGTGCTTATAAAACGGGATACAGTTAGTTTGAGACTCCTTAACTTGTCAAGTATAAAAATTAGAAAAATCCGCCGGTAATATGTGGAGAAACGTCGCTAAACTTTGCCGCCAGCCAAGTTCCCATCATGGTTTTTTCAGGCAGTATAGCTCTAAATCTCAGTTAGAGGTTGTGATCCTGGAGAAGTTGAAGTTGCAGAGATACAAGTTCTTTGAAAAATCAAAAACATCACTTGTAGGCCTTGAACCGTTGAAGCCGAATCACCACGACTTGGATGCGATCGACGTTCGTTTTAAACAACCGAACGTGTTGTACTTGAGAACTGAACTGCTACTTCAACGTCTTGAATACTTAAAACCATCAGGCTTGTTACCAAGACAGAAAAGAAAACTCATTGAACGGTCTCCACCAGTTCTTGTTTTCACTGAAGACCACCAAAATGATAAGGTGAATTATCTTCGAGGAATTATTCGCACTCAAAAGGAAGGAGAAATAGAGAATGTCCACTTGTTGCATCCTTGTTGGAGGATGATTTTAATGCCAAAACGAGAACTCGATAATCGCTTGAAATTTATTACAGAAGAGCTTCGAATGGCTAAAGAATCGGCGTTGAAAATGCTTTTGCATTTACCTTGTTTTTTGCTTCATGACACTAAATCCTCTTCAGAGGCGTTTGTTGTCATGCATAAGTATAATCTTCCAAAGGGTTACAGCTTGGATCATCACACTGCTAATATCTACCCTCCCATTTGTTCTGCCGACCTTGATATCAATCCAAGGCTATTCACCAGACAATCTGATGAAGAACTAGCCAAAAAGTTTCCAAAATTGTCTCTTGGAGAATTGCTGGATTATTCCTATCCAACTCATCATGGAAAAGGAAAAACAGAGGATCTGACTAAGTTTCTTACTGAAGCTGAATACAGAGAACAAAGACCAAAATACAACAGGATTATTTAAATAACTGATTGTAACTTGTAATGTTCATTTAAGTCTGTTAACTCCTTATCAGCTGTACACTTTGTTGATTTAAAGTTATGAACACTTATCTATTTACAATGGCATCAAACTCCAGCTTTCAGATGAGTTGTATTTTGGATAATTAGTAACAAAGATTTGGAAACACTCTTTAAATTAATGATAGTGATATTCAGTAGAGGTATTTCGGTGGATTGTCAAATCCACAGAAGTAAAGAGGAAACACTGTTGCCCACCACTGTTAATGTCTCACTCAATCTGTAGTGTAATGGCTTGTGTAGCATCAAATCATGACACAAAATAATGATAAACAATTGTGCAAGTTTGAAAGAAAGTATTTCTGACCCATTCATGCACCTTTAGTTATCTTTCTTAATAAAATTAACCACTTGTTCCATTTGAACTGCCTTTGAACTCTTTCCAACAGTGGAAATTTTTGTGCAGGGCCACTGTTACACCAGTTAGTTGGTAAATGACCATTGCACATACTGAGCTATACTAGTGTCAGATCTCTGTGCCCTCCAGACCCTATCACAGTCAAAATTTGTAAAGAATCACCCTTGTCAATGGGATAAAGCCTAGTAACATTTTAATGGGATGCCCCCTTCCCTGGTCACAGATGGGAGTCGAAACTAGAGTTTTGTAGTAGTCACAGGTCATGTTTTCTTGTGTCTCTGTGAATCAACTAAATCAGTCAACAGCTGTACCAACCACCAACAACATAGCACTTATTATAAGCACTTAAGTGCAAAAAATTCTTCGCCCCCAAATAAGTGTGAGCCCTTGAGCAACACCAGTTAGCCAGAGGTCTGCACCTGGTGTGGCACTGATAATGAGTTGCTAGATCTCTTGAGACCTTGCCAGCTCACTTTGCCAAGGACATTTAACTAACTTGCTGGTGAAGAAGCAATTCAGCCACAGTACCTGCTTTCAGCCTATTGAGAACAGAACAGAGATAGTTTATGATGACGATTTGTCGCAACTACTTCCAAGAGTTACTAATTTATCACCAACAAGAAGTTATTATTCTATCAGTTAAGCAGCTTTTCATGTTTACTTACTACTGTTACCACATCCTCTCTTTTAGGTAACAGACAGACCTTCTTTGCCAGCCAAGCTACACGCTATGCTGATTTATATGCAGCCTCTTGTGTGAACCTGCTACACTATCCCTTCAGTTATCTCTTTAGAGCTCCACCACAACTGGTTAGTAAGATATTTTATCTCATCCAAATCCATTTTAAAGATTTTGTTAATGATTACATTCAACTTAGCTTTTACTTGGCAACCTCACTGCCAAAATTAAATGTTTCAATAGGTTACATTTTTGCTATGGTTAGTTCTCTATTTCTAGAGCTATTCATGCCAAAGTCATCAAATAATAATTCCCAATTGCTGTGATGAAGGGCTACCACTTGAACCATCAGCCTTTAAACTCTTCACTGTGGCTAATTTACGTTTTCAACTCAGTTGTCAACACTAAATTACCCGTAATCAAATAATAATTGAGTCCAATGCTGATGACATTTACTTGCTATCAAACAATGGAGAGTGACAGTCGAGTGAAATCTTGCCTGAAAAAGTTATGTGAAATGTTTTGATGTCATCAAAGTACAGTACAGTATGTACAGTAAGATTCTAATCAATTGAGAATGATTTCACATCACAGATGCCACATGAATCCACAGTGGAGCATACAGGAGAGCTGTTTGAACCTACAGAAAGCAGTGCCTTTGCCCCAAGGGGCTTCTCCTTCAGTGAGGACCACCCATCATCATGTGCTTTAGACTTTCACAGGCAAATCTCAAAGAATTCCAGTGGAAGTGTGTGTAGGTGTGATGATGATGATGATGATTCTACTGAGTCAGAGAGTGATGAAAGTACACAGGAGCCCAAAACTCCTGTTTACGAGGAAAAGAATGGTGTGAGCCCCTTGGACAAGATGTAATGAGGAATAATATCATTATGTTATTAAAGAAGAATTTGAATTTGCTTGACAATTTGAAGGGAGATCATGAAATTATTACTGTTGGTAAACTTTTCTAGTTTTAATTTGATGAAAAACTCTTGACAAAGCACTGCAAAGGCCATGATTGATGGCAAAGATATAGAAAGTAAGCAAGCTTGATGAAAGCATCTTATATACCACATTTTGCACAAGTCCAATTTCTATTTTAAACCAAGTAAAATTGATATAGGCCTTACACACCTTTTAATATTTCAAAAATGGCAGTTACTGCTATGTATAGATATCCACACCCATTCAGTGAATTTCACTGTTATGCATATAAATCCAATGGGTATGGTGGGTTTTATATATCTTCATATATTTTACACTTTGCAAGATGGGAGATTGTTCTATTTTAAATCACACAAGTGTTTTTACTTGGATATCAAGATTATAAACATTGTTTTAAAATTATTGCAATATTTTTATCATCACTCTATTTATTTGTCAGTGATTCTTGTTTCATTTTTGCCATAACAGCAAAAATGTAAACCAAAAGGTTATATCTTTACTGAAATTGATAAAGCTGAAATTTATTATCCAGGGAAAAGTCTCAATCATTCACAATCGAAATGGAAAAAGTTAAAATAAGACCATTTAATCAGCCATTTAAGTAATTTCTCCACTTCTAGTCAATTGTTTTCTTGAAAAAACACAGCTTAGTTTTTGCAGCCATGTTGTTAGTTGCCTGTTACATTAGGATGTCTCTTTTGTGTTGACACAAAGGTAGAGAAATTAAAAAAATAAAATATTTAAGTGATAGGGATAATTTTAGTAATATACTTTATTCCCTGCATAACATTTTTTCAACACACAAACACCTCCACAACCTCTGTCAATAATAATTGCCTGGCAAAAAAGAAATTTAGAAAATAATGTATTTCCCACTTTAAATTTTGAATGGAGTAAATGCTTTGTACATGGAATAGCACAATTTTTCATGTTACATTTCCTTAAAAGATGTATCAAAAATAAAATGAAGTTCTTGAAACTAAAGGTTTTACCATCTTTGTAGTATCAGCCAAGCTTCAGATAAGTGTGTTACAAATGTATTTGGTGTTTAGTCATTCTAGTAATTTGGTGATTTATTTACTATGAAAATTGTGTAATGTGGATTTCATTTGATTGTATTTAGTTTTTTCTTCCTTCAGATTTTCTACTTTTTTCCTGATTGCAGTTCAAAAAATCAGCCAGTGCTAACCTAGTTTAAGTAACATTATGGTAGATTTAGTAAAGCACTGCTTAAGTATCTTTTCTATCTTTCCTATGAGAAAATTATTTTTGTTTCTCAGGGAAACACTTGGGTAACTAGGAGGAGAATCTATAGGCCACTCAGAAACCATGTTGTGCTGTCTTTTTTCCTTGCACCCTTTTCATTACTGAGTGATGGTGGTCATCAATGGTATAAAAGTGATGTTGCTGCTGTGAAAATTTCTTTGAATTGAAAAATAAATAAATAAAAAATAAAAAAACAAAAAGTAGAAAAGAAAGACAGTGATCAGTAATTAGTAGAGTTGCATGTTTAGTTCACATACAAATTTTGGTTAATCATGCAAAGAAGTATCATTCTATTTTGTTTGGTATCTTACAAAAATTATTCATTAACATGAAATATCAAAATTAGCCACCCTTTAACAAATAGATTCCAAGTTGATTGGTATCTTACAAAAATTATTCATTAACATGAAATATCAAAATTAGCTACCCTTTAACAAATAGATTCCAAAATGTGGTAAAAACGTCAGTGACACACTTGGCTGCACCTCGTGTGCCACTTTTTTGTTCTTACCACATTTTGATGTCATCTGTGATCTATTGCTGAACAGATGCACAGCAACTTGGAATCTATTTGTTTTATATAATAAAGAATTAAAAAAGTTTTAATAATGTCATCTATACGTCTGTTCTCCAATAGATCATAAGTGAGAACCAATCAGAATGCATGCATAACTGAGCTTATTATACAAAATATGACAACATTTTGGCTAAGTCAATGTACGTTGGGCTGAAAATTATAATTCACAATAAATTCCTGGTTTAACATGCAACCTTTGTTATCCCTTTGTTTCTTCCTCTTCCAAGTTCCCACACCTAAGACCCAAAGAGTGAAACCCTTCCACTTTTCCACACGAAGTGTACAATAGACCTCTTAACATTGCTGGATTATTTTAGTGGAGTCAATTGTAAATCAGAGATCTAGATTTTGAACCTGGAAAATCATTTGCTTTGAACCTCTGTCAAGCCATCCAGGATACTACTATTATGATTTTTTTTGTTTAGAGTAGATGATTTTTCTTGGAAAGAATCTTTAAAAGGTCATTGATGAAACTTACATATCAACTAGATATATACCTTCCTTTAAAAAATTGATTTTAAGATACCCATACCTCATGAATTTTCCATTGAGTATTTTCATGTGTTTTAATTATTTCTTTCTTCCCTATTAAAGTTATGACGTTTGTTGAGGGTATCTTTAGATAGTTGAAAAGGCAATTCATCTCATAGAGGACATCTTTGCTGTCATTTTGCTTACAATTGGTTTACAGTTTATACTGGAAAGCTGTCTTTTAAATGAATACCAAAAATTAAACACGAGATCTGATTGTCCAGGTGAAAGTAGTAATGAAAAGGACTGCTGACAGTGACAGCAACTAAAATTTTAAAAACCATAAATTGCAACTTTAATAGAGACTTCCACTAAGGTTGTCAAAATATTCACCATCACTATGGACAACAGTGCTTCTTGAGACTACGTTCACCTGGACAAATAGACTCCACTACCAACTACTACTCCTGGGTTGAGACTATGTTGGGGAAAACAGAAAAAAATAAATTGAAGGCTCACAACAGGTAATCTCAAATGTCTAACTATTGGACTATTATCCATGTCACTGGGTATGTGATAAGGAAAAAGAACAACAATGACCTTTAATTCTTAAGCCAGAATTCAGAGTTCTTAAATTGGATTCAACCTGAGCCCTCACAGACCATTAGGACAATAAACCTCTGACAATTCAAAGAAAATCGAGGAAGACAAGTTGGGTATGCGTTATGCAGTGCATCACTCCAGTCTGTTCTACTGCATTGCTAGCTGAGGTAGAAATGAGAAATATCACAGTTCCCTGAATGTTGTCATACTCGAGAGAGGAGCCAGTATTTCTATAGTTTATTTACACAACATGTGGTTGGACATAGCTACCTATGTTGACATAAATAGAAAATGACTAAACTGTATTCTTCATGAAGGCCTTTCCAGCAAAGGACCTCAAGGAGGAAAACCAGCTATTCTGCACAAAACTTTAAAATGAGTTCTTTGGCCTCTTCCAATCCATGGACTTCTCCACTGGCCAAGACCTCAACACCAACAATTCCAGTTTCACGACTGGCAGATAGTTCCTGAAGCCCAAAGAATGATTCTACTTCCTGTGTTGGCTTTGCCCCTTTGGCATCTTGTTTACAAGCAAGTATTATCAAGGGGACTCCCTTGATGCTCTCCCTTGAAAGAACTGCCAACAGGGCATCTTTAGACTCTGCAAACTTTTCAGGAGCACTACTGTCAATGACATACACAAGGACACTGACATCAGAGAGGAAGTTTGGCCAGTAAGATTGAAACGTTCCACCAACTGGTAAACAAGAAAAATGAAAAGATTTGTTCATTATGCTTTTCTAACATTGGGCTTGTACTATCTAAAAAATGGTGTAGAACTTTAGGCTGGGTCATCTAATAGAGGAATTTATGAATCAACTCCATGTTCATGACATCTTACTTAAATTTGATGACCAAGCTTAAATCTCACCATGGTAATTAAGTGTTATCAACTGAGTTGAAAACGTAAATTGGCCAACATAAAGAGTTTCAAGGCTGACATTTTGAGCATAAGCCCTTCCTCAGAGTGATGAATAATGAAGGGCTAACATTTGAAACATCAGCCTTTAAACTCTTTACGGAGGCCAATTTATGTTTTCAACCCAGTTGTTAATACTAAATTACCCTGTTATACTCTCCCACCCATGAAGCACCACAGTTTCTTTAGAAACTTACCCCCTTTATTCATTAAATCTTACCATATTTCTTTTTCTGGTCACATACATCATGATTTCTACATTACAGTCTCAGCATTAAGTAGGACACTTGTCACAATTGAACCTGAGACACAGTCTTGCTTATCCATAAATTCTCTATAGCTCAGTGTTGGAAAAAGAGACAGAGCTTGGGGTAGGAGGAGGGAGGATTGTGTGATCTGTGGGTGAGGCATATTCCATCAAATGTTTTGAAATAAAATAAGCCTCATAAATAAGGTGATTAACCACTGTCTTACTTATCCCTTTCTTCTCCACAAGTTTTCCTTGATCATCAGTCTTGGTCATGCAGTCACAGAAACATGGCCATTTTCTCTCGCCTTTTTCCAAAAGGTGACTTGGCAGTTTTTGGTTGTCAAGGACAGAGATAGATATAGACGAGTTTACGAGTAAACTCGACAAGGAATTAGTGAAGATGGAACTAGAGGGAAAATCTCTTAAAAAGAGCCATTTACTAGTTACTGCTACTGTATTAAATGGAAGATGTTACTTCGTCTTGGAAAACCAGCTAATGTGTGAGAAAAAGTGCACCTAGATCGAGTTTACAAAGGTATAAACACAGTGTTCAGAGGCTTGTGTAAATCACCAATCTTCAAAGCTCTCCATTACAACTGACAATACAATACTAATATGGCGCGAAGTACGTAATTAACCCATGTTTGCATTGTGTTTCTCTCGTTATCTGCGATGAAAAAGCCTACTTACTTTCCCAAACATTTAGGCTAACGCCTCTGGTTGATACACAAACAATATGAAAACCTTGGGTTGGCTGGCTATCTTCGCGCTCAGATGTTACGGGGCTGTCGTGCTGAGCCAAAGCGGCCAGAAATGTGCTCTTTCCAGAGTTTTCCAGTCCCAGTACTAGAACCTTTTTCTCTGCTGCTTCCCCAGCTGTCTCACTATCGTCAGATTTCTTCTTTTCATCGATTGACTTATGATTGTTGTACAGTGTGTACACTCCGTAAGCGCTTGTCACCACTGCAACGCCACTAAGAATTCCAATGGATATTTTCCACGGAACACCAAGATCCTGAAACCAACTTGAAAGACCCATTTTGTACTCTCGTACTCGCGCTTGCTGGATCTCTCAAATCCCAATGAATCCACTTTCTCTACAGGTTGTTTGCATCAGCTATTAAAATTTATCTATAATCTATGTACACTTTCCCCAGATCATTCCTCTTTACATAGTAGAAGAACCTGGTAACCAGAAAAGAAATTATGAGCCCTCCATACTTTTCAGCGTTTCGTAGCTAAAAAGAAAACATGGCGGAAGGAAGGCAGCAAGAGGCAAGAATACATCTTATATCTTAAAAAACATGGGAACGATCTTTGGATCTCGTCCCTCAACATGTAAAACCTAAACATTTTTCGCTTACAGATTGATTACGGCGTGGGATATGGTTCTGAGTTTGATGAACAGGAAGCAGCGGAGAGGTAAAAAGTTGTACGACTGGCTGAGCTTGCTTGTGTATCTTCAAACCACTCTTTTTGTTAAAATATCCTTGTAATCGAAACTTTTCTCTGAAACAGGAGCAAAACCTGGAGAGACGATGAACTATCAGGGATCAAACGGAAGGCCAATACAACTGGCGGTTTACCATCTAAACGTGTAGTTTCCAGTGAATATAGCAGGCATGTCTCATTAGAAATATTTAAAAGAAACTGTCTTATACATATCGACTTTGTAATTTGATGAAATTAAATTGCTAATTCAGAATTTAAACATTTAAATTTCAGGCAAGAAGCTAAAGGCCAAAAATATGATTTCATTGCCTTGGATGCTGTATCTTTCATGTTATGATTATTATGCTGCTTCAGTGTACGCTAAATGTTCAAGATTGTCCACACAGGGTATTTACAGAAAATTAAAGGCAGACGGAAGACTTAAGTTCGCATCATTTATAATGTTGACTAGAAATCCTTCCGTGTGGTTGGGATCGTATAAAATTAAATCAAGTTCAATTTCTTTCTTTACTGGTACCGTATAAATTAACCTATCAGCACGGTCACTATACATGAAGAATTTCCTACATTTTATGTCAACAATTCCTTAACGTGTAACTTTAAAAATATGTAGTACTCAAAACACAAGAAAATGATCAATGATTACATCTTATACTATGGAAGAGGAATAGAACATTTCAAAAGGGACAGGTTTGTTACTGATTTTCTCTACCATTGAGTTGTGCTTTGGGATTGTTGTTTAACCCTTTAACTCTTACAGGTGACTGGCATCTAATTTCTCCTTACATTATTACTGTGATCACCACTAATGAAGCTCTAACTTGATTGTTAAACAAATTCTCCTCGCCAATTCTAAAGTAAATGTCTAGAGAAGGGTATTAAGAAAGTGCGGACTGGTGTCTGATGCCGAGGGTTTACAAACCAAGACTAAGAGTTGTATTGTATGGAACTTTGGAAATGTCTGCATCTATGGTGATAGAATATGGCCAAATACTTTCAAATAGGAGTTTATTATATTATGTTTTAATTGAAAGATATTATTGAAACAATTTTTCTGTTATGGTAAGAAAAGTAATGAATACATTATTTTCTGACCATCTATAATCTTCTTAATCTCATATTTAATTATCTGTTGTCATTTATTATCTGCTAAAATAGCTCCAGGGATAAAACAGACATGGATGTTATCAAGGAGGAGCATAGGTGTGTATACTTTACTACTAACAAATATTGTGTTATGAAGTGCATAGTTTGAGTATCACAGTCACTGATTAATAAAAAAAATGAATTGATGCAGACTAATAAACCCTTGTGACATGCATAGAATTTACCTCAATGTTTTAAACTGAATTTCCTTTTATTTACACACAAACACTAACAGAAGCACCAGAAAGAAAGTGAAAAATGATAAGTTATCATTTTTAACATTTACAGACAATATATTGTACACAGAGAGAGGTACTGTACAAAAGCCCCCACACTATCCTTAATTGAGATGCGGTATTTTCTCTCTTTGTGTTAGAGGCTTAAAACCCATGTATGCAATGATCTTACATTTTTCTATATCATTTCATTTTTTGAAATTTCTGTTCAAACAAAGAAGTTTCTAAGAGAATAATCAGTTCCCAATTAATCTAGAACTCATTAGAAATTTTTTCTAATCATTTCATTTGTCATGTTTGTAATGAGAACTCATTTATTTGGAATGAATTTTGTAGGTTTATTTGGAATGAAGAGGATGACCCAGAAGGTTCCTGGTATGTGTTATATTGATACAATCTGTCTATTGAGTGGTGTGACACTTGATTGTCATTTCTTTGATTTTCAAGTAATGATCTTGATTTCAATCTTCTTTTAGGGAAAAACATTTGGCTAAGAAGTATTATGACAAGCTTTTTAAAGAGTACTGTATTTCTGATCTTAGCAGATACAAAGAAAACAAGGTGACTGATAAAAAAGTGTTATTTACTGCAAAACCAATGAGGATCACATCAAGCTGTTTGATATGATTATCATTAGGCAAGAGTTTTTGACAATGTTACCATCCTAAATTGCAGGTGGCATTAAGGTGGAGAATTGAAAAAGAAGTCATTGAAGGAAAAGGTGTGAAAAGGTCACTTTTTATTAACTAAACAGTCATCAGCTAAATTTCTTACACAAGTATAGTGAACATGCTACACAATAAGGTACTTTATTTGACTGAGTGAAAGAGTAGAATGATTTTCTAAACCAATCACAGAGCAAAGTGAAGCAAAACCATTACAGTCCCAGATGACTTTGAGCACTTAATAGAAAGTTGCTCTTAGAGTCTGTTTGTCAAAACAAAATTTGGTCTGGGTAGGAAATTATGCCAAGTCCTAACCATCATTTGATTGGTAGGTAACTCAGTTTAAAGGATAGTAATGTCAACAGATTAAAACCAGCTAAATGTTTGTACCTATTAAGAGGATATAGTGATGATGTGCATCTTTGTCAAATAGGCCATGTTGTCAAACGTTTATGGTAAATAGGCCTACCAGTATCACTGGGCATTAATTCCACCAGTTTGGGAGTCTGGTCATGGGCATGTAAAATGTATGATGATCAAGACTATCCAGCCCAACAAAATCATGTAATTATTGTCATAAAAGCTGAATTGTAACAGTCTTTTTTTTTTTTTTTAAATGCTGTGAAGGTAATATGAAAAATTTATTAGTTGTTATTTTCTTCAAATTCATTTTTAGGGCAGTTCACCTGTGGAGACAAGAGATGTTCAGAATCTGAAGGACTTCGCAGCTGGGAGGCAAGTAGTACGTGCAAAATGCCTGATTATTGGATGGTATATCTTACTTTTTAAGCTCTTTTAGATCTCCAGATATCTACTTTACTGAACAGCATCTATACAATAATTGGTTTGCGAGTGCATGTGCTGTATGGCTGATGTCTGTTTTCTATTTTGTACCAAGGTTAATTTTGCTTATATGGAACATGGAGAAAAGAAAAATACTCTCATTAAACTCAGTATGTATAAACCTTATACTTAGATTTCTGAGTCTAACCTTTTTTAATTACCAATTCTTATTGACTGCTGAGGTCAATTATTCTGAAGTTCCAACATTAATTTATCGACTTTTACTTCACTCAGGACTCTGTCCAGATTGTTCCTATAAACTCAACTATCATCACAAGTAAGTCAATTAATCTGATACACTGAAGCTATTAACTAAAATAAAAACTTTTCCCAGAGACACTTCAATTCATAAGATACTAAGTTACTTATAGGACACACCCACACTCAGGCTAGAATTTCCCCCAAATTGAGGCTCTGCTGTATGCTCAAATTTTAGAATGTTAAACTGAACTTGGCTTAGTAGTTCAAACCCTTCCAAGGACAGAATCAAAAAAGACTTTATAGTTACTTTCATAAGGAAAAGAGGCAAGGTATTCCACTGGTAAAGAAACAGAATTGCAATTTCCAATTCCCCTTAGTTTACCAATAAATATTATCTTGCAAATTTTAAATAGATATATTATATGATGGTCAGAGAGACAAGCAAAGAAAGGAAAAGTAATCTTTTGGTGGCCATCCATTCTTTAGCTACTCTTGATCTTTTTGCTTTCTGTCACAATTAGTAATTAAAGCTGCTTACTAGAGTGATGTAGAATTTAAAAAAATTCAAATTGTAACTGTGTTTTGCAAAGGAAGAAACTTGCTAAGAAAAAGAAAAAAGAAGGGGATAGAGAGTCACAGAAATCACATTCAGGCAAGAAAAAGAAGAGGAATAGACATCACAGACACAAAGAGCTAGACTTGTCTGGTTCATCTGAAGACTCTGAAGATAACTGCGGTAAGTTTGGTATTATACTGAATGTAAATACTTGAGGTATTAGAAATTGGCTTGCAGTAATTGTAAATCAATCAAATTTCTCCTAAAAAAAATCAACACATCATCCGGCCAAAAGGCAATGAGAATAGACATCATAGACATACATCATGTCATCCTGATAAAACACAAAATTGTCCAAAAATTCATAGCAGGTTGTAGAGAGAATTACAGATTCTGAGATAATTTATTGGCATGAGTCAATAAAATGTTTCAAATATGACACAGTAACACCCAAGATCTCTCTTTCATAAGTAAAAATATAAGTATCATTGCTGAAGTAAGAATCTTACTGCACTAGGTACTACAGATGGTGGATCATCAAAAGATGTTGAAAACACCAACTCTACAAGTACTGGTGAAGATATCTGGAAAGGCCCAGCAAAGATTACTGTTGATAAAACAAGGTATGCACTCTTGAGAGTTGACTTTATTCTTAACATGTTTCAGAGTAATTAAAGGGTTTATTGACTACTTAATGGACAGGTATACAAGTCATGTGCCTATTGAGAGAGTGCAGAGGATAAATCAACTAAATATTATCTATCTTCCCACCAGGATATATGACATTCCTTACTTTTGTGAGGAAAGATAAATAATGAGGTTATTTGAACATGTAGCTGATGGGAAAAGATGTTTTTCCATCCTGTCACATGCATGGGACAAAGAAAAAATTCCAAGTCCTCATGAGGAATCAATCCTCAGACCTTCAGATTCTACGTCATATTTTGTAAATAGAAAAAGAAAGATGGTGAGTTTCTGAGTTCCCATGAGGAATCAAACGTATCTACAAAACATGATGCTAACGACATTGCTGATCCTAGCAGTATTCATCAAATTACAGGGTATCTACAAAACATGATCTGGGATCACAACACTATCGGGATCAGCAGTGTTTTTGTGGAATCATTGATCAAAATTGATCCTTTTTGGGATCAGGGATCAAAATTCCCAATGTTTTTGTGATCAGGGATTAAAATTCTCAACGTTTTTGTGATCAGGGATCAAAATTTGGGGCAAAAATACAGGATCAGTTAAGAAAAAAAAATACCTTGTTACGACCCTGATATTAACTTCATAGTGGGCTTTGCTCACCATAGAGTCTCTGTGGCTCTGTGGTAGAACAAAGTAGTGCAGAATCTAAAGATCTGAAGTTTGATTCCTCACAGAGACTCAGAAGTGATCATTTGCTTTGAATTACTATTGTTTTCCATACAGGGAGGAAGAATTTGAAGAGTACTTCCAAGATATGTTTCTGTGACACAAGTTACTGTTTTGACCTCACAAACACTCATGTGAGTCTGCTCACGATGACATTTGCCCCAGTGTTACAATGACATTTGCCTCAGTGTGATAGAGAGATGCAGTGATGATTAATTTTAATCAAGTAAAAGTTGTTCAGGAATTTTACTGTTATTGTCATTGAGAGACTCAATGATAATCAAAGGCCTATTATTACTCCATTAAATTTCACTCTTTTTCTTTTGGGACACCCCTGCACTTGAAATTCATGCTTCCCACTTTTCAGGATCACTTACATCACTAGATTTACTATGTTCATAAATGTCATAACCAGAATCAAAAGGAATGGGAATAGAGACAGGCAGTGCTTGCATGCGAGGAAATAAACTAGGTTTGCCTTTAACCACAGTGGAACAGTATCTTTCCCAGTCTACTGGACCATGGTTAGTAAACTCATGCCCTCCAACACCAATAAGAGGCCAATTGTCTGCTGAGCTGTAGTTAAAACAAAGCATACGGCGATAATGTCTAGACATGTTGGCAGAAGAACCATGGACTGTGAAGCCATGATGAAAGGACACCCCACCTGCAGGAACTTCAACATGGACTGCAGAGTTAGAGTCTAAGGCAGGGTCTGTTATAGCAGATATAAATGCATTGTCTTGGAAGTGTGAGTATAGGGGACCTTTATGTGAACCCGGGATAACTTGAAGGCATCCTGTTTAAATTAAAATCAGTGGTACAATTAAATTTTTTATCAGAAACATGCATTGATCAGAATTATTCCACACATAGTTTCTTATTATTTTCTTCCATGAATAGAATCTGTTGATCACAATACTTAAGTTTAATAGGTAGCTCTGTTTTGGAATAACCACATTTTCAACTTATTTTTATGGCAGTATATACCTCTGCCCTATTGAGAAAGAATGGCTCATCAGAGAGCTTACCATTCTCCTTGGTAGAGTCATCAATGGCTATGCAAACAGTGACCAGACTATCATTTGTATAGGGGAAAAATGCCCAATCCTGATGCCATCTGATAACTGAGGTACTACTTTCTGGTGGTTTCAAGTTGACTTTCTCTTGATTTATGTAACGCACTGATGGACCAATCTTAAACAGGGGAAAACAACAACTTTCTTAGAAATCACATAACTGGCATATACTAAACATAAATTGAAACAGAAGTGATTTCACACACAAAAAAAATAAATTATGATTTTTATAGTTAAATTGGTTAACCTTGCTATTTCAAACTTTGTTATTTGAAACCCTCTTGCTCGCTAGAACTCAAATTGATATCTTTCTTAAATGTCATATTTTTCATAGTTTATTTTGACCCCAGCTCAAATGCCTGCTCCTTTTAACTATCTTAAAGTGTTTCCTTTAGGAGTTTGAGTCAGTTGATCATTCACAAACAGGCAGATTAAAATTTTAAGGTCTGACTACACACAAACATAATGTTTGGTTGACCATTAACATTATTGACATATTATGCTCTTAAAGTTCACAAATTTATGTCAGATTAATGTGCAACTTTTCTGACAACTCTTTGACCAATTGGTTTAATGTTTCACTGTTCAGTGGAGAACAGTTTCCACATTACTACAGCTTGAGCAATTGTAATAAGTGATCAAATATTATGAAAATAATTTGTGTAAATTTTCATGAGGTTGACTCTGCCTTACCAGATTAGATGTAATTTCCACCAACTTAGCATCACAAATTGTGTCCAGGAAAATTTTGCTGTGATTTGAAATACAACGAAGCCTTAGTAGGATAGGCTTATTTTCAGTATGCTGTGGGTCCAGAACAAACAAATGATTTGTTTGTTTGAGTTTGCGAGAACTGGAGAAGATATAAAAAGAGGAAGTCAGAACATGTTTTCCTCTAAACAAATAATATACCTTGTTGATGTTGGCCTTTTTAGCCTTTTTAGTCTTACACTTTAGCAAAAGTCTACATTATATGCATACAGAAGATTAATAATTGGACCCACTATTTATGATAGTGGTCTTTTGGGTAGTTTGTCACTCTAAATTTAAATCATTACAACAATGGTTGCCCAGGAAACATTCATGTGCAAGGTACATTAATGCCTCTGGTCTTTTACAGAACATGCACTTCCTTGGAATAAAGAGACAAATTTTATTACTTGCCGTTCAATATATCCATCCAACTCTTTCCTCATTTGTTCAATATGGTCCTTGCTGAAGACATCTGGAACCACTAGATACCCAAGTCTTTCATACTAGCAATATTAGTAATTGATAATTAAACTCAATCAACAAACTTTCAGATCATTGATCCATTTATTTAGACAAATTTTAAAACACACTTAAAAGTGGCCTCTATGCCCAAGGGACTTTGTTTGGATATCACTGAATTAACCAAGACATTGCTTAAGTTAACATTCGAGATAGGATTTTAGAAAAAAACGTCTGGCTCTTAAAGGTCACAAACGCAGGTGAATGTCCTTCAGATACAACGTGCATGGTTCCAGGAATAAACACAAGGTGCGACGTTGGTTGCATTTATGAAGTTGTAAATATTAAAACCACGCCAATTTTGACCAATGTACCCAACTCGCCCAAAGTAACACTAGTCTTCCAATTGGTAACATCCAGGTTTCCCAACACCCGTTTCGCATATACAAATAAGTCGAATGGATGCACTCACTTGCTGTTTTTGATGTTTCGTAAGAACTTGCAAGTCCCTGTAACCCTCAGCTTCAATGGGGCTGTCTTCACTGGTGAAGAACCTTTGAGTGACTTCAAAACGGCAATTGATACCCGCTTGACAGCGCCTGTTCACCCAGAGGCGGCGACACACAACGCGAAACATTGTTATCTTTGTGCAGATAGTTCTTCACGCTTTAATTGCAGAAATACTAGAGAAGACTATTCATCAACTTTATCCCTATAGAGTAAATAAGGGTACTTAGGGTTTTATGAAAAACAACACGTAAGGAAAAGCGTTGTGTGACGGGCAGGAAAAGGGCTGTGACTAAAAGTGGGACGGGGACGTGGGACTCGGGACTTGGGACTCGGGACTCGGGGTCGTGGGACTCGGGGTCGTGGGACTCGGGGTCGTGGGACTCGGGACGTGGGACTCGGGGACACGCGGGGAATCGGGGAAGTGATAAACAAACAACACCTAACATTTGCGCTGAATTTGTAGAATATAATTTTCGGTGGTCTCATGAATGCTATTTTATGCTGGAGAGCTTGTTAGTAGTAGCCGATGGTTTTCAGCGTCCATGGTTCGGCCGAACATTTTTGCTTGCTTATTTGACCGTGAGAACTCTGGGTACAGAATAGTTTCAACGCAGGGGGTCTTGAAACATCCATGCCTTATCCTTGCTAAAAAAGAATAAGGAAGAAAACACAGTTACTTAACAGGAAAGTCCTCCATGGCTGCTCACGATGTTTAAAACCCCGTGCGTTGAAACTATTCTGTACTCAGAGTTCTTACGGTCAAACAGACAAGAAAACATATCCGGCCGAATCATGGACGCTGGAAATCATCGGCTACTACTGACAAGCTCGGGTGACGTTATTGCGGAGGCGTTCGTCGAGGGTCGAACACACAAGTTTATAGTTCAGCGATTAAATTCAAAATAGGTTATGTTGGCTTCAGCACTTGTTCCCACGAAAAGTTCAAACCTGAGATGTACAAGATCGTCCTGAACAAATGAGCCTTGAGGTCCTGCAACAGTTTCTTGATTTTGTTATCAATGCGCCAATAAGCCTAACAACGTTTGAACGTTTTAATTTTAGACGGTAACTTCAATGTCTCTTAAAAAATTTGTAAATTATGAACGAAAAGATTCTCCTTGCAGCGTGGATGAGTCCGTTGAGAGAAGTTCAATGTTTTTTACTTACGTAATACGAAAAAATTTGTCAACACTGAAACGTCAAATGATTCGTGAAATAACGAACGGGAATTTCAGGAATTGTATACATCCTCCAACTCATCTCTTTCCATCGAAATAACCCACGTTTATGCGGAATTCTGTCTTATTCAAAATTGCCTTCAGTTTTTAGATGTCATCCTCTCACGGGCTAAATGGATGTAAATGACCTTCCCGATTTTGTTTCCTCAATATGCGAAAAGTTCGATGGATTCCTCCATTAAAATACCTAAAAAAATTAAAACAGTTTAATTGGCTAGACGTCATTTTTGGTTACTTTAGACATCAGTCAGTTATTTTAGGCACAGGCGTCCCAAGCTCACGTCTTGAGAAAAAGCAAACGATTAATTTATGACTCGGTGTTAGGGTTAGGAGAAGATCCCGTTAAGAATTTGAACACGTTATAGGGAAAATATAGGGAACGAAATACGGTCGATTTACGACGATAAAATATTTCGAAATAAGAACATTTTACTCGTAAAATCAAATAGGACTAACTTACATCTTGTGTGTCCGTTGTGGTCTCCGGTGAGCTTGGGGACGCCTGTGTTTTAGGGTTTGTTTTTTTTTCATTTTAGGTCATTGCGCATATTACTCAGGGTCATTTTAGATCATTTTAGAAGTCACTTACGTTCATTTTAGGTCATTCCTTGTTTTAGTAACTACGATATATTTCAACTTTACGAACGTTTCTCCTCTTATTTGTCATCACAATATTTCACCAAAATTCCAAAGTGATCGTAAAAAAAACAAAACAAAACAAAAATTAAGAAAACACGCATGACGCTCGAGGTAACCTCTCTCCATCTTGATGTAAATACTTACTCAGCACTATAATTAAAACTCTATGGTCTCACCCTACCTTTGATTTTCCGAGATAAAAGTCCGATTACGACGCTCAACGACCTTTCTGAAAAAGTTAGGAAAGAAATAGACAGCCAGTTGCGACGGCACGTCGTGCAAGAGCATTTTTGGCGCGAAACCTCTGGAAGTAATACGATGCATCGCTATTTAACCAATCAGATTTGAGTATTTCAGTATAGCTAAGAAAAAAAGGGATGAAGGATTGAAACAAGGATCTACTCTCCAAAGAACAAACTTGTTTCAAACAAAACTCAATCAGACAACGGTAATTAGTTCTTAATATATTTACTTTTTCTTTATTTCCTAACCCTCAAAAAGTCTCCGAGAGACTCGAGGCCTGATTTCTTCCATTTGCTGCCGTTCACTGCAAACGGGTCAATTCCAAGAATACGAGCATCTCGTGTTCCTGGAAACGAAGCAGCGGAGACCTTCCCGTTATCGTTAAAAAATTTTACATCTTATCATATAACGCTGTTCTCGTTTAATTTAAGCTTTTTTTTAAGACAATTTTTGTTTTAGTTGCTTTCGTTGTTGTTGTTGTTGTCATCTTCCTCTCTTGAAAAGTCAATATTATTCGTGAAGGTAACAGAAATAATGTTCAGTAGTTTCTTAATTGATATATCACGCTCTCCTATAAGCGAAGTGAATTGGACAAGGTTTCTAACGCGGCCTTGCTAACTGCTCTTGTCCGCAAATGGTGGGGTGTCCGTAATAGCGAGGTGCCCGCAGGGCGAGAGTCGGAGACTGTACTGCAATCTCAAAAACAGCACAAAAGAAAATGTGCGGCAACATGTGGCAAGAATTTCAAAGTAGGCCTTGAGACTCACAGCACTTTTCGCTAAGTTGCGGTAAGTCGGTTGTACCCTGGCTGTCACAGCTGATCAAGGCGAAACCACTCATTTCTCCACCTCCGACTACTAAATATAACATTATTCTGTCTAAGATTTTACAATTTATGTACACATTTTCGTTTCTAACTGACAAATACAGTGTGAAGTGTTCTGAATTCCTGTGGTTTCAAGGTGACGCAATATTTGTTGGATTTGGTGCTCGATGGCACAGGTATGGTGACTCTTCCCAGCTGAGGAGCCTGAGATTTCTCTTGTAGAACCTGTATTACAGGGGAAAGGAAAAAAAAAAAAAAGGAAATTAAAAACACATACAGTAAATAGAAAAATAACCTGCCATCGCCCAAATGATCGCATCAGCTTACGCGAGAGCGAACGAAAGCGCGAGAACAGGCCCAGACGCACCAAAGAATGATCAAACCAAACAAAAATCAAACCAAGCAAAAATCGAAAGTAATTACATCGATGAACCGACCGACCGACCGAACGAACACAGTCAAGATCGAAGTCAGAAGAAAGATCAAGCCGAAGCAACGAAAGAACGAGCAAATAAAATTGCTCGATGAAGAGGTCTGTGATCATGCATGGTTACGAAAGAGAAAGAAATCCAGGTAAAAAACTGACAATACCTTGGAAAAAGTCGGAGATAAGAAAGATGAAAAAGAACTTTGACATGTTCCTCCAGGATATTCTGCTGCAATTAACTTCTGAATTTTCCCTTGGAGCTGAAAAGAAAAGAAATTTTTTTACAAAACTAACAAAACCCCTTCATCATTAACGAATTTAAAATGCTTTTATTCTAAAACGTCAATTACGGACAGAATAAGAAAAAGACTGCACTCACCTCTTCTTTTTGTCGATTGAGATCGCGCAAAATAGCTGTTCGCTCTACCAAATGGTTAGCTGGAGTCATTTTGCTTAGTGCAGGAACTGACCCTATTTGTGAGGAAAACAAGTTCAGTTACTGAGACAAATAGCTAAGTAAACTTATCAACCATACTTCTAAGGTTCAGAATAATGTTTTCCGCCAACTTTGCTACCAATATACAACCTTGCTGAGCCATGAGGTCTCGTACTCAGCCTTAAATTGAGACAGTTAGTGCAACAGATGATAAACGAGTGGTAATCCATAGATAAAGTGCATTGCTACAAGAGAAAAATCGTATTTCCTCGTACAAGTGTAACTTTCTAATCATTTCAAATCCTTCTAAAGAAATACTTTCCTGATGTTTCCGGTTATTAGAATTTATGACTAAAATTTAATTTCCATCTTCCTTTAATATTACTAACAATAAGGTATACTGCAACTCCGCCAGTTCAAAGATAAAAAAACGTTTCAGGTACCTGATTTCCTGTGAGAAATGTCAACCACTTTTGGAAAGGCACTCATCTTTTGCAAGTTCTTGCAGTGAGAGAAACGAAAATCATATAAATAACTAGAAATACAGGCCTGATCGATGCAGCAGACAATTTCTCTTAGCTTGCCTTGTTTTAGTTGTTATTTCTTAACCCTTTAACTCCCAGACGTGATTAAAATGTAACTTCTCCCTATGACGTCCATACATTATCGAGCTACCAGGTTATGAGAAAACTCAAACTTATCAGGTAGAAATTTGTTATCTTGATCTAACACCAAATTCTCGCAACTAATTTGCTAGAAAATGTGCGGCAGCTGTAGGGGAGAATCAACGATCAGATTTTGGGAGTTTAAATATTAAACTGTTACCATTGCCACTATTGTTGTTACCCTGTTGAGTTAGCGAAGAAATCAGTTTGAAGATGGACGAGGAAGCCAGGGAAATGCAAATACGCCACAATGTAGATACACTATAAATGCGTGTAAGACGAAGTGTGAGATCACAATGGCTGGATGTTGGCGTTTATGGCCGCTTTTCAAAGGGAAGGGAATATTGATTGAAGAAAAATGAGGACGCGCACAATGTGCTTGGTAATTAAAGTTTGCATCATATGACCAACCGCGAGCGGGCAAGATATGCTCGACCAATCAGTTTACAGGATTCGTTTCATCTCTTCTACTCAAGGAGCCAGCCAAATGATAATTCGCGGTTCAAAGTTCGTCTTTAATTCAATAATGCCTGCCCGTTAAAGCGAGCTCGTTGTCGCGTGGATTCTGTTCATACCTCGAGTAATTTGTTAGTTTCCCTTGTAACAGTGTTAAGGCTTGGTACTAATTCCTTCTCCTTTTGTTCTTTATCCGCTGTCTCGTCAGTCTGTTGCTCCAAAGGCTCAGTGCGAGGCTGAATTCTCGGTGGTATGTATATTTTTGGCAACACATCTAATTGCTCCTAAAGAAAAAAATGTCACCATTCGAGCGAAACAGAGGGCTGGGTATACTTATAATAGTAAGAAGAGAGAGTTGAATGCACTGGCCACCATACCTTCATATGCTGACTCTTAAGACGGATATTTTCGTTTCTTAGATGCTTCAAGGCAATTTTAAGTGAGTCAACCTGAATGGAAAAAAAATTAAACCAATCAACACAAAAGAGACCAACTACAGCGTCTAACAGGACGCACACAAAATATTTCAAGCCAAAGCAGGTTACGTAAGTTACAAAGTTTATAAGAGGCTAGAAAGAAAAAATCAAAAGCTGATAAGAAAAAGGTGCCCGACACAATTACATCCTTAGGGCAATACTTTATTTTGCATTGCGCACCGTTACTTCACCTAAGTTCACACTTATCAGCCGGCGAATATTTTGAGTCACGCGAATGACCCAATGCACAGATAGGTGACACTCATAGCAAACAAGACGAAATCAATTTGCGCATTGCGCTAGCTCTTTCTGACTTCTTGCTTAACACAGTCCTCTATGCAACTCTCAGAGTAACAACAATGTAACTAAACTTTCAATCGCTCCTGACGGTTGTAGTACCGTCCGTTGCGACTTACAAGAACTGTCATGTTCTGTGGCAAATGGTTTACCTGAGCAAGTATTATAGGTGAATCCTTTATTACCACTTGTACCGGCTGTTGACCCGCCCCTGGGCTACCCCGTAAAGGAGAGCCTCCGCCGCCCTTAGCAGCAGCCGCACCTGATAGAAAAGGAACAAAGAATAACAAACAATTAGAAGATGGAAACGCAGCATTCCATAAATAAAACAGCAAAAAACTGCGGGCATTATAATTGCATGGCGGCCAGTAGAGTCACGGCCCCCACGATAATCCTTCAAAGGGCTTTACAATGTAAACTCAGTTGATATTGCAATACCACCCAACGACGCAGTGCCACAATTTCTTTAGAAACTTATCCCCATTAAAAATAACTTCTGCCAAGCTTTTCTCGTCTCTGTACGCCATCACTGTTTACTTAAGTCGAAGAGCAATGTCTTTAACTAGGGTAAGCAGCAACTTACAACTTATTCTTGAGAGAAAAAATTGAAAGTTTTTACCATAAATTTTTTATGATTTAATTCACTTCGAATAGCCCGCACTCGCAGTTACTGTTTTAACTCTCATTGGCTGGGCAAGTGACAAGAGTTCTCCAGACCAATCATGAAGTGAACTAAATCAAACTAATTACATTACTTTTGACCCTTAAACGAAAATTGCTCTTGAAAAAAACAACTCTCTCTCTAACTTCTCACTTTCTTTCGATCTCTTTTTAAACCACAGACAGGTAAAAAAAAAAAAAAAAAAAGACAAGAAGAGTTTTCCAGGCATCTTTTAAAGTTGTAAGGATATCATGTCAGCATGAATCTCCGTACCTGCTACAACAGCCGCGATGCTAGATGATGATGTGGCATGGCGCGCAAGATCGGCCAGAAGGGACTTCTTTGAGTAAGCATCTAAACGTTTTTTCATGTCGCCCTTCTCCTTCTCCAAGGTTTCAATGTCGTTCTGGAGAGCATCCATAGTTTCTTCGAATTCCCTACGAAAATAATAAAAAAACAAAATATTGGTTACGCATAGACGATTTACTGACACCACTTCAGCCGTTATGCTAGTGCACGACTACCAGAGTACAGTGTATATTTCAATAGGCTATTTCTCGAGTCACAAAAACCCTCACTTTCCAAGTGAAGCCAAGCGCAAAAGCTTTATTTTGAGAATGAGTTTTATTTGTGTATATGAATGATTTTCCTATTGGCAAAGGCATCGAAAATGTCGACAATGGTTTGTTCTTGACATAAACATAAAGTTGGTGGAAAATTACCACAAATAATTTCTCCAAGTAGCAATGCAGTCCAAGGTAGCTGAAAAGATGACGTAGCAGAATTAAAGCTCCCCTCTCGAACCCCTCCCATCCTATGAAATTGTCACATTTAGAAAACAACGACGTGAACGTTAGAGCTGATGTAGTCAGACATACACATCTAAGGGGAATTGTTAGCAGCCTTTAGGACTTACTTTTCCTTTCTTGCAAAGTCCTCCGTAGATTGCTCCATTTTTCGATTTGCAGCTTCGACTCGTGCATCAGCCTAAACATGTAATAAAACAAAAGTTGGCTTGCGTTTTTTTCCTGTTATTACGGTCAACTCGAAAGAAGGCCACCTATGTTTAAGAAACCTTGTATTAGTATTGTACCACACAGATGAATAGTGCTCTCCGCGCACGCCGATTGGCTTGTTCGGAAGTGATAAGCAAGTACTATTCACCTTCGAGCAGCCAAAAAGACAAAATCGCGCATCAAGAATCAACTATAGTTTCCGTCCATTTTTCGGTATATTGACAGAAATTAATTAATATTTATTTCTGTGTGGTGTATACTAAAACAATTATTCACCCAGCGTCTAAAAACGTGGTGGATATTTACCTCTACTTCGATGACTATGTGTTAACTATTCGATTGATACTCTTTCTGTCGATGAAAATAGTCTTACACTGGCCAGCATTGCTACTAAGTCAATAAAAAAATCAAAGCTTCATCGTAATTTGAAACCAAAATGATTACACAACCCGTGACAAAGGTTTATTGTGGTTAGCCTGTAAAACGGTGACTTTATTTCCCAGGAGAGACATGACTGCAAACTGCCTATCAGAATCAGAAAAAGAGTATTCAGGGGAAAAGGACCACTCTCACCTCTTTGTTGATGTTTTCAAGACGTTTCTCCAATAATCCAATCCTAATATTAGCCTGACTCAGTTCCTCGTTCTGACCAAAGGGATGAAGAACAGTGAAATTATAGGACCCTTGACTAACATGTTCATAGTACTCACTCATCGCTGTATACCTTAGTATACAAGGTGCTAATTCAGAAGATTACTGTCGCTTGGAATCGAACCAAGCCACCCCCTGTATAAATGCCTTCATTTAACTTACTTAATTTAAAATCTCGTTAACCAAAATAAAAACTCTTCAAGAGATTACATTCTCTTTGTACTCTTCCACCATATTTTTTCTCTGATTAACAAAGAAGGAAGTTCCAATAGGAAGATGATCTCTATGCAACTGTACCTTCAGTTTCATATTTTTCTTAAGGTCCATGAACTCGTTTTCCTTCTGAAGGAGTTTCTCTTCCACGCCGGCCGAATCAAACAATTCTGACTTGAAAGTCTTTGCGCGCTGAAGATAGGGAGGATCCGCCTAAACCACAAACAAAAGAGCTGTGTGTTATGTCACAGTACTAGACAGCGGAACCTCTATTGAACAGACAACCTAGAAACTGGGAAATCTGTCCCACGAATTGAAACGGTCTGCGCAAGCTCATCATTTTATGCCAAAAAGCGCGGCACTCTAACAATCCCAACGCCTGCTATGCAAATTCAGACGCTGTAAGTCCAACAAATACACAGTTGAGCCCTAAGGTTTACCATAATATACAAAACGAGAGTGCGGATGACTTTGCGTGCCTAGGGTAAGTTGCGAACGCTAACCCATTCGGTCCAACTATCCGCACTTCTGCGACACATTATCATTATTTAAGCCCTAAGAATTTAGTGTTGAATCGAACTGTAACCTCTGGTTGATATTCATCTTTTCCCTCCTTATATTTCTAGAAATTTAAAAGAAAAGTAACTTTTGGGTCACTCCTGAAAGCGAAGAACTTAAGAACTGGCTGAAGATAGAACTAACAAAGAAGACTGCCAAGATCACAATATAAGGTTTGACCCTAGAACTATGATATGCGAGAGAGAAAGTCGCCATATAAAATGCTTCCGTTCCTCCGTTCTTCTTTGAATCTGAGTAAAAAAGGTGAAGGCTTAACCCAACCTACACTCAGGCACATGTGAAGATGCCGCTAACAAAATCCGAGAACAGTTTGCTTCACACATAACACACCTTGGACTCTTCTTTAGGTTCAGCATCATAATCGCCTTCTTGTATTTTGGTCACAAATGAGTATAGGAAAGAAATGACTTCATGGAAAGTTTGACTGAAAGAAAAACAAGAAACAAGAAAAACGCAATTGCCTCGGATGAGCAATAAGAACACATTACTCTTAGACAGCTTCACAGTTGGGATTAAGGTGATGTTAGAAGGACTATCAAACCTTAAAATATAAAATGATTCACTTTGTGTTCGACTCTGAAAACGTGTATTTGACTGACCTGACTATATCTTTACACGGAACTTCATCCGTCTCAAACACCAGCACGGCCACATCACTGGCCAACTCGTCAAGTTGACCACTCAGTAAGTTTTCATTGTCTACAAGGGTAAAAACAAAAAAAATACTAAAAAATCAGTGAATGAAACTCCAATCGACACTACATCGCTTCGAATGCTCCCCTCTTGCTACCACAAGATGGTTGCATTCAAATACAACATAAAAACCCTTCCTTCACTAAGCGCATTACGATCCAGATTCGTAAAACTGTCACAAAAGAAGTCACAACAGCGAATCAGATAAGAGGAAAATACCACAAGGGGCCCATGAGAATTCAAAGTAAATAAAGCGAACCCAAAGCAATCAAAGACTTCTTTCGACACTCGATTAAAAGTTGATGGATAGTGTGACCCCGAGGTACAGTGTTGGAAAAACCTGCGCTCCATGCGATCATATTCAGTACTTACCTCTTGATGAACGGTCTTAATTGATATCATTCCTCTTTGTGTCTTAAAGAAGTATCCATCTTAATTCTTTTTTAGTATCAAAAACGACCAAAGAGTTCGAAAGACTCCACTGTACATTTTCGAAAGGGGTTCACTCAATAGACGTTGAAATCAAAAGAACGTTGATTGGGTGCACAATTTGCATTGTTCCAGAATCCTCATTCGAACTGATTGCAGTTAATCACGAACTTCCATGAAAGGTATTTATCACTGAGGTTATCAGAACTTACCACCTAGACTAGAGGCTTTCTGTGTAACTGCTGCAGTAAGTTCCTGGCAGAATTTCAGCTCCAAATTCTGTTGCCTGGCGCATTCAATCAGCGACTCTTGAATCTTAAGAGAAATGAAATGTTTACTACGTAACTCTGACGAATACCATTGCTGTTCAATAGCTAAAATTTTCTCCTTGGTGTACTGAAAAAAATTCACTTAGAGCAAGCCGTTGGGACTTGGTAAAGAGTGATCAGGAACGCTCAATAGAGGTGAAAATTATAGTAATGGTGGGGGGGGGGTAAAAATTTCGGGACTTTGAAACCCGAGTGCTTAATACAGGGTGACCGCTTAATATAGCCGCCTAATACGGGTTTGACTGTAATAACATGCATTTCACATAAGTACTACTGAGGGTAGTCAGAGGCAGCCGGCCACACACCTTATCAGAATACGACAGGGTACTTTTCTGATCTTCTGGCATTCTTCTTTTGATCTGGAATAAAAAAAAAACAAACAAACAAACAAAAAAACTTGGTTTAGACGCCAGTGACTTGTAGCTAGTAGCTATGGGAGACGAGCCATTGAGTATTGGCAAACAGAAACGTGTTTATGATATACAAAATAATCCACCTAGGAACACTATCATTACTTTAAACCAAATTCTGAGAACTAACATAAAAGAAAATGACCAAAGTGAGTAGGAATAATGAGCAGTCGGATTTAAGGTGAACTCTTGCTTCAGCCAAAACACCAACGTAGGAGAATAGCCATCTCCACTTGATGTTTAAGGATATTTTTGGATTATTCCCTACTATTGGAATCTCATACTCTGTATGAAACAAGAGACGATTCTTTTTTAACCTTTCTGCAAAGCTGCTGAATTTCCACGTTTCTGAGTTCCATTTCTTGAACAAGTTCACCAAAGGCACTTCCTTCATCACAATCCTACCAAAATAACGAAAAAGCAATAATAATTCACGAAATTGAGAGGACTTGAAAGACAAAGACTTCACTCCTGTTGCTCTAGTTCAACAAGAAAAGACGAGAGAAGGTGAGCAAAAGGCAGACAAGAGGGAGAGCCAGAAAAGTAAAGGAGGGGAGGGGGTAGCTTCCAAAAAGCAACTTCTCTGCCTTTTTTATGCAGCTACTCATTGTCTGACGACTATCACATACCTTACTATACTGCTTCAGTCTCTCAATCTCTATGGTAGCACCTTCTGTTCCAGCAGTGAAGATCTTCAATTCGTCGGACAAGAACTCAGAATGTGACACAGGGTTACCAGCCAAGTGGAACCGAACCATAGTCTGAAAACAAAGATAATTCCCTCAAACAGTACACTCGTGTTGAACATTTTCATGAACACTTCATTCCGATTACACAAAACAAAATGTCCCATTACTCACAGTGTAGTAATGAATTGCCTTCTCCAAGGGTTCCATGGAAACTGTATCATCTAACTAAAGCAAGTAGATAGCAAAATTAATTTAGATACATATACATATTTCCTTAAAATGAAAGAAAGAAACCATCAGCATTAACATTGCAAAAACTTAGAGTTTAAAATGTACCTGGTCTTTCTTAAAAAAGTCAATAAGTCCATCTACAGCCCTCTCGTGTGCTGCTAGTTCAGGGTATATACCAACTAGTTTGTTGAACAAACCAGCATCACACTGATCAAGAGCTCTGCAAGCAAATGCACATGAACAGATTACATTTCATAACAACGTTAACTGATGTGCAGTGACTTGTGGCGAAAATGTCAGTTTTCCAAAAGACTAGAGCTGAATTTTTCCCCTCAAGTGATATCATCATTATAGTTACCTTTCAATATTCTTTACAACTGCTTGGAGAACTGCCAACCGGTAAATGAGTCCAGAAGCAAAACTTAGTCCTTCACCAGTTTCACCTTGAATCTTGGCAGGATCCTCGAGACATTCTGTGATCTCATACTATATTTATAAAAAATAATTTTTAGTATTAAGAGGTTACCTGCAAGACTTGCACTGGTGTCAGCCTCATTCAATTTTATGTAAATTTCTCTATAATTGTTAATTGCTTAAGGACAAACAAGGCTGTGGATATACTATGTGCTTTCACAGTTTGACTTTATGGAGCCTCCAAGCAGGTGGCACTGTGGCATGAGCGTTTCTTTGTCCACAAGATAGTTTGAGACCTTGGGAAAACCAAACGGGTAAAAGGTCCTACAAGAGGTCTGACAGTACACACTAGACCTTCAGCACTAAAATCTCAGCAGTAAGACTTATAGTTTAGACTTATCATCACCCTTTCAAATCTGACCATTTTCAGACATAGAGTAACCCTAAATGCCCAGAATACACGTTTTAAATAGTGACCAATGTATTTCTACACTGCGTTAAATTACAGACTGGATGCATAAATACAGCTGCCCCCTTGATACTGGTTTTGTGTCTGTGTCCACTAAATAGGGTGTCTACTGAGAACAAGTTCCTTTTACAGCAGATATAGGAGCAACAAGTTTGCTAGATGGGCTACTCTCCTGTAGCTACAGGATGAGTACCTTACATTGGGTCAGCAAGAAATAGGTTTCACTGTAAATTTGATCCAACTTGAATACTCATGAATTGATTCACATAAAAGATATCTTCAGTCAAAGATTAAGATTCTCAGGTCTTTAACATGACATCATTCAGTATTTATCATAAAATTAAAATTTGGATAAATTAAACAAATTTTGCAATTCAAATTATTGCCTGACTTGCCTTTTGTCTTAATTGAGACTGCAACAATTCAGTCTTAAAACTGACACGTGGAATAAGTAGCAGCAATAAGACACTCTCATTGTCACCTGCAACAGAATATAATGTGTTAACACATTTTAAAATGTGCCTTCTGAAGGTTAAGCCTTCAATAACACTTGAAACCTCCTCATCTTTAATAAATGAAAATAAAAACCAATGCCCACTTGAAAGACCTAAATGTAGCACCAAGACTGATGTGTAAGAGAAAAGGAAAAGCATAACAATTTCTTAAAGAAACTGTACCACATCAATGTAAAACATCAAGTTCCTTATAAACCAAAAGTTGTTCAGAAAAAAGTTCACCACAGAAACTAGCTTTCAAAAGTTGGAATGAAAGCCTGTTATGGGAGCAATTAGGAATGGAGTACCAGTTAATGGCACATTCATGAGCAAATAGCAGTGAGGGTCCCTTGCATTCTGGTAATTTGATGCTGACATCGAAGGGCTTCAAATAATGGTCATTTGAGAGAATAACTCTCTGAAAAAACCTGTTGGCTGACAATCAAGTGATGATTGACTGACGGTTGGCCAACAGTAAGTCAGCTATCAGCCAACAGTTGGTCAAAAGTCAGTAGAAGTGAGTTGTTCTTCACAGTAACCCAAGTAACAGCAGTCTAAATTAAAGTTCTTGCTGCAGTATGATTCACTACCCAGAACTCATATGAAGTATGTAAACAAATCCAAGTTAGGATTAATTGGTGACAGCATTGCACTACTAAAGAAAGGTGAGATGTTTATATACTGTACCATTCAAGAATAATTTCATACAGGAATTACATGTAGTATCCATGATATAAACTGTGATTAACATCCTTCCTTTAAATCCTTATGGCACAGTTCAAATAAATTTGCTCTGATTTCTCGCACTTACTAATTTAGTATTTTAAAAATAAAATTATTAGAAAATTAAATCTCACCCCCTCTCCTTACAAATGACTCAGGCAGAAATGAATGGAGCATTTTTATTTTTTCATTTGCTTGCTGCAGATCAAACTTTCTTAATTCATTCTCTAGAGTCTGTGAAAAAAATATATACATTTAAGATTAACAGTGCAAGTTTAGTATAGTTTATACAGTCAAACCTGTATTATGCATTCATCCTGTATTAAGTGATCAGTTGTCAAAGTCCTGCACATTTTTCCCCTTAGCTACTATTACAGTGACTTTCCCCTCTTTAAGCGGTCATAGTATCACTTTCCTGAGTCCCAACAGCCTGTTTCTATGGTCTTCAATCTGCATTGAACATTTGTTTGAAGTGTGACCACTCAAATATAACTACGAGTAATCTTTCAAGTAAAAGTAAATCCAGGTTTACTTCTCAAAATCTATGTCAGTAGTATTTTTAGCTACTTTTTTGTAAGAGGTCAATTATGGGATAAATGGTGTTTTCTTTAACACCTCTTTCCTGTGGAATCTGTATTGAGCAGTCAACCTGAATTAAGTGGTCACACTGCCATTCCCTGTGGGTAACTGCTTAACAAAGGTTCAATTGTACATACATGTATGTATACCAGTCAATCACTGGTAATAAATATCTTCAACACAGTTTCAAAATCAAAAGGAGAACCATCTTCCTACTCCTCACATAAAACTTCCAGAATACCAGACACACAAAGTTAAATAAAGTTTTTACTTTTGAGTCTTATAAACAGTCTTATAAGCATAGTTTCACAAGCAGTTTACACAGGTACCTTGGTATAGGTCTTCAGCTCAGCAGCTTTAACTTTAAAGTCCATCATTTCAGGTGAAGGAATGTCAATGACTTTTTGTTTCTCCGAGTCCTCTTGCTGAACTTGCATTGCTCGGTTATTTTCCTAATGACAACAAAAAAATTACAACCAATTCAGAATTTTTTTTTTTTAAATCCTGTGGAGCTTTATCACAGCAATCAATGAAAACTTTCTTTTCACTCCTTGTTTCACACCATTACATTTCAATTATTCGACTTTCAAAATAAAAATCCACACCTGCAATTTGGCCACCAGATCTCTGAACTTCACAATTGTTTGCTGATGATCTCCAATACTTTCCTGAGCTGCCTCTAGTTTACGCTCCATCTAAGAAAAATGTAATAATTAATATAAAATCTTGCTAATTTACATCTCTAAAAGGAACAGTTTAAAGTCCATGACTTCTTCCCATCAAGTGACTTTGTGAATATCTAACTGTAGCAGGAGGATATTGAAGTGTAAACAACTTTTAAAGTGTGGAGGTGAGCATAAGGATGACTTTACCTCACGAACTTTGTTGTTGTTCATTTCCAGTTCTTCTCTTAGGTCATGTTCAGTTTGAAGGTGATTTTCCTCAAGTTCCTCATTCAAATCCCTGAGAGCTTCCTACAATTGGATTGCATAATTTCAGATTAACTTAATTTTGATACAAAAACTAACCAAGCTCACTCAATCTGCTTTCATTTGAAGTTGTCTTCAGAGCCATAATGATTGTTTACTAGATTTATAACTCAGTAAGCTTTCATGCCGTTAAAATAAGATAAACCTCTTAAGTACAATGATTGTACTCATGGTTACAGTTCACTTACCAAGTCAGCCACATTCTCCCTCAGGGTGACAATTTCTTCTTCCAGGCTCAAATTCTTATCAGTGAGGGTTTCCACCATTTCCTCTGCTCCCAATGCAGTATCAACCTTTAATAGATAATAGAGGGAAACCATCAATCTTTAAAACAAGCAAACTAAAGTCAAACTACCTCATTAGCACAGATTACAACCTACTGAAAAACAGTGCGTACCTAAAACACCTCTGCAATTATTTTCAAAAGCCTAAGCCTGAAATGGATTTATCGGTGTGTACCCTGAGACCAGGGTACATGTGCAACTCTTGGGAAATCAGATAAAGGAAAATTTCCCATGAGTTTTATCCATGGTTCTTTACTTGAGGCAGACACTAAAGGAAGCTACTGTTTGTCATCCATGGCATCCATGGACTTCAAGAAAAATGCTATGATTTCTCTTCCTTTCTTTATCTGTTTTTTTTGTTTGTCTTGTTTTGTTTTTCAAACTGTTCAACAGGTAACTAGGCTACCTAGTGGCCTGTACAGAGCAAATAGGGAAGTTGCAATGAAAGGAAGATGAGAATAGCCAAGTACTTCTTACAAATACAAACAACTTATGAAATTGTATGGTAATTTTTATTTTTGATTAAAAATTGCACTTCAAAAGCTGTCAGTCCTAGAAAAGCCACCAACAATACTATCAAAAATAGAAAAAAAAAAGGAACTGCTAAAAATACAAAGGAGACAACAGACACACACCTGTTCTTTGAGTTCAGCCAAAGCTGTTTCAGCTTCCTGGAATTTTAAAGAAGTACCCCTTTTAAAATGCATCACCTCACCATTTTAAAGAATAACCTATCAATGGCAACTTCTAATTTTTGTGCTTTGTTAACCACTAACATAACTCAGAAATGGAACCTTAACAGCCCTCCCACATAATTTGTCTTTCAACTCATTCAGAAGCTATATAATTGAAAGGAATCTGTAGGGTAATGTAAGTGCTTACATCCAGTTTGTGTGTACTGACATGAACACATGTCATGTTCATGAACAACTCAATCACCACTTTCCAAGCTGAACAAACCTGTAAAGCTTCAGAGAGCTTTTCCCTTTCATTCTGAAGTGTTGTGTTTCCACTCTGCAGATCTTTGATTTGTTTCTGCAAGGACTGCATCTCTGCTTTATCACTTGCTTGGACCTCTTTGAGTCTAAGGTTATACAAGCCAAACAATCATAGTAAAGATGTGTATCAGTAGTCAATGGGCAGTAAAGGCAGCATGCATAATGGCATATTTAGCTTAAAAACACCTTTTTCACTATATTTAACAGATTTCAAAGCAAATTTCCCTTATCCATTATCATCACTTTTTTCCACTTCATCTTTAGGTTTGTCAAAACATGACATGAAAGCCAGAAAATACAATTAACTGCCCTAGGTGTATTCACTTTAAGCAACAAATGAGATAATACCTCATGATTGCTTCCTTCAGCCTGCTGTTTTGTTGCTCAAGTTGTTTAACTTGGGCATTAGCTGCAGCTCCCTCGATTCCTTTTAAAGAACAATATTAAACATGGTTAACTACCCATCTCTATAGCCTGCCTTTCCCTAATGAAATTAGATCAGTTACTGTGCCATACTAAGTAAACAGCAAATTGTTAATCTTTGGATAAATCTTTAGATAAATGTTGAATGTGAAAGAGGATATCGCTCTGATCAGTATTTCAATTAGAACTTCAGATAATTCATTAATATTCAATTGAGAAGATAATCTTACCTCCTTCACTAACTTCATTCTTCAAAATTTCTAGGTCAAGAGTAACTTCTTCCAACTTGTCCTTCAATTGCTCATTTTCTTGCTGAAGGGATTCCAGCTGCAAAACATTGTGCATTATATAAAACCAGAATGCATGTCAACCATTTATAGGTATTACTTGACATTAACTTCACTCTGCTAACTATGAAAAAAAAAAAAGCACTGGGAAGGCTCATATTCCTGATTTCATCTAATCTGCCCTAAGGTATCAAGTAGATTGAATTAGAAAATTGGGCTAATGTATTAAGACGTGACAAGCATGTTGGACCTTCGAGCCATAGCTACAAAGGGATTAAGAAAGTACAAAAAAAAGTCAATTGGTAGTCTCTGGTGAAAAGGAGTTATCTTAATTTGTAGAATTGTTTAATTTGAAAGTATTCTTAATGAAGGAAAAAATGTTAACAATTCAAAACTGTTTGGTATCTAACAATCTAATTACGTGGTTCTAATAAATTCAATGTAAAAAGAATACCCTTTCTTCAGCCATCTCTTTATCCAGAGTTGCCATTTCGACAGCTTCTTGAAGCTCTGTCAACTCTTCACTGTGTTCTTGGTGATTCTCAGTGATCTCTTTCAGCTCCTGTTAAAAGGCCACAAAAAATAATTATTATCTTATCATCTGGTTCCAAACTAGAACCAGCATTTCACTTCTCACTTGGAAGACAACAGCATTTGCATTCACTCTGTGCCTTGTGTTTTCTATTTAGTGCAGCATTAAAAACAATAGATTTGAATTTTGCCTTTTCATTTTTTGTTCTCATATGAGATCATTATTGAGCTTAATCCATAGACACCAATGGTACCCTAATTTAAACCCTTCAGAATCAGCAAATACATGTACATGATGAAATTCATCAGTAATGCTTATGACACACGCCCCCTGGAAATTGTGGTGAGGGGAAGCCAAATCAAGATGTTAATCACTTTAATTGTCAAAAGACACAAAACGAAACTTGAATTTAATTTCCTAATCCAAGTGAAAAGCAGCTCGCACTCCCTTACATGAATTTTAAAAAAACCTTTAACAAATGCAAAGCAAGTAAGTGGAAATTTAAACTTAATCATGAGTATTAGTTAATTTAGTAATGTAAAAAGTGTTGTTAAGTAATCTTCATGGATGAAAATTCAACTTAAACCATTCCTTCCCTCCCTATTCTCTTTCTCTCAAACTGTCAAAGTTAAGCTCATATCGTAGATATTTTAATCACAAGAGCAAATCAACAAATTTTGGAAAGCACAGAATAAAACAGTCAAGTTTAATTGTGTTGACTCCCAAGAGAGAAATGACAGACTAAACAATATCATGATCAACAGAGAAAGTTACAAGTAAGCCCATATTTTTCTCATAGCTACTTTAAACAGCAAAACAATTGTCTAAACCAAGAGTTTGAAGTATAAAGATTGCATTGGAGAGGGCCTAGCTGCATGTAATCTTAATTTCAAATCAATATTTTCTGTTTGCTGTGGAAATCAAGGGACATTTGTTTGATACTTTGCTACGACATCCAAGAGCACTACTGGCCTTACTCTGATTACTACCATCAGAATGGGTTACTAGCTAAAATCATGAATTCTGCCAACAGATTTTACAACACTACAGAAAAGAAATGGACACTGGTTTCCATATCCACCAATAGTCTCACTACCTCATTTTCATTCTCAGGCACAGAGAGGCCTTGAGGTCATTTACAGCTTTTCTTAACTATCTTTAAGTGATCACTTAAAGTGAGACACTTATATCATTTTGTAACACAAGCATGTTAAATAATGATAAAATGTACCTGTTTCATGATCATAATATTCAACATGCATTAATGTTTGAGAGGTGAAGTGGTCATAAAATAAGATGAAAGACAAAATATAGGTCACCTTTTTTGCTGTATTCAGTTGCGCTTGTAAATCCCTCTGAGCTTCTTGCCATTTTGTCTTATATTCTTGCATCTAAATTATACAAAAAATGCTCAAATAAATTATGACTTATACGGATTATCATAGTACTGAAATAATAAAGAGCTGTATTGATGATTACATAATCAAAATGTGGAACATTTGATGGATTTTAAGTATCAGTTACGCAGCTACACTGCTTCCTCAAGAAGGTTTTTAAAAATCATATTTTCCTATCTCTAAGGGATATTATTCTTCTTACTTGTACAATCAGACTGACTGACGATGACTTTATTGACAAAAGGGCAGCTGGAATCTAATAAAACATGCCACTCAACCCTTTCACTCTCAAGATCTCCTTAGTAATTCTCCTTACTGTCTACCATACAATTCTTATGATTGTAGTTAGGTGAATTTGGTATTTTATCAACTTATAATCCCCTAACTATTACTTTTCTTTATTCTCATCACTTCTCTTCTGGATGATTATTGATATTGTGAGGAGAAGTTCTGTGTTGGTCTCTCATAGGAGCTAAGGAGTTACAACAGCTTTCTCCACTACTTTGGAGTATTCAATATTTCAGAAAATCAAGGATTGAAAAAAAGTGGAAGTTCAAATTTCAAATATGAATTATTCAAGATTCCAACATAATAAAATAACATTGATTGATGCTAAATGATTAAGCAAACATAGCAGTTTCCAAGTAACACTAAGGCTCATGAAAAATTTAGAGTAAAATATACAAGATCAATGTGCATAAAATTATACTGTGGACTGAGAGAAAAAACTTTATGTGCGAAGCTGTGAAAATAAAGGACAAAGAGCCATCTTAATTATCCACTGTTGAAGCAAACATGTCCTAAAACCCTAAATTGAAAGGGAATCTCAGCTGGTCATTGCCATGTTTTACTGTTGCAAAGTTAGCTGGAAGATTATGACGTTTTATATTCGTGGTTGCAAAGGAGTGAATTTAGAAAAAATAGGTAGATTTGATCTAATTTGTAAAAATTTTTTGGGCCAAAATTGTTAAAAATCCACTGAAGGAAATTAATGCCTAGTAAACATCTATTCCAGTAAATTTTGACTTCACAGGTCTAAGCTGAAAAAATAAAAATAAAGATAGATTTTCTTCAATCTTTTCACTTTTCCAGGGAGACTTGAGGTGTTTTTTTTTTTTTCAATAAACAGGATCTCAACACACAATGGACAACTGATTACTGATTACATGTATACCATCATTCAGAGGAGATTTACCACACCCTTCATTAACATGGTTTAATATGTATTTCATATTGGTTCTTCACACTCTGTTGATGTATCAACTATATTGTACATGTAGTGAAACCAATAAAGACTCACCTAAAAGAACAGCATTCAATTTATTCCTATTTACCTTTTAGAGAGGTTTTCCATGTCATCAGGACAGGATCTGCTTTGCTCCATTTTTATGTTATTTTATCAATTATATTACCAGTACTTAGAGTTTATTGATAAAAAAGGCAACATTTCTGGTGAAAATTATATTATACAAACCTGCTCTAATTGCATCCTTGTTTTCTCCAGGTCCTTCATTTTGGCCTTGTCCTCTTGCCTTTTACTCTTCAGGGTCTCCAGTTTCTCCTCCAAATCAACAACAGCCTTTTCTTTTTCTAAGACCTGCATGCAGATATAACAAACTCTATCAAATTAAGATTTTAAACACAATCTAAAGATTATGAAATTCTCAAACAGGGCTCAAGGTGTGGGTATTTCATTCTTTAGACTTCTAGCAGACTTTTTAATGACCAAGGACAAAACTATATAATTATTCACACTGGATGGGATTGTGATACATGAAAACCACCCAAAATAGAGATGTCACAGAGAAAAATGAAAGGAAGTTACTATATTCACTCAGCTAGTGGACTCTTGCATGTTCTGTGTTGATGCAGGTATTTTCTTCTTGATATTAAAAACTTATTGCAAGTGGGGCTCCCAAAGCTTATGTTGTTTTAAAGTAGTTATGTGCAAAACTGAGAAAAGTATTGAAATCAATAGGAGCTCGCAACGAGCAAAACTCCCCAATATTGAACTTTTCGTTAGGCAAATACAGATGTACTCGGCAGTTTCTGCCATATGATTCAAAATGTATCAAAATCCATGCATTAATGTACCATAATGTATTTCATCCCAACCATTCTTAAAAAAGAGTAAAAACACTAAGTTATTTTGCAATACATCATAATCACCTATCCAAGACTAACCTTCTTTTGAAGAGCCATATACTCATCAGCTGATATCGCTGGTCCAGAAGACATCTTCCTTGGACCTGATGGCAAAGGGGTTGAAGCAGCTGCTGGAATCTTGCTTAGGGAACTGTCCAATGATGGCTCAGGAGCAGTAGTTGTACTGGTTTTAGGTGTAGCCAACCTGGAGGAAGGTGGGGATGGTCTGCTGCCAACGTTCTCTAAGGAACCTCTTGACCCAAAAGACTGAAACAGTAAAGAGTTTAATAAGTGAATAAGTTGCTGCTTAGATTTAGTGTCATATATGAAAAAAAAGGTTTCATCAAGGAAATCCTAACCCTAATCAGGGCTGTAAGAAAAAGGAAAATGGGAATCAATCTACCAGTAGGTATAATTTTTCTTTTTCTCAGATCAAATTTTTTTCTGCAACAGAGATAATATACCATAGTTTTTAAGAGACCAAGTAAATTCTAACAGGGCCTGTAATTATACAAGCACCAAGTGAATTAACAAAACCAGTCAACTATGAAGGGAAACTTCAACTTTTAGTTATTACCGTAATTTCCGGTCGATTACCCGCACGGCCGATTACCCGCACCGGCCGATTATTGCATACGGCGAAAAAAAAAGTCAACGGATTACCCGCACCGGTGGATAACCCGCACGTTGTTATTCAACTTTTTCGGTGGCGAAAACGTGACATTAAGGCGATACATTTCAGTCTTTCGATTCAGACATGTGCACAATTCTGTGTCAATATTAGCTTATACTTTATTGATTGATTATTGCTGCTGCTCTATTACCGATTTCATCGGCAAGAGTTATTACTCTAAGCTTATAATCAAACGTAAAACTGTGACGTGGGCGTTTCACAGCAGGCATTTTAACTTAATTGGTGACTCGTAGATACACTTATCGCGAATGATCGAGGTTTATAATTCTTATTCAGTCAGTTACCTTTTTATAGCATGTAGGAGCGTAATGAGCAATATCCATTGTTCATTTGTCGTTAAAATACTTTTTCAGCGCGAAATTAGTTAAGTTTCGCACCTATTATTTTCAACATTCTGGTGATGCATTTGGGATTTAAAATTACTGTCGGCAATTTCTCAAAAAATCGATATCTCCTGTTCTACTGGGCCTAACAAGTCCCTTAAAACGGGAAAATTCTCTTTAGCTCAAGCTAGTGAAAACTGGAAATTTGTTACTGATGCGCCGGATATCCTTGGATTATTTTTGTCACCATCAAGGTTTTGTTTTCACGCGTGCCGATAAAAATTTGTTTGTCACGCAACTAATTATGCGTGAAATAAACTCGAGTTGGCATCATGTTTTCGTGCCGCTTTGTGGCACTTTTGATACAATAAAATTCATTTGAGAGGTGGAAACGCAGGTAGGTGAGAAATTTTTTCAATTCAACTTCCAGAAGAATTTAAAATTGTCACATAACCCGCACCTCCCTATTACCCGCAGTGGCGCGGATTTAATGCAAAATCAACAGATTACCCGCGGGTAATCGACCGGAAATTACGGTAGTATAATTGAGGACAGAATTGTAGAACAACTGTTTTTGATTCTTTATTCAAATTATTTCTGAAGAAATTCATGAGAACATGAATATACAACTTTAGACACAAACAAGCCGTGCTGATACACAATTTATATTAGATAAACTAGTAACAGTAAATTGAATGGGGAAGGGTTTTAACCCTTCGATACCCATGAGTGACCAAGACAGAATTTCTCCTTACAACATAAACACAATATCAAGCAGACAAGTAATGAGAATAAATAAAAATATGTATTAAAAAAAATTTAGTTTATCCTATACCAGAGTCTTCAAATAACCATCCCAAGGATTATAAAACAGACAGTAAGGAGAATTACTGATGAGATCTTGGGTGCAGAAGGATTAAGCATTACTACAATATGAAAGCATCACTCTTACCTTCTCTTTTCGCATTGATGATGGTAAAGGAATGGAAGTACCTCCACCAATGCTGCTGCGGGTGGAGGATCCACGTGGAGGTGATGGGGAGGTTGGTGCATCCTGAAGAATTGCTATTTGGGACTGACGCACAAAGATTCCATGGTTCTCAGCACATTTGAAATACTCTTTTCCTTGCACTAAATCATATTAAACAAATTCTTAGCCAGTGTCAGAATGCTACAGACTATACTAAAGTGGAGTTAGTGAGATAGTGTTTCTTAAAATATTTTTTCATGAAATAGTTCACAACGCAAATAGGTAAAATGAGGCAAGTTTGGTCCATCTTACCACCTTGCACAGGTGGCCCATTCTGTCTGCAATACTTCAGTAATTGAAAAAATGTTACAGAAAAAGCTCATTAGCTCTTCAAGTAACTAGAAAATTAGATTAATTAGATTCAGTATTAGATTAGATCAGATTAGATTAAGTAACTTGAAGATTAGATTAATCTTGTTTTCGATAGCATTTCAAGTAACTTGAGGAACTATTTCACAGAGAAAAGAAACCAGCATGGAACAAGTCCCAAAAAATAATAAACTTACCAAGCCAGCCTGCTTAAGTAGTACGAAAGAGTATTAGCCTTCAGTCCATAACATCATGACCTTATACCAATATTCCCTATTACAGTCCTTATGCTCAGTTGGTACATAGCTTGATATTTATTTCCACATGTTACTTAACTCACATAAAACTATTATGTACCAGTGTGTTACTTTTTAAATGAGTGTAAAGATCCCCTAAAAGTTATCACATACTCGGATATTGAAAGTATACACCATTTCCAGATCAATATTTGAACCTGTATACGTAATTTCTCTAAAATTAAAATTAAAGATCACGGATGGTAACCAAAGGTTTAATTCCATAAAGTGTGGCGGAAACTGACGAATCAATACCGAATTTTGTAAAACATGCGAGGAGTACACTATGGGTAAAATGGCTCGAATTTTAAGTTATTGACTTATCTGATCTATTGATTTTAGATCAGCTTTCCCTTTTCACAAGCCCTAATCACGATTGAAACGACATAAACATTTTTATATTCACACTTAACAGTTCGTACCTGAACCGTCGTTTTTACCCTTCGCTTCATCTAAAATAACTCCGATCCACTTTCCAGAGGCAAACATTGTTGATCCGACATAAGCCACAGTTCCCACAAGGCCTTTCCCAACAACCTCCACTTTCATTCCAATCTTTGCATTGGGCCCCGACATCTCGATCTAGATTAATCTTCTTATAACTTATATTATTTTCTACAATAATTATCAGCTTTTCTAATCCACCAAAGAAGTGAATTAAAGAACAAATTCTACATTTCTTTCTTTCAAGCACTCCCTTTCAAGATGGCGGTCTAAGAAGCGCGCATGCTCGAACTCCTTGGTGTGTTTTTGTGCCTAGTCCATCCTCTTTCGGCAGCAAAGAGGTCATTGCAATTTTTCCTTGCACTTCCTTGCACTAGGTCTCACATAAATGACTCCAGGCCTCCAATACAATCAAGATGGAGGAGAAAGCGACGGGTATGTAAGAGTGTCCACAAATTAAAATCATTTATTAGTCTCTGACGCTTTGATCCCCTTATTCCCCTTGTAATTACAGACAATGATGTATGTTTAGTTACTGTGGCTGGTTTGTTTGTTTGTTTTTTTTTAAATAACATCTTTGTTAGTGTACAGATAGTGGTATGTTCCATTGCTTTGTACAAATTTGTTTTTTAGCAAAAAAACAATGGCTGAATGTTGGCGTTTGTGGCCGCTTTTCAAAGGGAAGGGAGAGAAGGGAATATTGATTGAAGAAAGATGAGAGCGCGCACAATGCGCTTGGTCATTAAAGTTTGCATCATATGACCATGCGCGAGCGGGCAAGATATGCTCGGCCAATCAATTTACAGGATTCGTTTCATCTCTTCTACTCAAGGAGCCAGCCAAATGATAATTCGCAGTTCAACGCTCGTCTTTAATTCAATAATGCCTGCCCGTTAAAGCGAGGTCGTTGTCGTGTGGATTCTGCTCATACCTCGAGTAATTTGTTAGTTTCCCATGTAACAGTGTTAAGGCCTGGTACCAATTCCTTCTCCTTTTGTTCTTTATCCGCTGTCTCGTCGCTCTGTTGCTCCAAAGGCTCATTGCGAGGCTAAATTCTCGGTGGTATGTATATTTTTGGCAACCCATCCAGTTGCTCCTAAAGAAAAAAGGTCACTACTCAAGCGAAACAGAGGGATGGGTACTCTTATAATAATAAGAGGAGAGAGTTAAATGCACTGGCCACCATACCTTCATATGCTGACTCTTAAGACGGATACTTTCGTTTCTTAGATGCTTCAAGGTAACGTTAAGCGAGTCAACCTGAATGGAAAAAAAATCAAACCAATCAACACAAAAGAGACCAACTAACTTTGAGACAAAGTCTAACAGGACGCGCACAAAAGATTTCAAGCCAAAGCAGGTTACGTACGTTACATTGGTTACAAGAGGCAGGAAAAAAAACCAAAAGCTGATGAGAAAAAGGTGCCCGACACAATCACATCTTAGGTCAATCCTTTATTTTTCATTGCGCATCGTTTCTTCACATAAGTTCACACTTGATCAGCCGGCGAATATTTCCGGTCACGCGAATGCCCTACGCTGACTATAATGCAGAGATGTGTGATACCCATGGCAAACAAAATGAAATCAATTTGCGCATTGCGCCGAAAAGTCCAACTGACTCGTTCTCTAATTGACTTCTTACTTAAAAGAATCTTCGAGGCAACTCTCAGGGTAACAACAACGTAACTAAAACTTTCAATCGCTCCTGACGGTTGTAACACCGTCCGTTGCGACTTACAAGCACTGTGGTGTAATCTGGCAAATGGTTTACCAGAGCAAATATTATACGTGAATCCTGCTCTTAGCAGCAGCCGCACCTGATAGAAAAGGAACAAAGAATAACAAACAATTGAAAGATGGAAATACAACATTCCATAAATAAAACAGCACAAAAGTGCGGGCACCATAATTGCAAGGCGGCTAGTGAAGTCACGGCCCCCACGATGATCCCTCAAAAGGCTTTACATTGTAAACTCAGTTGATATTGTAATACCTCCCAACGACGCAGTGCTACAATTTCTTTAAGAAACTTACAACCTTTAAAAATAACTTCTGCAAAGCTTTTCTCGTCTTTGTACACCATCACTGTTTACTTAAGACAATCGGCAGCTTAAAACTTATTCTTGAGAGAAAAAATTGAAAGTTTCCACAATAAATTGTCATGATTTAATACACTTCGCCCTCACTTAGAGTTATTGTTTTAATTCTGATTGGCTAGACAAATGACATGAGTTATCTTAACCAATCATGGAGCGAACTAAATCAAAATTAATTACATTACTTTTGACCCTCAAATGAAAATTGCTCTTAAAAGAGGACTCTCTTACTAACTTCCGTCTTTCTTTCGACCTCTCTTTTATACCACAGATAAATCAAAATAATAAAGGAAGAATTTTTCAGACATCTTTCAGAGCGGTAAAGGATATGATGTCAGCATGAATCTCCGTACTTACAACAGCCGTGATGCTAGATGATGATGAGGCATGGCGCGCAAGATCGGCCAGAAGGGACTTCTTTGAGTAAGCATCCTAACGTTTCTTCATGTCAACCTTCTCCTTCTCCAAGGACTTCAGTCAAGGCTTCCTTTAGAGAGATTCGTAGCATTCTTTTGCAAAGTTTTGATGGTGGCGATACTGATCGGAGGACGAGTTTCTTCTTCTTTATGACGTTAACACATCCAAAAGCCCAGATTTTCCTTATGAAAATTATGGGAAATTTGACCTTAGTGATACGAATGACAGTGAGTGTTTATCCGAGTTTCTTTTTCGTAAGAGTGACCTTCCCGTCCTTTCCGAGGCCCTACATCTTCCTAACTACTTTATATGTCAACAAGGAACAATATGCGATGGAATTGAAGAGTTGTGTATCGCACTTTGAAGGTTTGCGTACCCATGTAGAATCACTGATTTAATTCCACGATTCGGCCGCCCAGTTCCAGAGCTAGGTATGATTTCCAGCCTTGTGGTGGATACAATTTATCAGGAACATAATCACAGAATAACTCAGTGGAATGATACACTCCTGAACCCAGCACTTCTAGAAACGTATGCTCCTGCAATTTGGCAAAACTGTAGTCCATTACACAACTGTTTCGGTTTTACAGACGGAACAGTAGGGCCAACTTGTCGACCTGACCAAAACCAAGAGATTGCGCACAATGGGCATAAGCGAGTATATGGTCTAAAATACCAATCTGTGGCACTACCCAATGGTATGATGGCCAACATGTATGGCCCAGTAGGTAAATTTTATAATTGAAGTAATAAATCTGTTTGGTTAAATTTTAAAATTTCATGCCAATCATAAACTACAGAATCACTTATGTCGATCTCATTTTAGAGGGCACAAGGCATGATTCAGCCATGTTGGCCGATTCTGGTCTTCTTGATGATCTCGAGCAACATGCTTTCTCAATAACAAGAGAACTAATGGCCCTCTATGGCGACCCGGCCTATCCTCTACGTGTTCACCTCCAGGTACCTTACAGAGGTGCAGGAATTACACCGCAAATGGAGCTCTAAAACAAAGCCATGAGTTCCGTTCGCATGTCTGTAGAGTATTTTAAATTTTTAGACTTTAAAAAAAATTTGAAGATCTCACTCAATGCAGTTGGCAAAGTGTACATTGTGGCTGCCATTCTACGAAACTCCTAAACCTGTATGTATGGCAACTCAACTTCAGAGTATTTTGCTTTAAATACTATCAAATCATATCTAATGTAGTTAACGACTAGGAGATATGTTATTGAGTGTTTTGGCGTTCTTTGGTGGTGTGTTGGCCGTCTGTAGCGCAACTATGTTTGCGTTTGTAGCGTTTCTCATTGTACGGTAGCATGGGGGCAGATTCCTGTCCAGTGGTATGTTGCTTTGGCGCTTGCGTAGGCCATGTACCTACGTTTTGTTTACGTTGTACTCTAAGATTTGTTAGCGTAGCGTTCCTCTTCGTTCTCCTCCCTCCATCCGCTTTCTTGGTTTAGGGTCTTCCCCTCTTTCCCGGGATTTTTTTCCCCTTATTTCGGGGGTTTGTGCATTTTACTTCCACTGGGCTTCTAGCCTCAGCGTGACGGGTGCTATAGTGGCAGGGCTCGTGGCTGGGTTTCGGGTTGGTAGGCCTGTGGGTGTTCTTCCGCCTTCGAGTGTAATTACAGTTGCAGCCCCCTGGTCCATGGGCACCCGTAATCCACTTGCGACGTAGGCGTTAAACCCCTACTATTCACGATTATTTTGCTTGATCAGGAACACAAAACGTCCAGTGTCTGTAACATTAAGTCTTTAATCAAGTTAATTTCCATCAAGAAGTCTGAACATGAAGCCAATATAACAAGGAACACTCTTTCTTAAGAACTTGCTGAAAATGAAAATGCTGGAAACTACACCCATCTTGCACAGCAAAAAATCAGGGTATGCCTTAGATTTCTTTTTCTAGTAGTTTAAAGATAATTTGAGACTGCTACTCGTACATTGAGGTGAACATCCGCTGAAAATTTTGCAACGTCCCGTGTCTGTAACATTAAGTCTTTAATCAAGTTAATTCCCATCAAGAAGTCTGAACATGAAGCCAATATAACAAGGAAAATTCTTTCTAAAAAACTTGCTGAAAATGAAAATGCTGGAAACAACACTCATCTTGCACAGCACAAAATCAGGGCATGCCTTAGATTTATTTTTCTAGGAGTTTTAAGATAATTTGAGACTGCTGCTCGTACATTGAGGTGAACATCCGCTGAAATTTTTGCATCTGTTCATGTTGCTGTTTAGTTTGCTGCAGCACGACCTGCAGCAAATCCTGGTGTTGCCTTTTGGACTGCTCCATCTTATAACTCTCAGCCTCTAGTCGCTGCTTCTGTGGTTGCATTTTTTTCATTTTCCATTTCTGAGCGAGATTGTTCTCTTCTTGCAAACGTGCCACAGTGTTACTATCACTTCTTCGACGTTTTGCTTTTGCTGCTGTTTCATTCTCTACCTCATCTTTCCTTTGTCTTTTCTGTGTCCCACCTTGGTTCTCCAGAGCTCTGTTAACATTAATGTTAAGGCTTATTTTCTTTTTGTTTGTGTTGCATGTTGTTTGTCTTCTTTTTTTTTTACTGCGAGCAGAACCCTTTTTTGTTCACCAAATATGCAAGACTCTTTCACAAACATAAATAATCGAGAGATTACCATTTACTAAGCGTAATTCGAGTTGAGTTTCATTGTTAAAAACGTGAAGAAAAGATAATAAGAGAACTTACTGAGCAATCTTCTTGTCACTTGTGTCGGCTGCAGCCATGACCTGTTTAGTGGAGAAGAAGAAAAATACGTTTTTTCTTGAAAATCAGGTCTCAGAGGAGTAGGCAAACGAATTTAAAATGAATTTAAAAGGAGTTTCTGTTCCACGCCGACCGAATCAAATAATTCTGACTTGAAAGATAGGGAGGATCCGCCTAAACCACAAACAAAAAAGCTGTGTGTTACGTCACAGTCCTAGACAGTGGAACCTCTACTGAGCAGACAACCTAGAAACTGGAAAATCTGTCCCATGAATTGAAGCGGTTTGCGCAAGCTCATCATTTTGTGCCAAAAAGCGCGGCACTCTAACAATCCGCACGCCTGCTATGCAAATTCAGACGCTGATGAACAAATAAACAGTTGAGCCTAAGGTTTACCGAAATACACAAAATGTAAGCGTGGATGAGTTTGCGTGACTGGAGTAAGTTGCGAACGCTTAAACCTTTCTAGCCAAAGGCGAACTATCAACAATCCGCACTTCTACGACACATTTTCATTATTTCAGCTCTAAGAATTTGGTGTTGAATCGAACTGTAATCCCTGGTTGATATTTATCTTTTCTTTCCATAAATTTCTAGAAATTTAAAAGATAAGTAACTTTTGGGTCACTCCTGAAAGCGAAGAACTTAAGAACTGACTGATGATAGAACTAACAAAGTAGACTGCCAAGATCATGATCGAGAGAGAGTCGAAATATAACACGCTGCCCTTATTCCGTTCTTCTTTGAATCTGAATAAAAAAGGTGAAGGCTTAATCCCGACCTGCACTCAGGCACATGTGAAGATGCCTCAAACAAAATCCGAGAACAGTTTGCTTCACACATAACACACCTTGGACTCTTCTTTAGGTTCAGCATCATGATCGCCTTCTTGTATTTTGGTCACAAACGAGGATAGGAAAGAAATGACTTCATCGAGAGTATGACTGAAAGGAAAACAAGAAACAAGAAAAACGTAATTGCCTCCGATGAGCAATAAGAACAAGTTACTCTTGGATAGCTTTACAGTTAGGGTTAAGGTAATGCTAGAAGGATTACCAAACCTTAAAATATGAATTGATTCACTTTGTGTTCGACTCTGAAAACGTGTATTTGACTGACCTGACTATATCTTTACATGGCACTTCATCTGTCTCAAACACCAGCACGGCCACATCACTTGCTAACTCGTCAAGTTGACCACTCAGTAAGTTTTCATCGTCTACAAGGGTAAAACAAAAAAATTACTAAAAAAATTTCAGTGAACGAAACTCTAATCGACACTACATCGCTTCGAATGCTCCCCTCTTGCTACCACAAGATGGTTGCACTTAAAAACAACATAAAAACACTTCCTACACCACGCACATCTCGATCCTGATTTGTAAAACCGTCACTAAAGAAGTCACAACAGCGAATCAGATAAGAGGAAAATACCACAAGGGGCCCATGAGAACTCAGAGTAAAAACATGGAAACTGCCTGGAGCGCCGGAAAACGCGAATGAAGAAGCCGTGGCTTTTCTGGACCAGTCACTCTGCGAAATAAAGCGAACCCAAAGCAATCGAAGATTTCTTTCGACGCTCAATTCAAAATTGATGAATAGTGTGACCCCGAAGAACGGTGTTAGCATAACCTGCGCTCCATGCTATCATATTTAGAACTTAACTCTTCACAAACGGTATAAATTGATATTACTCTTCTTCGTGTCTTAAAAGAGGTATCCATCTTATCTCTTTTTTAGTATCAAAAACGACCGAAGAATTCGAAAGACTCCAATGTACATTTTCGAAAGGGGTTCACTAAACAGACGTTGAAATCAAAAGAACGTTGATTGGGTGCACAACTTACGTTATCCAAGAATCCTCAATCGAACTGATTGCAGTTAATCACGAACTTCCGTGAGAGGTATTTAATATTGAGGTTATCAGAACTTACCAGTTAGACTGGAAGCTTCCTCCGTAACGGCTGCGGTAAGTTCCTGGAAGAATTCCAGCACCAAGCTTTGTTGCCAGGTGTAATCCATCAGTGACTCTTGAATCTAAAGGGAAATGAAATGTTGACTAAATAACTCTGATGAATACCTTAGCTGTCCACTGTTTAAGATTTTCTCTTTGGTGCTCAGAAAAAAAATTCACTTGGGACAAGCCGTTGGGACTAGGTACAGAGTGACCAGGAACGCTCAATATAGGTGAAAAGGGTAAAAATTTCGGAACTTTGAAACCCGAGTGCTTAATACAGGGTGACCGCTAAATACGGTGCCGCTTAATACATAGCCTCTCAATACGAGTTTGACTGTTATTGCATGTATTTCACATAAGTACTACTGAGGATAGTCGGAAGCAGCCAGCCTCACACCTTATCAGAAAACGATAAGGTACTTGTCTGATCTTCTGAGATTCTTCTTTTGATCTGGAATTTAAAAAAACAAAAAAATCAAACAAACAAAACTTGGTTTAGACGCCAGTGACTTGTTGCTAGTAGCTACCAACAGAAACGCGTTTATAACAAAAAAATAATAAACCTAAAACACTGTCACTGTTTAAAACCAAATTTTGAAAACTACTATAAAAGAAAATGACCCAAGTGAGTAGGAATTATGAGCAGTTGGGTTTAAGGTGAACTCTTGCTTCAGCCAACATACCAACGTAGGAGAATAGCCATCTCCCATTGATCCTTTAAGGATCTTTTTGGATTATTCCCTACGATTGGAATCTCCTACTCTATATGAACCACAAGACGCTTTTTTTAACCTGTCTGCAAAGCTGTTGAATTTTCACGTTTCTGAGTTCCACTTCTTGAACAAGTTCACCAAAGGCACTTCCTTTGTCACAATCCTACCAAAATAATGAAAGAGCAATAATATATTCATGAAATTGAGAGGGCTTAAATGACGAAGACTTCATTCCTGGTGAGAGGAGCTAAGCACACAGTAGACAAGAGGGAGAGCCAGAATAGAAAGTAAGGTGAAGGGGAGTAGCTTCCAAAAAGCAACTTCTTTGCCTTTTCTATACAGATGCTCAATGTCTGACAACTATCACATACCTTACTGTACTGCTTCAATCTCTCAATCTCTATGGTGGCACATTCTGTTCCAGCAGTGAAGATCTTCAATCCAACAGACAAGAACTCAGAAGGTGACACACAGTTACTAGCCCAGTGGAACTGAATCATAGCCTGGAAACAAAAAGGGTTCCCTCAAACAGTACACTCATGTTGAACATTTTCATAGACACCTCATCCTGATTAAATTTAAAAAATGTTCCATTACTCAGAGTATAGTAATGAATTGCCTTCTCTAAGGGTTCCATGGCAACTGAATCATCTAGCTAAATCAAATAGATCACAAAGATAATTTAAATACATGTACAGGTTCCACAGAAAAGGGCTGTATCACCTGTATCAAGTAGTCAACCTGTATTAAGTGGTCACCCACCATTCCCCATGGGTGACCTCTTGATAGAGGTTAAACTGTATATACATGTATGTTTACCAGTCAGTCACTAGTAATGAAGATCTTCAACAAAGTTTCAAAGTCTATAGGAGAACCTTTTTCCTACACCTCACATAAAAGCTACAGAACACCAGATACACAAAAAGTTAAATTAAATTTTACTTTTGAGATACCTACAAGTTAAACAGTCTTATAAGTATAGTTTCACGGGAAGTTTACACAGGTACCTTGGTATTTGTCTTCAGCTTATAAGCTTTCACTTTAAAGTCAATAATTTCAGGTGAAGGAATGTCAATGACTTTTTGTTTATCTGAGTCTTCTTGCTGAACCTGCATCACTGAGTTTTTTCCCGAATGACAACAAAACAATTACAACAACCACCTCTGAATTTATTTTACAATCCTTTGGAGCTTTATCACAGTATCCAGTGAAAACTTTCTTTTCACACATTGTTTACACTTCTACATTTCAATTATTTAACTTTCAAAATAAAAATCCATACCTGCAGTTCAGCCTCCAGATCTCCAATACGTTCAGTTTGAAGGCGATTTTCCTCGAGTTGCTTGTTCAAATCCATCTCAGCTTTCTACGATTGGATTGCATAATTTTAAGATTACCTTAATTACAACAACCAATTCAGAATTTTTTTCAAAACATCCTTTGGAGCTTTATCACAGTATTCAATGAAAACTTTCTTTTCACACATTGTTTACACCTCTACATTTCAATTATTTAACTTTCAAAATAAAAATCCATACCTGCAGTTTAGCCTTCCGTTTAGCCTCCAGTTCTCCATTAGTTTCCTGAGCTGCCTCTAGATTACGTTCCACCTACGAAAAATGTAACAATTAATATAAAATCTTGCTAATTCACATCTCCAAAAAGAGTAATTTAAAGTCCATGACTTCTTCCCATGAAATGACTTTGTGAATATCTAACCGTAGCAGGAGGATATTGGAGTGTAAACAGCTTTTAAAGTGTGAAGGTGAGCATTAGGATGACTTTACCTCACAGACTTCGTTGTATATCATTTCCAGTAATTCACTTAGGCCATGTTCAGTTTGAAGGTGATTTTCCTCAAGTTCCTTGTTCAAATCCATGTGAGCTTTCTGCGATTGGATTGCATAATTTTCAGATCACCTTCATTACAACAACTAATTCAGAATTTTTTTTTTAAATCCAACAATAAACTTCTTACGCACAATGATTGTATTCATGGATACAGTTCACTTACCCTCTCAACCTCAGTCTCCCTCAGGATTTCAATTACTTCTTCTGGGCTCAAATTCTCATCACCAAGAATTTCCACTGTTTCCTCCTCTCCCAGTGCAGTATCAACCTTTTATACATAACATTGGGAAACTATCAATCTTTAAAACGAGCAAACTAAATTTAAACTACCTCATTAGCACAGATAACAACCTCCTAAAAAACAGTGAGTACCTAAAATACCTCATTTATTTTCAGAAGCCTAAGCCTGAAATGGATTTATTGGTATGTGCCCTGAGACCAGGGTACATGTACAACTCTTTGGAAAATCAGATAAAGTAAAATTTCCCATGAGTTTTATAACTGGTTCTTTTCTTGAAACAGACACAAGAGGAAGCTACTAGTTATAATCCATGGCATCCATGGACTTCAAGAAAAGTGCTAGGGTTTCTCTTCTTTTCTTTGTCAGATTTTTTTTTTTATTGTTCAACAGGTGAGGCAACTAGGCTACCTAGTGGCCTGTACAGAGCAAATAAGGAAGTTGCAAAGTAAGGAAGACAAGAATAGTCAAGTACTTCTTTCAAATACAAACAATTTAAGAAATTGTGTGGTAATTTTTAATTCTTGATTGAGAGTTGCACTTCAAAACTATCATTCTGAGAAAAGCCACCAACAATACTATCACAAATGAAAAAAGAACTGTTAAAAATACAAAGGAGACAACAGACACACACACACTGTTCTTTGAGTTCAGCCAAAACTGTTTCAGCTTCCTGTAATTTTAAAGAAGTCCCCCCCTCTATAATATATCAAATCACCATTTAAAAGAACAACCTATCAATGGTAACCAGTATTTTTTTAGTTTTGTTTACCACTAACATAACTCCATAAATAGAACCTTAATAGTGTAATGAAGAACAGAATTGTAGAACAATTGTTTTTAATTCTTTATTTAAATTATTTCTGAAGAAATTCATGAGAATATAAACCCACTTGAATATAAAAAGACAAACAAGCCATGCTGATACACAATTTATATTAGATAACCTAGTAAAAGTGGATTGAATGAGAGAAGGGTTTTACCAGAAAACCCTTTGACACCCATGAATGACCAAGACAGAATTTCTCCTTACAAAATCAGTACAATATCAAGCAGACAAGTGATGAGAATAAATAAAAATATGTATTAGAAGATTATTGGTTTATCTAATACCAGAGTCTCCAAATAATCATTGTAAGAATTATATAGCAGAAAGTAAAGAGGATTATTAATGAAATCTTGGGAAAGGAAGGATTAAGGATCACAAGCAACATGAGAGCATCACTCCTACCTTCTCTCTTCTCATTGATGATGGTAAAGGAATGGAAGTGTCTCCACCAACGCTGCTGCGGGTTAACGATGGGGAGGTTGGCGCATTCTGATGAATTGCTATTTGGGACTGATCCACAAAGGTTCTATGGTTCTCAGTGCATTTGAAATACTCTTTTCCCTGCACTAAATCATATTAAAGAATTCTTAGCCAGTGATAAAATGCTACAGACTATACTAAAGTGGAGTTAGTGAGATAGTGTTTCCTAAAATATAGCTCACAACACAAATAGGTAAAATGAGGCAAATACTGTGTATTGTTCAACTAACCCAGCAGGCAAGTTTGGCCTATCTTCCCACCTTGCACAGGTGGCCTATTCTGTCTGAGATGCTTCCATAATTGAAAAAATATTACAGCAAAAGCTCATTAAATTCAAGTAACCTGAAGAGCTATTCACAGAGAAAAGAACCAGCATGGCATAAATCCCATAAAATAATAAACTTACCAAGCCTGCCTAAGTAGTATGAAAGAGGATAAGGGTAAAGCCTTCAGTCCATAATATCATGACCTTGTATCAATATTCCCTATTTAAGTCTTTATGTTCAGTTGGTATATCGCTTGATATTTATTTTCACATGTTGCTTAACTTACTTAACACTACTAAGTACCAGGGCCGGGTTGTTCAAAGCTGGGTTAAGATAACCCAGGATTAGTATAAAATTTGATTTAAGATCTGAAAGCTTGAAGAAAAAAATTCAGCTGAAATCTTTGTGTCTTCAATTTTTTGATTGAATGCTCTGAAAATAAATGGAGAAAATTATCCTCAAACAGCTTTTGAACAGAGAAAAATAGAAACCTAGATTAAAATTTAACCCTGGGTTAGCGCTAATCGGCCTTCGAACAACTGGGCCCAGAATGTTACTTTTTAAATGAGTACAAAGATTCCCTAAAAGTTATCACATACTCTGAGATTGAAAGTATACATCATATCCAGATCAATAATTGAACCTGTATACGTAATTTCTCTATAATTAAAGTTACTTTGCATAGATCACGGATGGTAACCTAAGGTTTCATTCCATGAAGAGAGGTGGAAACTGACGAATCAATACCGAATTTTTTACAATATGCGAGGAGTACTCTGTAGGTACAAATGGCTGGAAGTCTAAGTTATTGATTTAACTGATCTATTGATTTAAGATCAGCTTCCCTTTTTCACATACCCCATTCACGATTGAAACGACATAAACATTTTTATATTCACACTCAAGTGTTCGTACCTGAACCGTCGAATTTTCCCTTTGCTTTCCTTTTCATTCCAGTCTTCTTGGGCATCATCTATGTCTCGATTAATCTTCTGAAATCGGCTTCCAAAATAGTTTCAGCTTTTCTAATCCACCAAAAACGGGACAATAGAACAGGTTTATACTTTGCTCTCAAAAGCTATCTTTCAAGATGGCGTCAGTGAAGCGAGCAGGGAGTTACTACATCACGGGCGACGAGCGGGGATAGAAA